TTTAAGACATTTTTATACCTTATTATACTATGACATTTTTCTGACATTTTATGCCTTAATATACTATGATGTTTTTAAGACGTTTTTATGCCTTTCTATACTATGACTTTTTTTATGCCTTACTATACAATGACATTTTATACCTTACTATACTATGACATTTTTGGGACATTTTTATGCCCTACTATACTATGACATTTTTATGCCTTTCTGTACTGTGACTTTTTTATGCCTTACTATACTATGATGTTTTTATGACATTTTATATCTTACTATACTATGACATTTTTGTGACATTTTTATGCCCTACTATACTATGACGTTTGATACCTTACCATGGTATGACATTTTTATGACATTTTATACCTTACTATACTATGACATTTTTGTGACATTTTTATGCCCTACTATACTATGATGTTTTCAAGACATTTTATGCCTTACTATACTATGGCACTTTATGCCATTACGTTTTTTTGACATTTTATGCCTTAATATAATATGATGATTTTAATTATCTTTTTATGCCTTACTATACTATGACATTTTTATGCCTTACTATACTATGACTTTTTTATGCCTTACTATACAATGACATTTTATACCTTACTATACTATGACATTTTTGGGACATTTTTATGCCCTACTATACTATGACATTTTTATGCCTTTCTGTACTGTGACTTTTTTATGCCTTACTATACTATGATGTTTTTATGACATTTTATATCTTACTATACTATGACATTTTTGTGACATTTTTATGCCCTACTATACTATGATGTTTTCAAGACATTTTATGCCTTACTATACTATGGCACTTTATACCATTACATTTTTTTGACATTTTATGCCTTAATATAATATGATGCTTTTAATTATCTTTTTATGCCTTACTATACTATGACTTTTTTATGCCTTACTATACAATGACATTTTATACCTTACTATACTATGACATATTTCTGACATTTTATGCCTTAATATACTATGATGTTTTTATGACATTTTTATGCCTTACTATACTATGACTTTTTTCATACTTTAGTATGGTGTTTTTATGCCTCATTATATTATGACACTTTATACCTTACTGTACTATTACATATATGACATTTTATGACATTTTTATTACGTTTTTATACCTTACTATACTATGACGTTTTCATGACATTTCATGCCTTACTAAACTATGACATTATTGACATTTTTATACATTACTATACTATAGTGTTTTTATGATATTTGTATGCCTTACTATACTGTGATGTTTGATGCCTTACCATACCATTTTACGACATTTTATACCTTACTATACGATTACTTTTATTTTTGCCTTACTATACTATGACATTTTATACCTTATTATACTATGACATTTTTGTGACATTTTTATGCCCTACTATACTATGACGTTTTTAAGACGTTTTATACCTTACTATACTATGACATTTTTCTGACATTTTATGCCTTAATATACTTTGATGTTTTTAAGACGTTTTTATGCCTTACTATACTATTACATTTTAATGACATTTTATACCTTACTATACTATGACATTTTTGGGACATTTTTATGCCCTACAATACTATGACATTTTTGGGACATTTTTATGCCCTACAATACTATGACATTTTTGGGACATTTTTATGCCCTACAATACTATGACATTTTTGGGACATTTTTATGCCCTACAATACTATGACATTTTTGGGACATTTTTATGCCCTACAATACTATGACATTTTTGGGACATTTTTATGCCCTACAATACTATGACATTTTTGGGACATTTTTATGCCCTACAATACTATGACATTTTTGGGACATTTTTATGCCCTACAATACTATGACATTTTTGGGACATTTTTATGCCCTACAATACTATGACATTTTTGGGACATTTTTATGCCCTACAATACTATGACATTTTTGGGACATTTTTATGCCCTACAATACTATGACATTTTTGGGACATTTTTATGCCCTACAATACTATGACATTTTTCTGACATTTTATGCCTTACTATACAATGACATTTGATACCTTACTATACTATGACTTTTTTATGCCTTACTATACAATGACATTTTATACCTTACTATACTATGACATTTTTGGGACATTTTTATGCCCTACTATACTATGACATTTTTATGCCTTACTATACTATGACTTTTTTATGCCTTACTATACAATGACATTTTATACCTTACTATACTATGACATTTTTGGGACATTTTTATGATATTTTATACCTTACTATACTATGGTGTTTTTATGACACTTTATACCTTACTGTACTATTAAGTTTTTATGACATTTTATGCCTTACTATACTATGTTTGATACCTTACCATAGTATGACATTTTATACCATACTATAATATGATGATTTTATTACATTTCATGACATACTATACTATGACGTTTTTATGACATTTTATACATTACAATAGTGACATTTTTATGACATTTTATGCCTCACTATACCTTGCTATATTATGATGTGTTCATGCCTTTTTAATCACTTATTATACTTTGATTTTTTTATTACTTTTTATGCTTTAACATACCTATGACGTTTTTATGACTTCTAATGCCTTACACTACAATGACATTTTTATGACGTTTTTATGCCTTACTATATTTTGACTTTTTATGTGTTACTATACTATGTCTTTTTTATGGGGTGGCATGGTGGTGCTGAGGTTAGAACTGTTGTCCCATAGTGTGAAGGCTCTGAGTTCAAACCCCGGACCAGCAAGATATGTTTATAAATTTGCAAAAGTGTTTGTGGGAGGTGTTTTAGATTTACAGATTACACATTTACACATGGATTGTCAGTGTGTTCACACAAATAATATTTAAACAAATCTACCTCCAAAAGTGTCTGACAGTGCGGTTTGAGAGGTTTAACTCTTCGGTGTCGTTGGGTTTTCCTCCTGATATGAGGTGTAACATATTCTGACTTTTTTCCACCCTCCCTTTGTTCCCCTCCCTCTGTTTCCCCATCTTCCTGGCTAAAGTTCAACAGGACTATGGGAATGATTACTGAGGAGCATTCTCCAACCGTCCTCCTCCTCCTCCTTTTCCTCCTCCTGTGCTCACCTCCTTCCATCACTCACTCTGTGCCCTGTACATTATACTAGAAACTGAGGAAACTGATAAATTCAATGTGTCCCTCAAGGCCTCCATATTTCCTGAGATGGATAATTCCCCCATGCCCCAGTGTTTAACTAATAATCCCTGCAGAATCGTTTTTTAAATTTTGGTTTTCTGGAGATATTTTTTTCTTTTTAAGTTGAAACATATAAAAAAGTGAGTTGGCTTCCTTAATATAGAAATTGATTTTAAGCAACTTTAAGAACTAATTTGGCTCATGTGCAAGTTCTAAGAAACATTACTTACAAAAGATTTTCAGTATTAATGCACATGACTGTTTATTCTGAAGAGAAACTTGATAAATTTCTATGAGCTGAATTTGTTGAGGGAACTGTTAAGATGTGTTTCATCATTTCACTGTCTCAGAGACAAAAGAGCTTACCTTCCCACAAGACCAAACAAAACCACACAACGCTGCTGTGATGATCACCACCACTGATCACAGTGCCATCTGTCAACAAATACTCACACACACAATGCTTTGCTGCAGCAGCCTCCTCTTCACCCCGCTTCAAGCTCAAATCTCTTCAAAGCTAATCTCAGCTAAATACTGATGAATTGCTTTGATGCTGATTGGCTGCATTAATTACTAACCAACCCCCTTCTATCTGTACATCTCACATAGAGTAAACTGGGCAGAAAAAGTTTTACCTCTAATGTGGTCCAGATGTTATGTTTTAATTTCTGGAAAAATCAGATCTGGACAATATGTTGCAGACATAAACCAACTTCCTCGTTAACTAACTCAGTCTTTTGGTCACAAATCAGCTTATGCACAGTCCCAAGGAGCTCATTTCAGTGTCAGTAATATAGGATAAGAAACTTTAGCTGCTTAAAATCATTTAAACTTGCTGTATAGTTTAAATTTCAACCTGTGCATGCTTTGCATTCCTGCTGTGCTTCTGCTCATTTACACAAAGCCAGCCTTAACCTCGCTCCATGCTCACCTGTAGTGTTGGTTTTATGTGGTGATCCAGAAACATATGCTCAAACTGACCCCAAATATCCCCACCACCCCAGTCCAACCCCTGCCTCATGGCGGGTACCAGCCCTACAACCCCCCCTACAACCAGCTGTACAACCCCGCTGCAGTGGCTTACAACAATGACCAAGGAGGAGAAGACGAGGAGGAGGAAGAGCAGGACCCCTATTACCATCGTGGTTACCCCCCTCAGTACTACCCCCAACAGCCCTCCCAATTGGCCCACAGTCGCCATGGTTACCGCTCGAGCCCTACCCAGTCTGAGGACGTGGAGCTGAGGTCGCCGGGCGTCGCCAGGAGGTTTTCACGTGATGTTGTTGTCATGGAGGAGAGTGAGGAGGGAGGACTTTAGAGGAAGGATGGACTCACCTAAAGTGCTTGAGCCCTGCACGCCACTACACACACACTGATAATCACACATGGAAACAGATCAGACACTGACATGCACGTACACATCGCCCCCTCCACCCACACCATCTGAAACTGTGGTGAGAACCCCCCGCTCCCTGTGTCTCCTGTGAGTTTCCCCACCAGGTGAAACAGTGTAAATAGCTCTGTGGACTCTTGTACGATATCTCTGTAAAAGGGGGGTCCGAAAAGTGCCTGATCTATGTTAGCATCGTCCAGTGGTAATGTAAAGGTAAGACCTGTTTCTTTCCATCTCACAGCTGATTTCGGGACTAAACCCTTCTTTTTGTGTGAAGCTGCATGTCTCCTTTGAGCCAACCAGTGAGTGTGTAACTGGATACGTGCATCTTGTTTTGGTTTTATGTAACTAGCTAGATTATTTTACAATTCAAATCATTGAGGACGATGAGCTGGCAACATTTGTACAGGCTTTTTATAATGATGAATCACCCCCCTCCCCCCAGCTTATTTTAGTGTGTAAAGGATTATTGAAATGTTTTTGAAGTTATTTCTCCGTACAGTATTGTGTTGAGTTTGCTTCTCTTTACTGGTATTCTTGGCTGAGCTATTATGGGAGTTAATCCCCCAAAATGAAATGTAGAAGCAGATGCATCAAATTTCTGTCAAGTTTAATGCCTTCCCTTAACACTGTGGAACACAAATCAAATTCATCTTTTAAATTATCATTTTCATTCAGAGGAAATCTGGCCACCATTTCATTTTGTCCTGCCATATTTAATTCTTTTACTACAAACACAGAGCAGGTCTGTTCTGGGTTGTAATACTCAGACTTGTGGTGAATTTAAAGGACAAATCTGTGTCGTTTGTGTCTTGTGTTGCTGCCCCAGTTTGTTTTGTTTATTGTTCTTATGCAAAGTCGGGCCTGCTCACTGTGGAGACTGTTTTCTCACTGGTTGACCTCTGACCTCGCGGTGGAAGGAGACCTGGAGCTAGTTATTATTCCAAACAGTCTGCTGCCTCTCGATGAAACCAGTAAGGACTGAAGCACGAGTGTAAACTTTGCCCCTCCTGCACTGCAGTCTGAAAAAACAAGCACTAAAGTAACAAAGTTTAGCTGTGAGCCGGCCCTGGTCCATTTGAGATTTAAACTGTCGAACTTGAACAGTTTTAATAAGGAATGTGTCTCACCACCATGCCCCTTAGTACAATATGAACTTATTTATTTTCTATTTTGTTTGCTTTTATAACCAATAAATCTGTAATGAACTACAACATTGTGTTTTAGGTCATTTATTTAACTTTAACAGATTTTACAACATTTATGTAAAAACCACTTGACAAGAACAGGTTCATTCAATTGTTTGTTAGCTCCTATTTTACAATTCATCTGAGCCACACAGGGAAATCTTAAACTGGTCCTGGATTATTCAGGTTTGCTGTGGTTGTGTCAAGGCCAAAACGAAATCTTAAGACATAGGCCCAGTCCAGTCAAGCTTTGATGCCAGTGCTGTTTCCTGGATTTACACAGAAGCACAAAATCTGGCTTTGTGTAATATTTCATCTGAACAGAGAAAATCAGCTTTTGCGTGTTTTTGAATCGCATAAAACCTCTCTGGCCTTTGACTTTTACAATACTTTTTTGTCACGCATCACAACTACAAATAAAATAGAGGAAAATGTTGCCTTCAGTGTAGCATTAATGTGAAAATCACCTCACGTCAAAGAGCCTTGAATTCATTTCATCTTGTAGTCTTCAGGTCTGTGGAGAAAACACAGGACGGCACATTAGTATGGAGAGGCATAAAAGTCTGGAAAAAGAAGCGATTACAAGGAAAAACATGGAGAGAAAATGACAGATGAGAAACCAGACAGATCTTATCATTTTTTCTTTTCAAAATGAGACAGTACACAGCATCCTCTTTGTGTTTTTTTCCCTTTAATTTCGAGGAGAAATTGCAGCAGACTGATAATATCTGAGCATGCTGTATTGGTTTTGATACAAAGTAGAAAAAATATTATAAAGTGTAATAGCGCTGCTATCAACTACAGCAGTATATTTATGTTGTCGTTTTTCTATGTCTGAGCACTTGTCTGTAGTGTGTGGGTTATTGCATATCCAATAATATCTTTTGCCTCTGCTCCAAAGGCTTTGAGAGAATATTAACTATGTGTTTAATAAAGGGTAACGATTGAATCGCCCTTGATGACCTCAACCTCATCTCCCCTGACACACACACAAGTGTATATATATATTTGATCAGTAAAATAAATGAGAAAGTGTGAGGGAATATTAACTAGGCCAAGTCCTGTCTCTTACATAAACCAGGATTGACCTTGACAACCACACAGTGACAGGCCTGAGCACACGCACTGATTGTCTGAGGAGATTGGATCAGTAAACAATAAGAAGTGGCTCATTTATCACCGTGCACACACACACACTGACAATGCCAAATGCCTTGTACACATCTGTACAAAGCACACAAGCTCAGAGGACAGTAACTGAATAACAACTGTATTTGGATCAGAGCCCTTTGTACAAATTCAGTGTTTTCACTCAATTTAAGTTATTTCACTTCAAATATTCATGCCAAACGTGGGTTGTTTTGTTCAAATGTGTTTGAAGTACCAGGTGGAGGGTTTTACCACAGCAAAATGGTATCAGGATCATAATAAAGTACTGGTGCTAAGTTTAAAGGGTTAATCCACCAAAATTACAGCAAAACATTATCTCAATTGCCTCTTGTCGTAACTAAAAATGCAGATTCGGTTTTACTCAACTCAATTTTGAGTCCGAGGTTCCTGCCTCAACCCTAATACAGTGGAGATGAATTGAACTGTGTTTGTGGTACTCACAGCACTAAACCATTACATTTAGAGGAATTCAATAGCAATAGTAGGCTAGTCCGAGAAACTATTCTCCCTGTTGCTCCACAAGAGCACACTGTTTTAATATGGACTGTTTCTTTAGTACAAAGAAGTCCCAATGAAAACTGTTGACACTGAAGTCTGGATTACCAAAAGAAACCAGAACACTGTTTCTGGAAAAACCCACTGTTGTTGATTTTCTATAAAATGTTATTTTTAACATGCAGCAAGGAACCGCAGATGGAATTCCATCAACCTCCACTGTACTGGGGACAAATCAAAACCAAAATGAGCTGTTAGGAGTAGAGGGGGTAATGTGGGTGAACTGATTCTTTCACAATTTGGGACTAATACAACAGTCCTGCAATAAATTTACCCCATTTATATCCAAGAGGTCAGGCTCAATCACAGAAACACTTCTTTGCTTAATGCAATACAGTTGAATCAGCACCTCTCTAGAACAAAACATTAACCCTCATAAAATTACTGTTATCAGACTGCTTTAGCTTTAACTATGTGTACCTAATAAACTGCCAACTCAATGTGTATAAAGCACACACGTGACACATTATTGACTTACTTAACGTAAAGAAACAAAAGTTGCGTGGTTGTTAACAATGATACTACAGTATATTAGACTGAGCCACAAGGCAACACTTTTACGAGTTCACCAACAACTTCTGATCAGTTAAAAGACAGACTAGCACAGGACATGTGTTGAGCTACCGCTCCTGTGTATGAAGAGGAGTGACCCTGCCCAGGTTAAGCAGCTGGAAGATGGACTGATGGATGCTAAGGTTAGCGCTCAACAGCTGGAGCAAAGAATGGTCTCAGTTAACCCGTCCGAATGATGTGTACTACAGGTGAGCCCGGAGAAATGCAAGAGGACGACTTTATCATGGCATCAAACCACGGGTCACAATGTCAGTCTAATCTCCAACCAGAAAAATACTCCACTCAGAAAAGCCATGAATATGATTATGCCAAATAACAGATGCTCTGTCTCACAGCCCACAGTGAAACCTTGTATGTCTAAACAGTCAGGGAGCGGTAGAAAGGAGCTGACTTTCTCCACATGCGTTTGTGACATTTTACTATTTATATTCAAAGGATTGGCACAGCACCTAGGCCAGGGAAAAAACTGAAATCTTTGAGATACAAGGTTTATGTTAAACAATACAACATCTAGAGAGTAGCAGCTGAAAGGCCTGTGATGTTTGCTGCTAGCAAAATGAACAATGGCCTTAAATTATAAAGCTTTTCAGGACAGTCTGGCATTTAACCAGAAAAGAAAAACATCACAAAAACCTTTAAATAAAGATGTCATATATTTAGACTGTAGAGCTGTATGCAAGTTGTTCCTATAACTGAATTCCCAAAGTGAATTTTTAACCTTAGGATATCTATTCCCATGAATCAAGTGACTGTTTGTCCAACAGTCAGTCCTTGTCCATGTGTATCATGTCACATACTGACAGCTCTTTGTTGGCTGACAATCATTCACACCACAGGCACATGTGTTTTTAGTTACAATGAAAAATATTGCATTTTATTTTTTCCTGCACAAGGGGAGAGTGTCAGAGTCAAACTGGCCACAAAAAAGGGGGTTGGCAGGCGTTCGAATTGGATCTATTCATGCATATGTTGCTTAGTAAGATGATGAAAACAACGCGCTCTGCACTACTGATGAAGTCTTAGCAGAGCAAAGCAGTGCATGAGTGCAAACCCCCCGTATTCATTGACACAAAGATTGTACCACACTGGTTAATTACCAGTGACATGCCACCTACTGTGATTCTCCTCTGTGGCCAACAACCAGTCCAAATGAGCACAGCTGAGGAAGAGAAGTGTGCCAAATGAAAATGCCACTTTGTTGGTGCCTCAATATCAACTGTTGATTTTTAAACCTGTAATTCTTCTCAATGCAAAATAAAAAAAAAAATTTCTATCTCAGACACATTGTCTCCTGTTATTGTAGAGTATTCGAAAGCATTATTAATTCTATATAAATGCAGTTATATAGATATAACTGCATGACCAGCCACTACATCCCAAACAATCACAGGATGCCACTGAAAGCTACTTGATGACGACTACTGAATCACAGAGGCAGGTTGGCAGGAATACACAAAGTATCACTGTGAGATTGTACTCAGTTCAACATCACCCCCTTTTGGCTGTTCCTCATTAGTACAAGACACAAAGAGTTGGCTCTGTCTGTGTCACTCCGGTCATTTTATGAGCTTCTACCAAGGAACATTATGTTTGATGTCACCTTGTGACAACTGAACCACAAATAAGAAAAACACTACTGTACAAGTGCAATTTTTACAGTAGCAGTAGTCAGTGATAATTATCACTAAATAATTGCTGCATGTACTAAGTGATTCTTTGTCTGTTTCCATAACAGTGATTCAATGTAGTTTACAATTGAGATAATGTTCAGTGATGGTGAGTTTTTACTTGTGGGAGGAATTAAACAACAGATGCTATGACTCATTTGGTATTTAAAAAAAAAAAAAAACCTATAGCACAGAAGACCTTATATGAATGTGTAACACTCCACATGGACACACACACACACACACACACACACACACTCCAAAATGCCTTTGAAAAGGAGACAGCAATAAAGAGAGTGAGTCATTAATCTCGTTAATCTGCCGTGTGCTGAGGTTTCTGTGTGTGCTTCATTCAACTCCTGTATTCCCGTTTATGTGCTGCGTCACCTACATTTGCACTGTATGTATTGTGTGCCTTTCTTCAGGCATTGCTGTGTTTGAGTACAGTCTGTATGTGTGAGTTTCTACATACGGTGTCCACAGCCGGGGGAAGGCGTCTATCTCCTCCTGGGTGTACTCGCTGAGTTTCCTGGGGATTTCTCGGGGCTGAGGCAGCTCCTCCGTCAGGTTGGCTTGGATGTCCTCTGGCAGCTCCTAGCGCAGGTTGGACAAAGGAGAATGTTTTAGGCAGGACACAAAATTAGAGGAGAAGGGAAGGAAATAGGATGAGAAAAGGAATTGAAAGGAGATGACATGAAAAAGAGCGTGAGAATAAAAAGGAAGGTACCATTTACACCACAGAAGCAGCTCAGATATTGTACGCAAAGGCTCAAAGGGGAATCCATCACTCTCCAGGGTTGACAAACATTCACTGTCATTAATATTCATTAAAGGAGGGTGTGTGCCTACAGATTCATTAAGGAGCGGGCAAATAGTTCTGACTAAAAGACAAATCTAGGGAACAAAAACAAGAGTACTCTAGCAACTTCTCACTATCTGCATTGTTCTGAATTGCAGATGGGACTGCAGACATTCATGAGGCTCAGGAGGTCCATCTGGTTATAATTAGGGATGCACACTGCACAACATCAATTCAAATGTCAAGACAGGCCTAGGACAAAATAACAGACAGGTATCCTCACCTCTAAATCCTGACACCAAACAGCCCATGTACCACAAACTCCGTGATCTGACTTTCTACTCTTGTCACATACGCATGGAATTAATAACGGTGCTCCCACACGGATAAAATTTACATCAAGTTAATTTTTCGGCACGACGCCCGGGTCAATTAACAGCCTGTCAAGTGCTTTTTTTGTTTCAATCCATTTCAGAAGCTGTGATGTGTGACGCTGCCGGTTCTCGCCAATGCAATTTTAAAACAATCAAAATTTAATGCTTGGGAGCGCCAAAGGTGTTGTCTATGAACTGCAGAGACCATAATTCACCGTAGCAATGACGCAATGCATGTTTTCTCTATTGAATAAAGTAGTAAGAGGAGACAGTTTGACACCAGAGAACTGAGTGAGAACACATTACTCAAAAATGTGATCAAAGCAGTATTCATTGATTATTTTAGGCTTCGCGGCAGCAACGGTATGAACTGCATTGCTGAACAATGTATAGAAAACCCAAAACATAACACTGACATCAACAAACACCTGCTTATTTACACACCCAGCAGATACAGAGCAACATTAGCTCATTCACTTTCCCTCAGCTCCTTTTTTGTCTTTATCAACTGCTGAAAAATATCTGGCTCTTTAACTTCTAAATGCTCCTCTATGTTCATCAGCTAGTCATTAACTGTCTGCCATTTGGTGCTGAGCTAAGGTAGTGCACAGTTGGTTTATCAGAGCTCACTCAAAACAGCTGCTTGCTGCATCTGGGAACAAGGTTGGTGAGAGCAGTGAAAGCGAACCAAAACAGTAAAAGTGTAAGGCTCTGAACCCGAACACTGAGCACTATGAATGAATGCTTTCACATTACACGGTCATTTGGTCTGTGTAATTCTTATCATTTCAGTTTTTCATGTAAGAAAAAGAAAAAGAAAAAGAAAAAGAAGAAAAAGAAAAAGGAAAAAGAAAAAGAAAAAGAAAAAGAAAAAGAAAAAGAAAAAGAAAAAGAAAAAGAAAAAGAAAAAGAAAAATAGATTAAATAAAATAAAAAAAATCGTATTATAATTATTAATTTTTGCTGGTCAGATCAATGTACAATTAAGATTAAGATTTGAGTTTTAGTTCTAATTTTATTTGTGTTGAAAATTGAAATATAGAAAATCCAAAAGCTTTCATTTCTGTTTGTGTCTTGGGATCTAAATGTCCGACTCAACTTACGTCTGATTGGCTGGCTAGGGCCGTTTCTATTGAAAATTGAACTAATAAGCATTACACAGGCCTACATTTGACCCCTTGTAGCTTTAAGTCATACAAAGTGAAAAGTGCTTCTGAGGCATCTTCACAACCAGTGAGAAACACCTCATTGTCCAGCACTTCAAACAGCCACACCAGCTAGGAAAACACAGATGGAGAAAAGAACTAATACTCTACTACATTAAAGGAAACAATCATGTTGAACTACATATATTAATTAACTGATATTAACTGTAAAGGTGAAGCAGCTGAAATGAATAAAACCTTGACCCAGATAAAGGTTGGGAAAATAAGATTAAAATTGGCTCTTTTTTTTTTTTTGAGTCAGCCCTTCTCATGATGTGCCCTCTCTCTGATTGTCCTTAATAAGGCTGGATGATGAAGTTGTAGGGGGAGAATCTGTCAACCTGTCAGCTCTGAGAAATGAATCAGGAAACAGGACTTACATCATCAGGAAAGATGTGTAATCGCTGCATCATGGTGCGCCGGTGTAGATTTTTAGGCAGCATGCCGTAAACTGCCAACTTCACAATCTGGTGAGAGGAAGCACATTGAAAAGGTTGAAAAGTCAACTTGCTGTTTCTCGTAAGAAGTCAGCATCTACAAGCAACCTTACATAATTTTTTCCATGTTTTTCTTACATTTGCTTCCCAAAAATTGTCCCTCAATATGAGTCTGGTTGCTAAAATGTGAATTCAACTTGGACAGAGTTACTGGACTGAGATATTGGACAGATATATTGGAGAGAGGCAGTGCTGACAAATCATTCATCTGTCCAATTCTATTTCTCCTTCTTCTCTCTCCAAGCTGCCGAACCTCATTTTAACTAAACCACCATCAGGACACACGTCTGTGGTCAGAGGCTGGACTTAAACCTGCATCAGCAAAGAGCCAACAGCAGAGAAGACATGTCTCCTGGTTTTGTAAACTACAGTTCAGGAACCAGTACAGGTCATTCACCTACTTCAAGTCGTTCCCACATGACAAAAGCAATTTTCCGGTGTTTTTATTAGTCTACACAAGCCACATGTGGAAAAAGTCTACACACTCATGCTGTATAGCTCTCATTCTGCTGTTGACATGTTAAATGATTCTGGCTAGCACTGTTGCTATTGTGCAACATCAAATCAAATCCCATCAAAATTACTGACCTGTAAAGCTCAGTTTTTAGGCTAAATGTTCCACTGATTAGTCTAAACAGCACGTATGCATGTTTTACCATGAAGATGCAGCTGGGAAAAGGTCAATCAAACATTAAAGTGAAGCAATAGACAATCATCTGACGTAACAATAAACAAATATGATAGCACTCAAACAGATCACAGAACAATGCATGTCAAGACTTAATAGGATCATTGTCCCCTCTCTTGTGTTAGTCTGTTTCTCGATAGTTTCTGACTCCCCCGCTCTGTCTGTACCATTCAACCTCAAGCATGTTTGTTCCTAAAAATCTTTTTTAAAAAAAAGAGTTCACAGATATACAGCATCATTTCTTAAAGCCTCAGTAATTTCCTAAACAGCTGGGCACTGTAGTTTTTAGCAAACATTACTCAAACAAGAGTAAATTTGTTGGGGACTATTTTTAGATGCGGATTATTACACATTTGGGTTTTCCAAGTATTTTTGAGTGTGGAATCAACTCAAAAATAAACTGCAGTGCCCACATAGGCCTGTTGTGGCGAAGGAATTTACCCTGCTGAGATTTAAGATGGCTTAACAGTGCGGTATGTGATATCTGTCAGGACAGTGTGTCTGGCGCTCTCCACAGCTGAGACTGCTGCTCTCCGCACATCAAGCTCTAAATGTAATTTTATCTTTGAGTGTAAAAAGCCAGGCTCTGGTCCTCCTGTAACACAATGAAAGGTCCGTAACCCTGAAATCGTGAATATGCAACACAACCAAACCCCAGGAATTATCCCTGAACTGACATTCATACTGAGTTTCAGCATCAGCAGTGTAAATCCACTGCTGTTTAATCCCTGTACTCTGCACCACACATTAATGTGCACAAGCAGCACATACGAAGGAAGGGATAAATGTCAAACCAACACCTACTCTGAACAGCATGTGGCAGACAGACATTATACTAATCTCCAAGAATGTGGATTAAAATCATACATACAGTATAATAGAAATCCATGGTGTAAGGTATGATGGCAGTGGCATTTCTGAGACTTTAGGATATTTTCTGTCAGTAAGATAAAATACTGACTGACAACACTTACAGCTTTTGGGTCTTTTTGATGCAGCTGGGCGGCTGTGACTTGTTTGAAGCTACCTGGATACCTTTGGAAAAAAGAGAAGCTAAGTCAGTCCTTGTTGTGCTTGACAAACTGAGACCATGAAGCTTTAACATCTTGTATTCCACTTAGAGCCATTAAATATATATAAAAATCAAAGTATGCATATATCAGACATGACAAAGAATAACATCTTCTACTGAACACAATTAATTGATAGATTAGGTGTTTTGTTTTTTATCTCAACCTTTTCTGTTAAACAAAGGAAATACATCGTTGTAGGAAATGGATAATGCATTTTAGGTATTTTAGGTATTCGAGCATTTAATGCAGGCCTCACTGTGTGTCACATTCAACTAAAAAAACTTTGGAGAAAACCCCCCATCACCCAATCTCTAATACTATGCAGAGATTTTAAATGTTTAACTTTACCAGTTTATTTTCATAAATCCAGAATATAAATACAACACAACTCCACCCCATCACAAAAGCTGTGGTGCGTTTGTGGACTGCTTTCATTCCTAGTGACTGTGACAAGAGGCTGCGGAGAAATGCTTTGTATCCAAGTTTCAAAATGTCCTGAAGAGCAAAAAAACTAAAAAAAAAAAGCAAAAAGAAAAGTGTCATGTGATTTAAGTGGGCACTTACCCTGTGTGTGATGAGTAGACTTTCTGTTCCCATTTGTTGCCAGAGAAAGCTATGTGCTTGGTGTTTATTACTACTACATGGTCACCACAGTCACCTGCGAAGATGATCAAGAAGTTACTGTTGTTAGAAACTATAAAAAGAAATGATGATGCCAATGATTATACCAAAAACAGCAGCTAGTTTGCTAAACCAGGAAAGACACATCTTTCAAAAAAACAAAGCATATCATGGGAGTGTAACTTCTTACAGAATTTGTGGGAAGGAAGAAAAATTATTTTAAAAGTTTATCCTCTACTGCCACCACGTGGCCAGTCCATGCCACAACAACTTTAAACAGGGATGGGATTGTGAGCAGATGCAGCTCCTACTCACTGAGTGCGTGGTAGATAGGTTTGTGTTTCCCCTGTAACCTCACAGAACACATGCTTGCGATCTTCCCAGGAGGCTGCATCCTGGCATCAATTAAGAACCACGAGCGGGCGAAGGTTGCCCATTGCTGAAAGCACAAAGGATAAAGAATGAGATTAATAAACTGACGTCCATGGGACCATGACAGGTTTAATGGTACGAGAAAAGCACAAATGATCTTTTTATCGTGGACTCACTGTCAAGGTGTACTGTGACACTGAATACAACAGAGCCACCGTTACTGTTGTTAGTTAACACGTGTGGATTTTCTACTGTGACCAGTCAAAATGTCTGCTGTGAAAAAGGTCTCTGGCATTAGACTAGGTATGTGAACTATCTATTGTAAAGTACTTTAAATAAATATGTAATTAATTTCTAATTTGTTAATGTTACTGTACAATGTAGTATTCGACCAAGGCATCTGATTGGTCTCAAATTCATTTTGCAGCATGAAAATGAATCAAAGCAGACAAAGAGTCGTGCAGTGGATGGTATTGCCGCCACAGTGCTCTGATCTCAACATCATGGAGTCAGTCTGAGATCACATGAAGAGACAGAGGACACAGACAGCCTAAATCCAGATGAACTGTGGCAAGTTCTCCAAGATGCTTAGAACAACTTGCCTTGAAAAACTGTGTGCATGTACAGCTAAGAGACTGCGCCTGTTTTAGAGGCAGAGTGGTCAGAGCAAATCCTGATTTGATTCAGGTTTTCTACGTTTACTGCACTTTGTATGAACTTAACCGATGAATAAACACTATTCACTGGATTATTTTTGAAAGTACCTCTTATTCTATATTTAAAGCCGAACGCTTTTGCAGAGCACTGTATATCTCAAAGCTCAATTTTAATAATTAATTCCTATGTCACTTCAATTCAAGTTTTAACAATAGTAGCAGCCACGCAACTGCACCACGATGTCCACATCTCACACTTTTCAAACCCGTGTGTTTATCCAAAAAGATTGAGAGTATAAAGGAACTCGGTTGTAAAGAAGTAATCCAAAAATATCCCATAACAACGCTTCAAGGTGGCATTATTTAACTCCATGTGAATGTTTAGATACTGCTACCTAGAACCAATATTGGACTTACAACTATAACGCTTCTTGTGAAGAATAGCCTCAGACTACAAGAGCTTCGCTTCGTTGGTATTTTTTTTTTGTCCAACTGTTAAACACTGTCCATTAGTTTACAAGCAAACCTTTACAACAATATTTATAATCACACACATACACACGCAACGCGGCTAGCTCGTTAGCAACGCTAGCTAACAATGAGGCTATCGACCTGCGTTTCATTAAATACAATTAACAGTCAAATTGTGAGTTGAAAACAAGATAATGCATTGTATAATGTGTAAAATCACCTGGGCAGATCTGGAGAAACTTGACATTTCGACGACACCACTAGCACATCCTCAAAACATTTGACCCTCAACGTGAGTAGCGGTCCGTCCGGTAACTTTACCCGGTTGAAACAAGATTTGATACCTCGCTGATCCTATGTTACAACTTTATCGATATCTAGCTCATGTGGCAAAATATACTGGCACATCACGGGTGCGCTCGTGTGACTTGTAAGGAAATCTTAACAACAATCTTTAAATAAATATACGATTCTAATTGTTTTAGCATTCATTTAAGAGTCTGTCAAACAGTAGTTTCTACCCGGTCCTATTTTGACGTCGCACCTCTACGTAATTCACTTCCTTTCCATAATAGAAAGAGAGCGGGGAAATTTGACAGTCAACGAGTGTAGCGAAAGAAAAAAACATTAGTTTCCACTTCTTTAATACGTTATTATAAAACAGGTAGTTTCTGGCAGTTTGTCTCGCCAGTCAAACGGTTTTATTCGTCAAAATTATCGATTGAACCTGCCGTCATAGCTAAACATGAGAACTTTAGAGGAGGTGCAGGCCACGCTGCAGATCGCCAAACTGAAAGAAGAGGATCTACAGACAACAATCCACTGTCTGACTTTTGGGGAAAATGTTTCGTCTGCAGACTACTGCCTGATGGAGCTGGACGACACACTGTGCAAACACATAGAAGCTGGTGATAGGTGAGATAATGTGCATTCAATGTTTTATTCTCTTCTTAAGGTCTGATTAGTTTCAGGATTGGTTAAGTTACTGATGTAATTGTTGAATGATTTAAATGTCAAAAAAGATATAATATATCTTCTCAAGTGCCCCAGAATGCTTGTTTTATCTGACAACGGTTATTTAAGTTACAATGATATAAAACAAAGAAAAACAATAATTGTACTAATTTGAGATGAACCAGTTATTCTTTTTGTTTTTTTACTGAAATGGTTGAAACAAATATTTTTAGATTGTTGTTTATTTTGTGTAATCAATTAATCAACTCCGTTTTGGCACTACTGTTCATTATTTTAAAACCTGATATGGGCACATAATCTGTAAACTCTTGTCCATATTTTTCTTGTTTAACAATTGAAAAACGAGGATGAAGACAATTAAAACTGATTTACAATAGCACAAGTTGCATGAGCAGGATCGACGTAAATACAAATGTAAATTTCTGATAAATAAATAACTAACAATTATAATTTTCTCCTTTTCCAGTCTAGTGATTCGGGGGGATAAAGATGAGCATGCGGTGCTCTGTAGTGGTGACAAGACCTATGATCTTAAAATAGCCGACACCTCCAACCTGCTGCTCTTTGTACCAGGATGCAGAACACCAGACCAACTTACTAACAGCCAGGAGAGCTCTCAAGTGGTGCATGCTCAGGTACGGAAATGATACATACATACACACGTGTACCTGGCTGATATACTGTAACACCCATACAGACATATGCACATAATGGTTGGTTGAATTTATGACCCACATATACTAACAGTATCCTACTTCTGTTGTAGATCTGGGGATTTTGCAACAGCTACTGGGAACTGAGGAAGCGGCGTCCTAAACTGAAGAAACTGACAAAGCTTTTAATGGAGAATCCCTATGAAGGGCCTGCTTTAGGAGGACAGGAAGAGAACACAGAGAATAGGGTAAAACACAATACACAGTAAAGTCATTAAACATAATACCCTGTAGCACTGAATATGAAAATATTGAATATATATATAAAAATAAATGGCTATTAATTTGAGTATTATTGGCTCAGATGACTGTTCCTACTTTTGCATGTTATTGTAGCTCTCAGTAAGTGCTTCACTTTGTATTCTTCTGTTGTCAGTACACAATGCAGGATCTACTGGAGAGGATCCAGGCCAGTGAAGAGGAGATAAAGACCCATTTAGATATCATCCACGCCTGTCAGGTTGAAGGTAAAGTGTGACTTTTTACGTGTATGTATTGTTTAACCTACCAGATGTTTGCAAAGAGTATCTTTCTTTCTTTCTTTCTTTCAGGCTACTGGCGCATGCTGGACTTCGACTATGAGATGAAGCTGCTCGGTCATGTCACTCAGCTGGTGGATTCTGAGTCATGGTCCTTCGACAAGGTTCCCCTTCAAACCAGTCTGGAAGAGTTAGCCCCACTGGAGCCCAAGTAAGTTAACGCCTGGGATCCTCGTGTTCACCTTTAGAGATCTACAAAAGGAAAAGCCAAATGCTGACAGTTAAAACTTAAGTTGATTTTTACTTATCTTTAGAATGTGACTTAAGAATCCAAAAACTACCCAAATAGCATAACTTAAGAGGTTATACAGACTTTCTGAGCATCAATTATAAGTTTTAAAAATGGGGTAGATGATCAGGCAGGTTCCAATTATACTGTTCTCTTTCTCATTCACAGACAGATGATCGAACACTGTTTGAACTGCTATGGGAAACGTTATACTGAAAATGGTAAAAAAAAAACAACAAAAACAAGCAAACAAACAAACAAACAAAAACAATATATGAAGATTCAATTAAATTGGTAGGAGAATCTTACCCAATCTGTAACTCAACCCCCGCAGTACTAAAAGTCCTGTGTCCTCCTTCGTCTATGCAGATGAAGTGTTTTATGCACTGCACGAGGATAAAGTCTGTCGGGGCATAGCACTAATGCTGCTGCAGAACGCTGTCAAGTTCAACCTGAGGGAGTTTCAGGAGGTCTGGCAGCAGAGTGTCCCAGATGGCATGAGCACAAGACTGGACCAGCTAAAGGTTAGCCTGTACCTCTCTTATACTGTATATTGCAATCCGAGTAAAAGAGGGGGATGGTGGGTTTCCGTTTTTCTTTGTGTTGGAGTATAACGTTGTGCATTTTGGATACAAGTTTTCTACAGTATTTACATTTTTTTTCTACATTTTTTTAGTACAATGCTCAGAATTTTTAAAATAGAAGAAGTTTCAACACCAAACAAAATGTAAGAATTGCTTCAACTGCAGAATTGAGACTTTCTCTCTGCAGCACATCTTCCCCATAGAAATGCAGCTTCATACTATCTCTGAGTATGAAAAAGGGGCACCGTCTGTCACTGCGTTTTTATAGGGGTAAAATAAATTGACTTAAGAATTCATATAAAGCCATTACAACTCTAGGAGTCAGGAATCAATTAACATCACCAGACTCTTCTTTCCTCTTTCAAGCCAGTTTGCATTTTATTTAGTTTAGAATTTAGTTTCCAAATGCCTCCTACACAGACTGAGCCAGGATGGAGCATAGTTGTTCTAAAGCTAGCGTTTGCTCATTATGATGTTGTGACAAAGGAGTGACCTGCTGTAGCTCTTTCTCTGTAGTCATTCCTACTGACTGACCGTCTTGAGAGACTGACTACAGTGCTGATGGCATTGTAAATCTTTCAGAGTGTTGCCCTGGTGGACCGCATGTCCCATCCAGAGACCATCTGCCTGCTGCGGGTGGAGGATCTCCCAGAGGACACGCTGGAGCGCTTCAACCACCTCTTCACACTCAGAGAGAAATGGACAGAAGAAGACATTGCGCCATACATACAGTTAGTGTTATCCATCCAACGAATGTTCATAATCTTTTCAAAGCAAAATAACACGTGGATTACCACATTAAGTGACCTGGGTCATTATAATGTGTAATGTTTCACTTCCTCCCTCTTCTCCTCGTCCAGAGACCTGTGTGGAGAGAAACAGACCATTGGAGCCCTCCTGACTAAATATGCTCGATCTTCCATGCAAAATGGGATCAAGGCCTTCAACTCCAGAAGGCCTGTGGCTACGTGAACATGTCCACCGTCAAGTGATGAATTTACATTTGAAATTAATGTGGTTACGTTTATTTCCAGTCTGACTTTTGCAATTGTCAAAATTATCTTACTCATAATTGTCCTTAAAAATGTTGTTAGCATTGTTGGTATTTATCTTAAAGGGTTATTGCAAATAACCAGTTAAAATTCAAATGTTTAAAAGTTTTTGCCTCTAAAACCAAACTTTATCTTTGTTATTTCAATTCCTATTTTTGTCTGTAAAATATGCTACATGTTGATAATAAAATAAGTTGTCATAACAATATCACATGTGTAATCAACCTTAATTATCAAACTAATCTTGGCCTTTTCAGTCTCCTATTGTCCTTAATTAAGTTAAATTGGACAAATTAGTGCCTTTTTACATTTCCAACATACAATACAATGCAGGTGCGGTGCTGAAGTCCACAAGGTGGAGGCCTGTGCTGATGAATGTAAGCTCCACACACGGACTGTGTAATACAGTATGTACTGGCTGAAGACCAGCTGCATTATTCCACCTGCCTTGTTCTTCACTGCATTCAAATGACAATTATTTGAAACAGAGATTGAGACAGAATCACACAAATGATCTTTGAGAATGTTTTGATCTACAGACCTGCTTAACGTCCTCAGGTTGCTTAAAACCATCAGGTTTCTGCAGACTGGATCCCAGACTCAGTCACATATATAGCTGAAACAATTAAGTGATAAATCAGTGATCAATCAACAGAAGATTTATTAGCTATTTGGATAACTGATGATATTTCAGATTTCTTTTAAGCAAAAGTAGAGAAAAAAATCATTATATTGCGGCCATCATCTTCTAATCAGTGGTAAAATGAAAATAAATCAAATAAAAACACCTACAGATAAATTACCAAGTTTTTGCTGTGATTCTGATTCAGATCTTTGAATTACAATTCTTTCATTTAAAAAAATTACACATTTGTCAAGTCTAATAATTGAGACTGAATTCAAGCTGAGCAGATGATACACAGTGAATCATATAGCATGTTGTTGTCAGCATTTTTGACTAAGTACAGATGAAACACCAGAACCACCAGTTTTCTAGTTCATGCCTTCATTACAGTTGCTATAACATTTAAAAAGGATTTCAGTTAATCTGTGACCATAGAAAAGTGTATACTATAAATCAAAAATGCTACACAAAACTCATTTAATTATTTCAAAAACAGTCTCATCTGTCAGATGACATGTCTGTGTTGTTAATGTGTGCATTTAGTTTTCTACAGGTCAAGTTAGCAGTGATGTGTGTGACTCGCTGTTTTTTCTTCCCTAACATAACATGTCTGTGTGTGAATCAGTGTTAGTCGCATGAGAAAGAGCTCACCAGACACTTAGTAAAAGCTGCCCAGCTTTGTTTCAACACAGACACATAAACATCTGTGTTTGCAAAATGACTTTATTTGTACTGGCTAGCTGACTAACCCTGACATCACCCAAAAGGAGTACTGACTTATCAGTTCTCGGGGGTAAAAGGATCACAGCTGTGTGTGCATGTGTGTGCACGCACTGGTCTGTGTGGCGCCCACAAAATGATGAATTCTCTTTACTTCCTCTCCTGCTCTGCATGACCTCTCTTTTTTTTGTACTCTAATCATTTCTTCAACCATCATGACTACTGCTTCTCCATTCCTCTTTCCTCCTCCTTTCTATGGAAAAAAACACTCAAGCGTTGTCTGTGACTCATCTGCCCTCATCTTCCTCTTTCTTCTATCACAGAAAGTACATGACAAGCAAAAAAAAGCCTTACATCATATGAGCAGATGGGAGTGACTGCATAAAACAATGATTCATACTTTATTGACGATATCACAACACTGCAAGGATTTTTTGGTATAATATTTTCCAGAATATTACATGAGAGTAACATTAGGAGAAAAAAATGTGCTGAGACTTAATTAAACACAATGTAGGCAGGAACTATAATACTTTGAAAATTGACCACAATATTGTGACAAACAGTTAAAAAAAATATCACTTTAAAAGATGAGTTTCGTCCTTAAGATCACGCTGGAAACTGACCAGAAGCATGGTAAACACTTCCATAATTTCTCAACATGCTCAGTCATTCATTGTTGTTTGTTTGCTGTATCTGACTGTAGCCCAGCTTTACTGATAATGCTCTCTCTCCCTCAGAGTTAGGCAATTTTTGACTTTCTCACCCTTATAATTTCTACACTTTCACAGACCAATAAATAATTCTCTGTCTTCATCCTTTTTGCAGCACACTATATTAAGGCATTAAGACAAATACAGTACCTGAGAAAGTCCTTTATCGTATACACAGCTTTCATTCTCTTGGTCTTGTCTTAGACAATAAACCAGCACTACAGATCAGCTCACTTAAAAAAAAAAAAAAAAAAAAAAAAAATACAATTTTCCCCTTATTCTAAGCATAATGTGTTCTTCTGAAAATCACTAAAATGACTAACTAGCAGTATCACATTGATATTAATTTGCTCTTGGTTTTGTACTTAAAACCTCACATGCCCTTTCTTTGGTCCTGATCTGGACTCTGACCGGACTGTAGTAGATTCAAAATAATCATGGCACTGTCCTCAGCTACAACACTTTGCAAATCTAATAACTATTCATATGAAACATGTTTTAAGTCATTACTAATGCATGCATTTAATTTTGTTGTAAAATGTGCCTGGATTTAAATCTGGATATACTGTAATTAATTTACAACACTGATACCATGTACCAAGTACAGAGGAAGCAACAGTTTTTTTCATCTTTTATGATCCAAAATCAATGCACATTAAATTTGTAAACAGAAACTGACTGAGAAAATTTAACTCTAGTCAATTTCAATTGTTTTTTAAAAAGTGAGCTTCTACCATGTGTTTTGGAATCAACCAGCAATTCAGAGTGACCATCCTGTCCTCCTGTCCTCTGCAGGCAAAGAATACTGTGCGCTAACTGGCTACCTATGCAGCATGTCCTGCAGGTCTGCCACGACATAGGCAACAACGGCCCACAATGCCGAGCAGAGGTTCATGTCTCGAGGGTCCTGAACGGCCATGGTATCACCCTCACTGTGGTGGAACCAAAAGTATCGACTGTCTGCCACATGGAGGCTGGCACCTGGATGAGAGACAGGGAGAAAAATTGATAAAACCACAAACTGTTACACTCAACATTACATGCTGAAGAGTCAGCTGTTTAAACAAACCTGGACTCCAGGCCATTGAATTTCACATCTGAACTGAAAAATCATCATTGCATCTGGTTTAATCCTCTAGGATATTTCAATGCAAGGGAAAGCAAAAGTCTGAACAATACAAGGAGTATTTGCATTTCTTGGCCCGACTGATCTTAGCCTTTGAAAAATAACTATGGCCAGTAAATACTCGGAAATGGTCATCTGGCAAAGACTAAGGGAAATAAACCTGTTTCTAGTCTTGGTTAAGATAAAACAACTTTGACTTCTCATTGTGGTTGCCTTTCTATTTCAATCTGTTCATTAACTTCCTCTTTTGCTTTGCTGATGTATTAAAATAACTATCAGTGTTGGCAGAAACAAAATGAGCATTAGGAGATAAAGTAATTGAGCAACACTTAACTCTAAAGCTACTTTTTTGGTTTAGTATAGTATAGATACACAGTACAGTCACTTCATTATACTACAAACAGTCTATAGTGTTCATAGCCAAGGCAGCTCCTTGCCTTTTTCTAGAGAAAATCACCTTTGGATCTGTTTAATTTTTGTTGCTGCTTTTTTATTCAGCATTGTGATCTTGTCCATGTAGGTGTGAAGGGCAATGAAGATGTGGAAAAAGGTAGTAAGTGGACTCTTGACTTTGGATTGTTTAGTCAAACTAGTACAGTAGTAGAAATACATTTATAAGGTCACAAATGAATTTATAATTCTAAGCCATTATAGACGAGAAGTACTATAAATGCTCCACCTCCCTGACAACTGAGCAAACAGCTGTTAGTAAAGCCCATGTGGCACAGTTGAAAGCACCAGAAAAATGTAGTAACTGGGCCACTCCACACTCCAGTCCAATAGGTGGCGGTAAAGCAAAAAATATTGGCAACTAATCCATAATTGACAGAAGAAGTTGAAGTTGGTTTGTTTTTAGCCATGTTAGCAATTCCTGTAAACTGACCCAGTCAGCTGTCAAACATGGGTCGCAAGTGCGCTTATCCCGAGTGCAAAAGCACAGAGGGACTACACTCTTTACCGTCCAACAGAGAGATGGCACACCGCTGGCTGCATGCTCTGGGACGGCTTGACATACCCACAGCTTCTGTTTACGTGTGCAATCTCCACTTTACGCGAGAGTGCTTCTCCAACTATGCAGAGGTAGAAATGGGATTCAAAAAACAGCTTCTCCTCAACCATGATGCCGTCCCTACCCCTGCAAAAGTGGTGACACAGGTGAGTAATCCTCCCAACACAGATAATGAAATCCAAGCCCATGCCGACTTCTGGCTGTCTCAAGAACAATGTGCAGCGATCCACTGTGGTCTGGAGATCCTTCAAGTCCCATATCGTAAAAAAAAGGGGTTTGATTTTGTTTATTATAAACTCGGAGTTGTAAAATAAAAGCTGTGAAAGTATGAAGTCACCTACTACTGCCTAGCTCCCCCACAACAAGATGCCCCACGGTTTTACAAGCGAGTAAGAATTTGATCCGGTTTCTACGTCGAACCCGGATAACCTATAGTCGTCGAGCTAAGCAATCACATAACCCCGCGCCATCACTGTCCGCTAGGTGTGAGCCAGGTCAGAGAGTGAGGCCATGTCACTGAAACCCACTCACGAAAAATGCTTTGTTCGTGGCTGCAGAGCATCGAACAAATCTCTGCACCGCCTTCCCAAAGAGAAACACATCGCAGACAAGTGGATAGAGTTTGTTTTTGGAGACTCCCGTCGATATGTCTCGAGGAAGTCTTTTATGGTGTGTACAGCACATTTCGCACCAGAATGTATACACAACCAGATGCAATACGATGTTGGAGTACTTTCAAAATTAATATTGAAGAAAGGGTCAGTTCCAACGATCCGGGACCCATTCTCGAGCACTGAAACGGTAAGAAAGTGTGGTTTACACTGCCCAGGTTAGCCTGTTAGCATATCCTGCTGGGCTAACGCTCGTTGGTGGCTGATCTGCGTCGCGCATGCGCGAGGAGTTTGCCTTACAGATCGGGCATTTACAGACATCAACCAGCGACAAGCCAACATTATGCGGAGAGACTGTGGGTGAATTTTGTTTAAAATGTGTTCAGAATAAAATGAACTAGATGTTTTGCTCCTAACATTTAAAGCAGTTAAACTAAAGGCTAGCTAAGGAGCGTGAGATTTCCATGTCTTTACTGATTATAAAGCAGGTCTAGGTTCTATATAAATACTGTGCAAGTATCAAAACGCTCAATCCTCTGAAAAACACACACGCCACATTCAGAAAACGAGCCGTCGGGACCTCCGTAAGGATGTGATGTCACAACTACAGTCACCGCCCTCAGCCCACCCGCACCCACTAGGGGACTCCCCGTCCAACATTTTTTTTCTTATTGTTGTTAGCTTTATTAACAAGAAAATACCATACGTCATTGCGTCGCTGAGCTAGCAAGCTACAATACATTGCAAAATGTCGAGGAGGCGCTGCACAATCCCAGGATGTCAGGGAGCAAATTTATCGTTGCACACCCTTCCCAAGGATAGTAACATTAGAGACCAGTGGCTGAAGTTTATTTTCTCTGAAATACCGGAGCATTTTAGTCCGAATCTGACCGTCTGCTCGGCTCATTTCAGCGTCGACTGCTTCCTCAATCAGGCGCAATACAATGCAGGTTTCTCAAAGAGGCTAGTGATCAAGGATACGTCAGTCCCCACATTGTTGGGCCCGACTTCAAATCTGCAACCTGTAAGTAAACTAATAATATGTTTTCTGTATCAATAGGGAGGCAGTCTTATTTTAAGTTCTAACGTTTACCATCGCTATTTGGATTTACCAGTGAGTTTTACCAATATCACGTTCACCAGCTACAAAACACAGCACACCGTTTATGTAAACGGAAACGTTGCTGCGTTGGACACACAATAGACTGTATTTTTTTAAAAACACTCGGGTACAACCATAGAGTGTACATAACAGGGTTAAATACTCAGTTGCGTTTCTTCCTCTTCTGATGGGGGTTGGCATCCACTTTATTGGTGCATTACCGCCACCTTCTGCTCCGGAGGGCAGATCTTAAAATACATCCATGCTGCGCATTAGACTATGTCCCCCTTAGGTCTAAGACCTGAACCTCCACAGACCTAATTGATGCCACCTGATAGGTGATTGAGTGCAAGAGGCTGCAAAGGCTCAAAATGGAATAAAGAGGAATGGGACAGCACTTTGTGACATATCACATTACTTTGACAACACCAAAACATGTTTTTGATTTAGCATTTTTTATTTTCCCCCCGTTGCTCCCTTTTTGTAAATAAAAAATAAAATTGGATAGGAGCTAATGAAAGCAGATTTAGAATTCATCATCATATCATCATAGGACAGATAACTACACACAGTTCTGGCTATGAATCACCAGTGACCTATATGTTAATACTGTGGAGAGTCAGACCAAATTATACTTACTTGTAAACTAACTAATGTTAACATAGGGTTCATTCATTTCATGCTTGTTCATTAACCTTTTTTCTTATTTCGTTTTATGCCGGTTTGTTAATCCTTTTTTAACATTTCTGAGGTCCTCTGGTAACCATGGCAACCCCATGTTTAACATGGTATCCTACTGCACTGAAGCTTTAGTTTTGTCCCTCACTTGTAAGTTGCTTTGGATAAAAGCATCTGTCAAATGAGTAAATGTAATGTAAAACAGTATGAACTGTGAGTAATACCCTTAAGCAAAGTTTGCAGGAATGCAGACTTACGGAAAGTGTGCATAAAAGGCTCAAAATGTCTGCGAGAGAGCCCTCATACCCTTGAGGGTTTTACAGTGGGACAGCCCTAAGTCCTCATGGACTTACCAGGAACTTGCATCAAAGTCCTTGAGTCCATGAGGGTTGACATTGGGACTGGGCCTTAGAATCGAATAGGAGAAGGAGCCCTGGTGCATTACGCATGTGCTGTCTTTTCAATACAGCAGGGTTTACACATCTGCTGACTGGGTAACACCTCTGACACACCCACCAAACAAGAGAGGACGTACCTCAAAGCCCCAATGCACACATGGATGTATTCTAAGACCTATATCCATGGTTTCACACAGATTCGACAAACATGTGCTTCCACGCGTAAACTGTAGCAAAACACTGCACACCGCCTCCAGATTGAACGTGCTCCAAGCTGCAGTAGTAGGCTATAAATCCCTTTTTTAATGTTAAGAATCATATCAGTTCAAATTAAAAGTAGGCTAGAGTCCGTTACTGGTGGTTGGTCTGGCGGTGCATCACTCAGAAAAGAATCAGCCAATAAGAAGAGAGGCTCAGAGATGGACACAAATGCCATCTTCTTAGTAGAGCTTCAGAGGAAAGCTTATCGATATTAAAACTTAAAATAAAACAAAGGGAAACTGTAAAATATGTATCCTTCCCTTATAACTGTATTCTGCCTTCACCAGTTGAAATACATAAATAAATAGTTGGATAGACTTAAAGTAATCTTACACCTTTCTGCTTCTGTAAAATCACTAGTGCACAAAATCCACAGCCCACAAAAATACACACTTTACTCGTGTTCAAGTAACATTTGTTATAACATGAGGCCAAGCTTTTTAATCTAATGGTTCATCCTTTAATAAAAGAACACGCTAAATATCTGTAACTGGATTTTTAAAGGTTTACGTACTAAATACGAAGGAATGCGCTTGGGGTTGAGACACATACCAACAATGTGGTTTATTGACCAAATATCAAATATATACTGTAGAATATCACCAGTGTTATCTTCATTTTTTATTACATTAAGTAATAATAATAATGGTAGTACTAGTAATAATAAAATAATATTAATAAGCAACATGATTATGTGTATTAAATAAAGAAAGTAAATAAATAGATAAAAGAAAAGTAATTTATTAAAGTATTAAGAAAATAAGAAAAAAAAAAAGAGTTTTTGCTAACAATATACTGAAAACATCTGAGTACAGACTCATAATTTGTTGTGTTAATGATGGATTATTGCTGTTCCCCTTGTTTCTGTTAAGGGCACAGGTGGCAGCATTCATCACATTTTGCCTGCTGTAAGACACGTAGCCTCCCAGACTGACCCCCCAGAGAAAAAATCGGTTGGCACACAGCTGTCCATGAAAACTCTGCAAAATCACATCCGAAGTACAGGTTTGTGGTCCTACAAATCACCAAGTCATATATGAAATTTAGTTGTTTTTGTTTTCACTTAGCTTAACATCATTCATATTGCTCCTGTTGATACAACTGTGAGAATTACTAATTTATTTGTCTCTGAAGCTACCCAGGCAAGAGTGCCCAGCAAAGACTGTGGTGTTTGCACCCTCACCTTTCCCCTGGACAGTCCCATATTGTTTCTACAACCAACAATAGTAAAGAGACCTTCAAAGAGACCTCGACTCAGCCTTACAGACGAGGAGGAAGGCCCGTCTGAATGCAGCTAGTCTCAGCTGGTTCATGAACCAGAGAATTCAACATGACTCTGAGGACTCTGTCACTGTTGAGGGCAAGCAGTTGCATCTTTTTTCACCTTTTTGGCTCTCTCTCCATGCAGAGGAGTTGGTGAATGACAGATTAGTGAATGGAACAATTCAGAATGCTTGGAAACTTGGACTTTGATGTAAAACAAGCCCCAGGAAACAGTGGTAACAGTTACAAGGTACCTGTACCTTTGTCCAATTGAACTGGTGCTTGTCTAAGTTTTCACAATGGGCTTTCATGATGGTTTCCCTTCACTCCGTCTGATACACATGCCAGAACACAAGTCATAATATTTCTGGATCGCCAGAACTGAGAAAATACAGGAAAAAATGCATTCAAAGTGTCCTTGAGCAAGGCACCAAACCCTCAGCTGCTCAATTGAAACTGTTTTTTAATAACTGAGTGGCTTCTCTGTTAATTGTTTTAAAAGGGGAAGTGTTTGTGATCCTCCTGGCTGAAAGTTTAAATGTTCTTTGTTTTCAGTTCCTCTTTCAACAAAATATATCACAATGTGTTTCTGTGTTCAATGCAATGTCACTACTACTAAAACTAGTCGGGGGGGGGGGGATTGGCCCATTAAATCTGTTCTATTTATTTTTTCACTATTACTGCTAAACAAAGAATCGCATTTTAAAATCACACTGGTGGAACAGGTGAAAACACTAGTGAAATCTGGCAAAAAAGGACCTTAAGGTTGATAACAATACTGGTCAATAGATGCACCACACAAACAGTGGAGGAAATATTTTGACCATGAGGTTCAATTTCAACTCTGGTAATGTCCACATTTCCACGGGTGGGGGCAGTTGCGAGGCAGGGTCACTGCCTTTGTCCCGTTAAGTGTTCAGACTATCAGACTAAAAGTGAAAATAAATTTCCAGACAGATGTTATCATAGAATTTGTGTGAAGCTACAGGTGCTGTACCAGGATGTTGACTTTAGAGCAGGCCCGCATGAAAACTGTCATTTTAGTGTTGACAGGTAAACTGTCAGCAGCATTTGTAAAGCTGGATCCTGTCACATGGGTTTCACTGTTCAACTAGCTATGCTGAATAAGAGGGGAATTTCTTTGTCTTTTTTATAGGAAAAATAAAAAAACATATACAGGTTCAGTATATATGTTGTAATAAAACAAAGTTCCATTAAGTTACACTGATTGTGTTCAGTTATTTCTAATTTATTCTTTAGTCATTGTTTTTTGTGTTATAAATCTACAGTATATTGTGTACCCAAGGTAGAGTGAGTAACTTAACTTAAAACTGATAAAAATTTAAAATGCCCACCCATTTTCTAAATATCTCATTTTCACTTCAGATTCATAAGAAATACAGTCGCTTAAATCACAGACATACTAGTAGTTTAGTAGTAGTCAAGACTCAAATAAAAGGTCATATGCAAAAAGTGTAGCTGGCAAGAATACTGGGATGATAATGAAGGTATCTGTAAGATATACAAGTATGGCAGAACAGGGAGGATGGCGCCGTCATTTTGAGTCAAGGACATTCAAGGCTCAATTAGAGGCAAGGACACAGGGCTAAATAAATCATTTCATAAAACAGGTGAACACCCAACTGGAGTATGAACTCTATTATCAGCCAAAATTCCCTGAGGAAGAAACCAAAACAAGACGCATTCCAAAGCTTTAGAAGACATAACGGAAAACAGCCATTACATTAACTATTTAAAAGAATCAGTTTTGGTTCTTAGATTTTAAAATGTAACCTGAGAAGCTTCCTGTTTCATAGGGATACAAGCTTGCCAAAGCTTCGACCAAACCAATGTAAGTATCAGGAGTAGATCTATGTTCTCTCTCTCCTTATTGGTTCCACATAACATCTATCAATACCATTTTCAATTAACATAAACTGTCCCATGAGCTTTTTATAACTAGACAACTTTGCCATCGCCATCAAAGAATACAGTTCTTCAGTCAAAGCCATTTCATCTCCCCAACTTATCAAGAGTCACTGATGTTTTGGAGGAGATGGCATGTGGCATCCTAGATGCACCGTCAACTCCATTGCTTTGTCATAAGCATACACCTTTGGACCCCACAGTAATAAGAAATATAATAATGAACATATTTGTCAATCCAAGTAAAAACAAAATGGCTCAAAGATGTAAATTCTAAGAGAGCTCACACTTGAAAAAAATTCTGTAAATTGGAAAAATATACTGTCTCCAAAAGGTACAAACAAATCTATCCCTCTTCCTTCACCAGCATTTAATAATTAATCATATTTTTGTACTTTCACTTCCGTAGAATTTTACTTTTACTTGTAATGGAGTATTTGTATTTTCATTTAAGTAAAGGATCTGAGATCCCTTACAGATTATGATATCCACATTCTAACATATCCCTAAGTACAAGACTAATGATAGAAATGTTACCCTAGCTATAAAAATGAGTACAGTAACACTAATTAGATAACAAATGGTAAAACATCATTTAAATTTTTTTTTTTTTTCTTCTTACATCTTGCATATTGTTTAAAGAAGAGACTGCATCAATGCACTGTTTGATTCATATATGAGAATTGCTACTGACTCAATGGTGAAAACAGATTTGTTACATGTTGGTGGATGTTATTTTTAAATTGTCCCACATACAATCCAGACCCTGCCTGGTTTTCCACACTCTGGTTCCTACATCCATCATCTTTATGTCTGGCTGATCAGACTAGCACTCCTGTGACAAAGCAAATTTGAAACAAATATTGATGCTGCTTTTACTTGAGCTAATGGGTGCATTAAGTGTCCCCATTTAGACAAATAGGCTCCTAAAACAGACAAACTGCTGCAGAAGCCCTAATACTTCGACTGTGCCATTGGGCAAGGGACCAAACCCTCAGCAGCTCCACTGGAACTGTTAAATGTTTGATAATGGAAAACTGTCACTGTAACCACGTAGCACATACACTAGTTCTCCTTGTCACTGCTTTAAAGTAGGAACGTTTGCGGTGCCTGGTTACATGCTGAAATGTTTAAATATTATGTTTGCTTGCTCACTTGCTTATGTTTGCTTGCTTTTTTCAGTTCCTCTTTTAAAAGTTATACAATAATGTATGTCTGTGTAAAATGCGATTTCACTCCTAAAAAAACTAGACAGAGCAGAGAGGGTGTTTGAACCACTAAATTTCTATCAAAGCCACAAACATAGAACCACACTGTTAGATATTGAGAACAATTACAACATTATTGTGGGTTCAATATATTATAAAGCAGACTTTCTAAAGCCTGATCTGTGTTGTGTGGGTTGCAATATCCAATGTACAAACTGACCTGCTTTGCCTTTTTTACAGGAACAAATACAAAGCCAATACAAATACACAGGTTCAGGTTTGTGTGATCTAATACTTAACAATTTTATTCTATTGATTATATCCTGTTTTCTATTTTATTCTTTATTCTATTATTGTAGCTTTACATTGTATACGTATCTTTTAAAAAATGTCAGCAGTCTGTTTTGGAGATTCAACTTTACTGACCGGACAAAGTCCCATCCTACTTGTAACGTCTTGAAGTTTCAATTCATACTTTTAAGAAACCCTACTTAAAGTGAAAATCGGCCCCTACGTCCCAACACTATACTCATAGTTCATCAGTGAGGATGTGATTCGGTGCACGTAGCACTTTCAGAAGCATAAAGAGCTCATAAACACCAGAACCAGAAAAATTAAAAAGTCATTCCCTAGTTATCTTTTTTTGTGTTCACGGCCGACACATAAAAATTCTTAAAGTTGTTATAATATCAAGTTTCACTGTGCTCTGTTATCTTAAGTGTTACTAGTTGCAGACAAACAGATTCAGCTGACCTGGTACTCCTGCCTGCATCCACGGTGAGATGTCTGTCCCTTCTCCATGTGTTTCCAGTTTGGTCGTATTAATGGGAGCCAACAGTTTGACCACTTCTTCCATCACCTGGTGATAAAGACACACACCAAAGCGCTTTTTAGCTCATCACACTGGTCTGTTATACACCAGTGCTTTTAAAACATAGTTAAACATTATTTCAAATATTTTAATTCCAAGATGCATTACCTAATTCTTGCATTAAATGGGCATTTTTATTCAGATGCAAGACTATAAGCCAATAGCAAACATTCTATGACCATGTCAGCAGATGTTACAGTGCCACAATCACATAAAAGATACACCACTTCTGTGGTAAGCCTGGGTTTTCTGCATTTACTGCTATGGTTTCTGTGGCAGAAACTACTTCCCACATGCAATTTAAATGAACAAAAGGGAGGTTAAGTGGGAAGTTGGAAAGTGGTCTTAAGGTGAAATGTAAATGTGAAGTAAGGAGTTGATGGAGGAAAAACAGCACATTTACTGGACTGGATACTAATTCATGCCACTGTGCAGAATCTGTGCTCAGACTTTTAAGCCTGTATAACTACTAATAATTGTGCAACAGTGTGTTGTTTTCAATCCCACCTGTCGTGCCACATCACTGCCTGTAAACTGCAGAGCCTGCGGGGTGAAAGTTCCCAAGTCAGACTCCATGACCAGGTCAAAGTTGGACAGGTTCACCTGGGTGGAGAAAGGACAGAGGAGATTGAAGAAATGAGGAAGTGAGAGGCCAAGACAGGCATGGACACATAAAAAAACAACCTAAGATGTGTTTGAATAATTGAAAACAACACAAACTTCAGTCAATGGAAATAGTGAGCCACTGAATAGTCTTCATATGAGACCTCACGAGATAACGTTAAGCACAACTACTTTCAAACCAGGACAAGAAAAATGGTACAAATAAATGCAGTAACCTTGTACCTCTGTTTTTGAGAGTGGAGTTTATTATGGGTTAAGGCCTGGTAGGCAGCCAAATCTCTAAAGAAGGAAACTCTGTAAGACTGTAGATTGCTGTTTAGATCCTTTGCACAGAGAAAAACCTGGTAGCTAGCCAAGGCCTCTCCAGTTCGCTGAAAGTATATTTCTACACTCCTGCAGTCTATACTTTCACAATGTGGAGCGACCCTCCTTGCTTCTTACAAGCAAGAACAACATTTGCTTTACTGCTGTTACAGTGTGCTCCCTATTAAGTATTGCAGTAAAAGTAAACAGTACCTTGTGTAGATTGTAGTACTGCTGTGCTCCAACTCCACCCTGCTCTTCAGCTGTCCACAGCACTGTTCGCAGGGTTCTCCTTGGACGCAAACCTAGAGACACATGAGGAGACGAATGAACACACAGCAATGCAGATACAACATGCACACAGGGGAGATAATGGCTCCAGGCATCACTACTGAAGTTATTTTCTTTAAAACTTGTAATACAAAATAAACTTTACTGTTCTTGACTATAAAACTTTTCATCAGTGGACCACGTACTCTCGGTTTGACGAACCTTTTTCAGTTGCATTCTTTTGTCTATAAGAATACTCAACTGTATATCAGTCTGTTTCCTAATTATGTGTGTTCTTGTTCCTTTACAAACAGTTGGAGGAAATTATTGTTTACAGTCAGAGGAATTGTTTTGTAATTTGTCCCTATGTTTGGAACTAGATACTCTGCTCCTTCCTCATGGTATTCACTACCTGGCTGTTGGAGATAAATGAAGCACCAGTGAATTTTATTATTCTCTCTTGTTCATGGAGCTTTACTATTTTTTGCTTTTATACAGAGAGAGTTGTACTTTTATGGCCTGGTCTCTTGTTTATAAATAATACTATTGACCTGAGTGGGCCAAGCTGGTTACATAAATAATACACTAAATCATTTACTTGACTTTGTTAATATGCTTGTGTAAGCTTGCTGCAGCCTATATACATTTCTGCATTTCCACACTATGTACATGTTTCTTTCTATGTAAGTACCTCTGTATGTTGTCATGTGCTTTATGTGTGTTTGTATATACGGTATGAGTGTCTCTTGCCTAAGTTCTTGATGAGTGACAGGGCCTCCCAGGAAATCATGGCTCCACCTCCATCATCCATGGCGCCCTGGCCCACATCCCAACTGTCCAAGTGACCACTCAGTAAGACGACCTAGCAGATTGGACAGATAAAAGAGATATAAACAAAGAAAAGACAGATTGAGAGAAAGCAGTGGGACACTTTTTCCAGGTGCATATACATGGCAGTTTGACTACATGTCTGCTCTGACTTAGACAAGTATGAGAGAACTGGAACAGATAATGCTGTCCAGCCCGTATCCTGTCTACATTTTATAATAAATCACACACAAACATGACATGACTGAAATTTGGCTCAGTTTTTAGAATTGAAAAAATACTGTTTATTAGCAAGGACAGCAATCAGACTCATAGAAACAGGAAACAAAGACAAAAACACACAGTTCAGAATGATATTTCAAATGGGATGCTCCTGACCCGTTGTTCCAGGTTACAAAACATTTTCTGACCTGATCAAGCTCCGCCTCGACAATGACCCAGAGGATATCCTTTCCATTAATACGAAAGCCTCTACCACACAACACTCATATAGGCCTACTTTCTGTTTCTGCTGAAGGTGCCACCAGTTTACTTAAAATAAGTTCAGTACTATTAACATTTGTGTAAATATCTACTTAAGCATTTAATACAGTGACACAAACACACACAGACATGCTTCTATTTGCAATACCCATGAATCACTGAATTTGTTTTGCAATATCAGACGAGTCTACCTCTAAATCAAACTTACGTTTTCCATGTAAGGGTTTATCCTGGGTTAGTGCATGTTTCAGGGATTTTACAGAGCAGTCTTTTGAGTGTGGAATTTGCTCATAAACATCCTGATCTTGCAACAATGAAATATCAGGACATCCACATCTATTTCAATCCACTGTGGATTATGTTCTGTTGTATTGTAATTCTTACAATGGTGAACCTCAGAAAGATTCTTCTACCCCCATTTACTTTATATCAATATACTTTTTCCCTCTTATTATTGAGGGGTACCATTAACTGACTAGTATTGTTTTGTACAATGTGCTGACAGTGAAGACAACTAAATACATTGCAGTCATCATAGTTTAAATGAGTGTATGCTAAAATTAACACCAACATTTCACCACATTTAGCTCCAAACATTGTTAGAAAAAAAAAGGGGTATGAATTTTCACTTTTTACCAGATTTACACCAATATTTGTGAACTTTGTCATATTTACTTTTCTTAAAAAATGTTTTTAATGTAATGTAAATCTTAAATTTAAATATTAAATCTAAATCTAGACCAGCAGTGTGAATTTGCATATTAGCCAAATATTTAGTTTCCTCCAACATTTAGATTCAACATTTTACATTTAGATCTAATATTTAGATTTAAACTCAAAATTTAGATTTGACATTAACATCACATTAAATATATATACACATACATATATATATATATATATATATATATATATATACTTACTATATACTATACTATACTATATACTTAAGTGACATCGCCTCAGCATCCGCTGACCCCGCTCCGTCATTTTACGTGGCCTACCACTTCGTGGCTGAGTTGCTGTCGTTCCCAATTGCTTCCACTTTGTTATAATACCCCTGACAGTTGATTGGGGAATATTTAGGAGTGAGGAAATTTCACGACTGGACTTGTTGCACCACTTTTTAAAAAATTGTTTTCAGCTAAATGTGGCAAAATGTTGCCGTTAATTTCAGTGTACGCCACTTTACAATCGCCTCCCCACACCAACAAAGTACAAAAGAGAGATATGGCTCAGTGTACTTTTTGTGGGATTAACAAAAACATTCTCTCCAACAAATACAGACAAGTATTTATAATCGGTACTCGACACAATCTGTCTAGCTATATGATTTGTGTTTTAGGCATAATTATTGACAGAAAGACTACATATCAGGACACTTTATATTTGAAAATTTGAGATTTTAATGTAAAATAAGGATGGGACATGTAGAGGTTCAGTGGGTGGAAAAGATCCCAGCAACTCATCACTCCCAGATGACTCTGAAAGGTCCTGAAAGGCTTAACTGTGGAAATGACTCACTAAACCTCAAATATATGTCTGTCTATGAACGTGCACACACGCACACATGCACACACATACACACACACACACCCCAACCACATTTTCTGCTACTGCCAGCCGGAGCACAAGTCACAGAGCCAGAAATGATGTCAACTATGCCATGTGTTTCATTTCCCTTTTCTATAATGAGGGACCAAGTGTTCATTCCCAGATCAAAATAGTAACAACTTACATCAGCGATGCTCCTCTAATCCAAGTCTTATGACTGATTTTGAAATTATCTACAGTGGTAGGATGAGGGTTAGGGTTAGGGTTAAGCCTTTTTCCCACAAATAGAGACTGTAGTTTGTAAAGATATTCACTCATATTACACACATTCAGAACTGCTGAAATAAAGTGGACATAATGACATTATTGCAATACCAAGCAGACTTAGTTTGCGCTCTCTTTTAGCAGTCAAAGTATGGAATCTTGTATTTGGCCATTTTGGACTATGCTATTATGACAACATGTTTTGCAACAGTTGAATCAGCAGGCCTTGTATTCGCAGGCTCAAGAGGCTGTGAGGGAGTAAAGGCTTACACACAAACAGTTCATAGTGGAACTAATCCCAGTGCAAACACCCTCTACCTTCATCTTCCAGCAAAAACGTATCTTATAAAATCATGCAGATACAGTCAGGAGTTTCACAGCAAACTGGGAATGGGTATAAATGTGATCTTAGTGACTTTGACGGTGGCATGATTGTTGGTGCCAGACAGAAAGGCTCCAGTAACTCACATAACCACTCTATAACTGCGGTGAGAATCTTGAGGTGGATGGGCTACAACAGCTTAAGATCAGATCGCGTTCCTCTCCTGTCAGGCAAGAACAGAAATCTGAGGCTGCAGTGAGCACAGACTCAAAACGGGACAGTTGAAAACTGAAAAAATGTAGCCTGGTCTGATGAATCTGGATTTCTGCTGAGGCACACAGATGGTTGGGCATCAACAGCATGACTCCATTGACCCAACCTGCCTTGTGTCAACAGTCCAGGCTGGTGGTGGTGGTGGTGTGATGGTGTGGGGAATGTTTTCTTGGTGCACAGTGGGTCCCTTAATACCATTCAATCATAGTTTGAATGCCACAGCCTTTCTAAGTTTTGTTGCTGACCATGTATTTCCCTTTATGGCCACAGTTTACCTTCTTCTAATGGCTACTTCCAGCAGGATAATGCTCCATGTCACAAAGCTAAAGTCGTCTCAAACTGGTTTCATGAACATGACACTGACATTAGTGAACTCCAGTGGCCTCCTCAGTCACCAGGTCTGAATCAAAGAGAACATGTGGTACAACAGGAGAATGGCAGCATGAATGTGCAGCTGACACATATGCAGAAATGATGTGATGCAGTCATGTCAACATGAACCAGAATCTCAAAAGAATATTTCCAACATCCTGTAGAATCTGTGCCACAAAGAATTGGAAGTTGTTTTGAGAGCAAAGGGAGGCCCTTCCCAGTATTAGTGCAGTACTCCTAATAAAGTGCTTGGTGAGTGTGTATACAGCACACACCATGATTCACCGTCCTCACGGTGGAAATTTCACACAGGCTTTATGTGTGTGATACATAGAAATGGAAAAAGTTAAATCAGTTTGGTCAAGTCTAACCAGAAGCTTCTTCTCCATTCTCCCGCATTATGCTGCAGTCCTGTTTTTAATGCAGGTTTAACAAATGTAACTAAAATGCACATACCATGCTCTGCATTTTTGGAAATGCCGGTTCAACCCAACTGGGGCAGTCCCTATGAATGGGAAATGCTGATTGTGCTTCTCATCCACTTTTATTCGGACAGAAAGGAACTCTTTGAGCAGAGAAGACAAGAGTTCCAGACAGTTTCTTCCAAGGACTCTAACTTAAATCTGCCCCTCTAGTCCTACTGGTGTATCCACATCTTTGTACCCCTATTGGGCAGCATGTGCCTGGGTGCTGAGAATGCCACTTCTGGTTTCCAGGACCCTCTGGCCTGCCTTTTCAGCCCTGTCCAGTAAGTGGCATAACCAAGAGTGGACATTTTTTAAGGAGCATCAGAGTGTCCCTCCCACAAACAGAGTGAAGCTGCATACTTTTGTGCAGCAGCGCCTAATGCATTTTATCAGGTTCTACCTGCTAGACGTGTCTGGGTTCTTACCCAGATTTGGCCAAAGGAGCTGTGTGTGACATTGTGTGACACTTCACTGCATAACTGCAGGGTGGGTCAGATAATGTGTTTTCTCTCTGTAGTGATAGGCTTCTCACTTAGAGCAGGACAAAATTTGCCATCTTATTCAATGACTGAGGAGTCTGCCAGTGAAAAAAGTTGTAGCTACAATTTCCATATATTCTGTCTTTCTATGTGTGTTCAGCCCTGTGGCAGACTAACAGTTTGACTAGGGTGCATCACACATTTTCCCACAGTTCATGCTGGACTCAGATTAAGTTTATCCTAGTTGCAGGTTAATGTTCCTGCTAGAGGTTACATCCATTCCCATTGACTCATAAGTTTCACACACAGTTGATTAGTCATACTTTTCAAAGCCTGACAATCAAAAGCAAACACAAAGAGTGAATGTTGTTTGCCATACTTGCAGTACCGGAAAAAAACAAAACACCAAAATGTAGATTCAAATCGTCGCTCTGTTTGCTTATGTTCCCATGTGTTCACAAATGACAACTCATGTTAATACCATAAAAGGATGGGTTAATTTCAGCAGGCCTATAATTTTAGTTGAGTTGTTTAGACTGGCCATTGCCAACAGAAAAAAAATGCAGGGATCTGGGAAAAATGTTGTAATGTCCGGTTTGTAATTTATATAAATCATTTCATATGTTCCGAACTTAGGGATTCATTAAGGGAATTTTCAAATCTTTTAATTCCTTGAGTAAAACATTTTTCCCCCCAAAACAAAGAAAAAACACAATCATCAGGTGAATAGTTAATGCAATGTTGTGTTTCCATAGAAACCCACTTTATACTGAATCTTGACAGAGACATTTCTCAGTAATTCCAGCTGAGCCCAGCCTCAGTGCTTCTCTGGAAAGATTAAATCACACACGCACACACAGCAAAATAAAGGCAGACTAAATATCTGTGGAAATATCTCCATTGAGCAAATAGAGGTTAGAACTTTAAGTCTTCTTCCCACTAAACTCCCACTCTTTCCTCCAAAAATGTAATTCTAACAGGACATCTGTTCCCCACACAATTTACTTAGAAAGCCCACCCAACAGTTTTAACACAACACTAAGAGGAAAAGAGAGACTGTTGCATGATGATATCAACAAACAAGTCAAAGATAAACAAGTCAGACAAGCAGGTGTATGTGAGTGAATGTTACCTGCTCAGGGTGCTGCCAGCCCGTTATCTCAGCCACTGTGTTGAAAGAGTCAGCGTCCGGCAGAGTCTTGGCTCCCATGGTGAGTCTGACCACGATCTTCTGCCCCCTCTGCCCCAAACGCCACATCAGCTCAGCATCCTCCACAGTGATACAGGCTGTAGGGATGCGCCTCACTCCATCCTGGTAGTCCTGCCAACCTGTGTGGGGACTACAGAGGGAAAGACAAACAAAGAGAAACATTACAGTTGCATAAACTCTCACTTATTGACAGAAAAGCTCAGGATGATGTGTACTTTTCATAATAATTCTCATAGATAGATAGATAGATAGATAGATAGATAGATAGATAGATAGATAGATAGATAGATAGATAGATACCTGTTAATAGAGAATGGAGTGACAGATCGAATGAGTGTGGCCACGGCCCCCACTTTAGCTGCCTCTGAGGCACCATAAGCACGATAAGCCACCGTCTCCGAATAGCTGACAAATGGCTGGTTAAAGACAACAATCTTCCCTATGGCATCACTGGCTCTTTGCTTCAATTCCACAAAAGACTGAACCACTAACACTTCTGCCTTGATACCTGCAGAGATAACAGGGACAGAGTGAGGGGGTGTAAAAGGAAGATGGGTGGCAGCTTTTAAGAAGATTTTACACAGCAATGGTCTTTACCTTCAGGGGGTGTTCCTACACTGCTACCCAGTCCCAGTATAGCCAGATTTTTAACCCTGGGCACAATCATTTCTGCACTCTCCTCCCCTCTCACCCAGTGTGGGATTTTGACAGGCTCTGGAAAAGAAACCGAACAAGAGGACACAAAAGCAAAACTTATTCTTTACATTTAGGAGAGGACAAGACCTTGCTTCTAGAGATTCTTTCATATGAGCAAATTGAACCATGTTTTCACTTCTAACATCCTGCATCCAGTGATTCAAATAACAAGGCATACTCACCCAGATGGACATCCAACCCATCCTGTGTCATAGCATTGTACATGTATTTGATAGCCATCTCTAGGTTGTGTGAGCCACTGACACGGTTCCCTATGGTGTCGGTGAAGTCGGCCAGCCGTCTGTAAGACCGATTCTGGGCAGCACCGAATACGGCCAGGTCAATGATCTGTTTTGCCACATCAGCATAGCCTGCTACCTCTGCTGCTATATCTGCAACTGGAAACACACAAGAAGAAAGTCAGGTTTCATCCCCAAGTCTTTCTTGACAAGAATCTTGTAAATGTGTAAGAGCTGGGATGGAATTATTTTCAATCCAGTATCCAACATGATCTGTAAACTTTGGCATGTATTTTTAACCACTTGATTTCTGTACCACTGCCACTGCTTTATGGTCTCTAAAGAAAATACTGAAGACAATCATGCACAGGCTTATATTGCTATCTATTGATGTATCTAATTGCTGATGCCAGGAAAGACTGAATACCTTTCCTTGCAGTATCATTGGATGCGGCCCCGGCCACAGCCCTTGAACTCAGGGGCCAAGCAGAGTGAGGGTGAGAGTCACACAGAGATGACAGCATGCAGAGAAACATGAAGAGGGATCCTGGGAAAGGCAGTCTCCCCTCCCAAGTCATCTGGGGACAGTGAAATATCAGTGTGATTACAAGGAATCACATCGAAGCTGGCCAAATAACCCTTAACAAGGAAATTCCCTGAATATCGCAGCACATAATTGATCCCACATTGCTACAAATTCACATGGAGGACACTGGATACAACAGTATCACTGGCTCAATCACTTTTAATGGTCATCTGAACCTCTTTACAAGCGTAGGGGCAATTCAACAAAAATTCAATAATTCACTCAAAACCAGCAGCACAAACAAACAAAAATGCTGTGCAGCTAATCTAAAAGAGGTGACTCCAACAATATGAAACTCTATCTGACTTGTTAAGGTTTACTAGATTTACCTTTATCTAATACTGACTGTGGGAGGAAAGCAACGTTAGCTGGTGACAGCTTTACCTTCAGTTATGACTAACGATTTTAAGTCTGAGCTGGCCTGCGATTAATTCAAATACACCACCAAAATTGTGGGTGTTATTCATTTATTTATTTTTTATCAGAAACATGCCGTTACATAGATATAAGGTAATCGTTCATACAGACTAGCGTTACTAAGGACGAAGAGAAACGTTACCGAGTAACAATCATCATAAAACTTGACTTGAAACCTATATAAAATAACACAAACACAAACCCTTCAGGCCAAAGTTAGAGTCTTTGTTATCGTTGACGTTACAAGACTTTAAAAAGAGTAATTTAGTAACAAGGAACGCAACATCAACACCGGAATATAAACAGTTTCCGTGCTCGTGATTTCAACGTGATAACGAAACTACACTTCCGGTATAGCTTTTTTCAAAATAAAAGCGCCGTCTTTTATATATATATTTTAAAAAAACACTTTCCCCCAACATAAATTAATATATAAATAAAAATAATATTAACAAATAATATTAATAATTTAAATAGTAAAGTAAACCATTTAAAAAATCGAAGATGAAACTATAAACAGAATTAGATGAACAAATGAACTCTTGGTTTTTGTCTGCTCCTTTTTATTTTGAACTTTGAGTAGTATTTCTTTCTGTTTAAATGTGCAATAGATAAATGCCAGTTATGGGCTACATAACACAGTCTGTTCAGATTACAAATTACACTATCAACTTTTATTTACAATATATTTGTCATACACTTCTAAAGACTATTTTCATAGCTAACACACACTCAGACACACATTTAGGCCCAATCAGCTCAAGGAAAATTATGATAGCGTCTCAAAGCTGGCAAATTAACATTGACTTTAATCATTCAATGATTTGGGATCATACCTGACACCTAGTTCAGCCATTGTTTCATGGATAGATTTAAGTATGTCACATGTAGACAAAACAAAATATTAGGTTCCAAGTGTGTTTGAGCTCTCAAAGTTTGGATTGAAGAAATGTCACAATTAGCATAGTTCACATTCTGTGAAGATTTGATTCTGAGAATGCTCTGTGCATTTTTCAGTTTCAATATTATTCAGCATAGGTTAAACAATGTTGAATGCATAGAAGGAAGAATGATAACCTAGCATACAGTTGTGGTTACCAAAATGATGTCCACTTCTTGGATTATATTTACACACTGAAAAAAACAGAGCACATCTCTGCCCACACCCAAATCTGTGGTTTTCACCCCCTGTCCTTTTCTACCACTAATCTTCGAAAGTCAATGGCATTCACTGTAAATGACCCACCCTGTGAGAAGGATCAGATTCATGTTTACTTATAGTTTCCTTTGTTTTTTTTCTTCTTTTCCATTTTCTTTTTACACAATGATATAAGAAAACCAGTGTCTCCACTGTTTTTCACCAGCCTCTTTTTTCAGTTTCCTCTGCCATTTGTGTTTTCCTCTCTGCATCATTGGGCTTTAGAAAACATCTGACCATTAGGCTCCATTCACATGTTGCTGGTGGTGGTGGTGTTGCAGTGGTTTGAAATCTTTTTTTCTTTTTTCTTTTTTCTGGCACCTACATTTTCAAAAGGATATTTCTTGAGGTCAGTAGGAAATGTTTTTCTGCACTACTGTCAAACAAGTAAAACAAAACTTACATCTGACTGCTTTTACCAACAGGTGGCCTTCGAGTGTAGGGACATTTTACACAATGTGTCATAACCAACAGTTCATTACAAACTGTGTGTTGAGTCAGAGCTTTCACCTAATAACACCATGAATTTCTGTAGAATTAGATTAAAGGACTTGCAGAAGAATCTGGCTTCAGATAGCCTTTTGGTTTTGCCATTTTTCGCACAGTGAATGCACAACACCGACAACACAACACTGGTTTATAAGACAGAGGTCCAAAATACTGTGTGGATACATAAAATTACTGCTTGAGTGGCCAATGAGCACACAGATACTGTGTATGTGTCAGAGACAGATAGATAGTCGACAGGTAAATGACTGTAAAAAGATAAATACAAGGGTAGAAAGTAAGAGGGACAGAGAGGCTGCTGAACATTAGCACACATACTGTTGAGTGAATACATCTGTCCTGTTTTGATGTGTGTGTGCAAGGGCAAAGAAGGAATGTATGATCTTATATTCAGACCAATCCCCGAAGCCAGAAAAATGACAAATAGCCAGTTTCAGCATTGCATTACAGCCACATCTTTTATTCAGTAGTGAACCTCCTTAGTTATACCATTTCAGCAACACGGTTCCCTGTAGGCCGCCTCTCGCACATACATCTTATTAGTAAATTTTGGTTGGTCCTCATCATTGTGTAGGTGATCATTTGTTAAGTCAAGGCATCAGTTAATTCATATTCAACTTAGATGAAAATGAAAATGAAAGTTGCTAAATATTTACAAGGAACTTATTATTCTACTTTAATCATTTATTAGAGTCATTCATAAAGAAAAAGATGGATAATTGATAACGAAAATTAATTGAACCAAAGCTTGTCAAATACTCTAAAAACATAAATATCAAAATAATCAAAAACAAAAAACAACTGAACAACTGAGCAGTAGGCACAAAGAGGCTTCAACCATGAGTAAATATTGTACAATCCCAATTTATCACTGACCTATTAACCTGGACTATTGTCTAAGCAAGTATAAATTAATACGTATAAATTATAGTATTATCAACATATTGTATAAACTTACAGATATCCTAGAGAAAGGTTATTGAGTGTCATCACCTGTTGGATTGTCAGCAAGTGCTGACCTGTTGTCTTGACCCTCTATGGGGATATTTCATAGTAGACATTTCAGTTGTTGTGCAGTCTAGCCAAGAACTATTACAGATGTGGTTCTACGCAGCTCGAAGGTCAAAGCATGACAACACTATACGTGAATGTAGACAATCAATTGCAAGGCACTAAGGATTCAAGTGCCCACAAAATATCTTGTTATCAACAGTAAGTCACAGTAGGTTAGTGATCAGATCGTCCTGCTTATTCCAGCCATGATGAATAGGTAGTATGCATTTGCATTCAGATAGTCTAGAATTGTTCTAAAATAGTCAGATATAGTTCTATTATGGCCATGGTAGTTATATCATAAAAACACTATTAAGAAGCCTTGACTAAAGCAAAATATTAATGTAACATTTTACAAAGAAAATTGCTGCAACAGATAGGGTCAATGACCTTTAACAAAGGAAAATCTAACAACAAAAATGGCCGTAACGATCCCATAAAAGAACCGCTTATACTAATTTAAAATTTGTTGTGCAGCATGGAACTCAAAGTCTACAAACTAAGAACAACAGAAATAAGCAATCTGTACTCAATGTTATTTTGATGAGAATGTGTAGATAAATGGCAGGTCTACTCATAGTTTAACTACTTAACCCACCTCTTTGTATGTATCAACCATTAATCTCAGTCATCTTGATAACCAATAACCTTTTCATTAAGATTTTTAGGCCACTAATAGTGCTTCAAGACACCCCCCTCCCAAATTTCAGTAATTGAAAAGCTGACAAGAAAAGTATTCTGCTTTGACACATAATAAGCAGTAGGTAGCTGGATAAAATTCCTCAGTCGATACATAGGGCAAATACCCAATATTTTCACTAAAATATATACTTTTTTACAGGTTACACACAAGTAAAAATTAGGTGCTATCAAAAAGGAATAACACCCTGTTGTCATAGCTGTTAACTGTATCCTTATTCAAGCTCTAAAAGTCCCACACTTCTTTGGTTGGCTAGTTAAGGTATAGACAGAGAATTAGGAAACGTCTTTAAAACCTGACATGCTTGCACTCAGACTAACATTGTAAACATTACAGAGTTGGAAACTCCCAGTGGGTTACACTACTTATTACAGTTAAGAAGAAACAGATATCTGTCGTTGATTGCATTTTAACTCTCCAACCCTGCTGCATGAATAAACCCTGACACTATAAACTGTAAGAAACACTGAATGCTGTAACTGTCCCTTTAACTTCAAACCTGCCATTACAGCCATATACAGTTGACAGTAAGACAGGAATGTGCTTTGGCTTTTGTCAGACAACATTGGTCACTTTTATGGTTTGTGAATTATAGTCATTAGCCTTGGCTCTACCTTAGCAATCCTGTCCCACGTTTGCTGCAACCAGTCACCAAATAAAATTGTCCTGAAAATATTACTAATGTTAGACAGATGCAAGGTTGAGGGACTTTAACCTGCTTTAGGCTACCCATGTATGAATGCAATGAAGACTGAAATCTCTTTAAAAAATGGCTTACACAAATATAATCTCTAAATATGCAAACACATCAAAAAAGCTACTAAAAATAATTTTCCAAAAGACAAATAAAGCACATTTATATTTGGTCAGTTCTATAAATGTCAAATATCTGAGAGAAAACAACAAAAATATGTACCTGCAGAGTAACAAAATCGTTCACACCAATACTGGACAGCATATGAAAAAACATATTCATTCCTCATAATGACAAAAAAAAAACCCCTTCAAAGTAAAGCGTACAGAAAATGAAATGTAACAATACAAGATGTTAACAAAGCAAATTTGACCTCAAATAAAAGGGTAAAGGGTATCAGCGTTTGAAAGTTCTTTGAAGTATTAATCCCATATGTGGCACCGTCGCATTTAACAGCATTCAAAATGCATTAAGGCTATTCATGTTTACTTCCTTGTGCTGTTTCTCTGAGCTGGACTATTTAGTTCTGCTAAATGGGACATTTGATTTGTCTGTAATGCAGAACCAAGTCCGGCCCCACGTGGTTCAGCATAGAGAAGTAATGTAGGTTTAAAGGCACAATGTTATCAATACTTTAAAGTTGATTACTTTCCAAGACTACGTTGTTTTCTGCTGTGATACTCAAGAGAAGATTCCTTTATCAAAATTTAGGCTGTGTATTGAATGTCTAACTCCTTCCCTGGGATGGAATGATAGGAATGTATTTTAATAGTCTTATTTGTTCTCTTATGGCCTCTTCTTCACGAAATCTGGACATTATGTGGAGAAAAAGATGAAAATGATGGCAGAGGAGGAGCGTAGGAAAGATAAAAGAAAAAATTCTAAAGAGCACTGAAGAAGAGCAGAGGTGCTTGACTTCAAACTTCAACAACAGGAACCATCTTCAGCTGTTTATAGATCCATTCTCAGCCCTGATTGGCAGATGAAAGATTCCATTTAAAGTCCCTATTGCCGAGTTCAGGCATAAAACTCCTTGGTAGGCGCTTTGTGATAGGCTGTCGTGGAAAGTTTGGTGTCTCCAAGGTCATAGCTACCTTCGTCCTTCTTCTTCATGCGGTAGGCGAGGAGGAGGAGGAGGAAAACAGCACAGAGGAATCCAATCACTCCACATGCTATCACCGCTGGAGAGGACACAAGAGAATTTTTTTTTTTTTTTGACCATCTTCCAAACTGTTCAAATTTTTGACATTATGACCTTGACTGAACAACACTGTCAAAAATAATTAAAAGGACCATTTACTTCAAGATATATAATTTTAGAACAAAAAATTCAAAAGGTTTTAATCATCATCATCAATCTAAATCCTGATATTCTAAAAAAGAGCTTGTAGAAATCTGTCCTTACCTGCCAGAACTTCTGTCCGCTCCCACATGTTCTCAGAGGTCACCTCTCCTGGAGGGTCAATCACATATATTCTGCCTCGATCATTGGACATATCATTGCCCATTTCCTCTTGGATCAAATCTTTACCTTCACTATCTTTGGATGTCAAGACATCCCACCTATCCAGGATGTTGTTCTCGTCGGTATCTTTGGTTACACTGATGTCTATACTGAATTCGGTTGCAGTGGTTTCAGTGGGAGGGATGCTGGTGGAGCTGGGGCTGGTACTCTTCAAGAACCAGTCAGCTGTTGTGTCAATACCTGGTACCTGGAAGAATATACGCATGCATGAAATTAAATGCATGATGCACTGGATAATAAAGTAGGGTCGAAAAAACTTGAAGCTAATGTAGGTTTAAATCTTATAGGTAGCACCATTTAGACTATGGCGTAAATGTTGGAAATACATTGTTAAAACTCTTAGTTTTATAGCTTTACTGTTCACCTTGCAGAGGTAAGAAATTACTTTATATCAACTCCCTAACATCATAAATCAACATTTCTATAATGGTGTATACTTGCAAGGTGGATTGGATTATGATAAATCTGTAAATCATGAGATTACCGACTAAAAAATATAATCATTCAAAGTGTATGAAACGATACCACTGAAAATATTTGTCTGACTATTTGAAATAGTCTACCATGGTTTGCCCTGGGACCCAGGTCATAAGGATTTTTCTAACTTTGAGATAGAGATTTAAGTAAAAGGAAAAGTAACATTCTACCTCCTCATCCCTGTTGTCTCCAGTAGGGAATATGTTTGGTGTTGTTGTCTGATCCTGGCTGTCTGCTGGTGTGGTTGGTGGGTTGTGAGGAGAGTCTGCTGTTGGCTGTGGCTGAACTGGAACCATTTCTTTGGAGACTGTGGTCTTAGAGAAGTTGAGAAACCTCCTGAGTAACTCCTCTGTTTCTGAGAGGTCTCTGAAAGCTGAGATACAGGAAAACTTTAGAGTCATTTTCTTTTCAACCTAAAACCATAAAGGATTTTGGAGTAAAAGCTATTTTTGAATTGATTTGTCTCTTACCCATCTACTTGCAGTTATGACAACCAATTTACATTTAAAACGTGCTCTGAGGATGGTCATTAACCAGTTTTGTTACATGCTGGAGGAATGCAATTTATGAGTTTTATATCTTACGGGAATTAACAAAACCACATCATACCACATTAACGCTTTATATTGGGATCACACTGAATGTTCTGAATGAACTAAATGTTCCAACACGTTACTCACTGTGGGTGTAAAGGTGAGTCATTCATAATAAAGGCAGAAAGTATTTGACATCTGTGAGCTTCCAATAAAATCTCACATCACCTCAGGACAAACATCTGGCACACAGAGAGTGCTTCTGTGTCTGAATTTACAAGCACTTGTCTCTACAATACATATTCCTCATTTGTCTGACTGAGTGGGTAGATTTAGAAACACACAAGATCAGGAAAACCTTTGGACTGCTTGTAAGGAAATTTGAAATGAAGTTCCAGAAAGTACAATTTCTACAAATTTCTTTGTGCTAATTTTACTTCTACTGTGACCCCTCAATTTAAATATTACATAAAAAACAATTACAAACTAGGAGAGTTCAAGAGACAGTAGCCTCCGTACCGTAATTTCCAGATCCCGAGCCTGAGCCATCATCTTCGCCATCTTCATCATCTATAGGGAGATCACCTGATGTTCGCCCCTCTAGGTACAAGTCATCTGCTGTGGAAAACGGTGACTGGGAGGAGACCAAAAGCTGGAAGAAAGGAAAAAAATACAGACATTTTAGTTACTCCTTTGATGCAAACAGGAGAGAAATACTAACAAAAGAAAAAAGAAGGGCGAGAGAGACATAGATGCACATACATCTGCTTCATTCACACTTACAAAATTCCCTCCACTAATCGAAAACATGTGAACATCTCTACAGTTTGGGGGTAAGACAATACCTCCCACAACCAATGACCTATGCTGGCCAAATATGCCGGAGTATTCACTGGTGTCTGGAAGTTGTGTGTATTCCATCCATACTGTAGCATATACATTAGATGGAGGCTGGTTTCTTGTTTCTTTTATCTGCTGTGGCAGTAATTTGTGAAGCTTCACAGACCCAGACAGCAGAGATCAGTGCAGTGTGTGTGTGTGTGTGTGTGTGTGTGTGTGTGTGTGTGTGTGTGTGTGTGTGAGGAGGGGGGATGGATAGAGCAACTTCAAAAGACAACACACAGAACAGACAAGTGGACACACACATGGAAAAAACAATTTCATATATTCCCACCAACCCAAACACTCGACAAAGGAGTGTGATGAAAACCAAAACCCTATGTGTCTCTTCATCTAAAGCCTGGTCTGAGCAAAAAAACAGATGCCGTAATTAAATAGATGAAGTTATTCATTGACTTGTTGAAATTTGACTGTGACTGAAGTTGAATCAAACAAGCTATGTCAACTTCAAACAGAAGATAATATAACAAACAGCTAAGGCAGACTAGAGAAACAAAGGAATTAGACAAAAACCTGATAATGAGTTTGAAATTTAAAAGAAGAGGAATGGTTCAGCAGATGTTGGTAGTAAGACACAGAGACAGATATACACACATTACACACACAGGCGTGGATGAATATGGCCCATTGAGACCTGAAGTATGTCTGGTATGTATACTATGCCTCCACTAACACAGGTGCTGAGAGAGGGAGAAAGAAGGGAAACCAAGTAAGGAAAAGGAAGGAGAGAGACAGGGACAGTACTGTGTGTTTCTCGTTAAACAGGTGCTGAGGACAGAGGATAAGATGCATGAGGAGGTTTACCGTTCTGTCTTTTGCTGCAATAAATATTCACACTAGAGGGGCGTAAAAGCATAAATAAATTCTTAAGGCATGAGTCTTCTCATGCCAATACAACCTTTCATTTGGCAGTATACCTTTGCTCATCTGTAGGCAAAAATGTAATCACAAGACAACAAACAAAACCCAATAAGTCATACAGATGGTAACTGATTAGACTAATGCATTTATGGTCTCTCTGCATGCCATTTCTTTTTTCTTTTTTTTTTGTAAAGATGTTTTTATTGAGGCATATAAGCCACTTTGCATTAAGAAGTCCACAAAAGGGAAGACAGACAAGAACAGAAACAATGCCCTCCCACCACCCGCAACCCCAGTATGGTAAAGATTTCTCTTGTTAACAAAAGAAAAAATGCAAATTAAATATAAAAGTCAACCATGAAAGGCATGAAGTATCAGTGTGTGTTAAGGTATAACAGCATCAAGCTGACAGGAGAAGCAGTAGAAATGATTTCTAATACTACAATACTATTTCTAATACTACAGAGAACAGAGTTAGAGTAAAATAAGCCAGGATATGAAATTTGTGTATTTATTCTGTAACTGCAGAACAAACACTTAATCTAATAACACTGCTCATTCTGCAACATATAAGCAAGCTACAGGTGTACCTGTTTTTGGTCTTATTAAACACAATCAAGACTCAGGACAAATTTTTTAGCTCAAAGCCTGTGATAACTGAAGTTTGTCTGAGCTGACTGAGATGTAACAACAAACAACATGACAAGAATACAGAGAGATAACATTATGAGACAAACCAGATGTTCACACTGTGGGGAAACAAGCCAAACAGAAAATCATCAACATCAATTTTCAAAGGACAGTGAAGTCTCATAATACCAAGACTGACTGAAATAGCAGACGGGGTTCTCACATTCCTGCTATCATCAGCCAGGATTACAAAAGCAGATGCTGTGCTTGTCAAAACGAAACACACAGTCTCTCACACTCACACACACACACACACACACACACACACACACACACACACACACACACACACACACACAACACACACACACACACACACACACACACACACACACACACACACACACACACACACAAAAGCAGAACTGCTCTGGACATGCAAATGTGATGTCCATCTAATGTCGGATGTCTGTGTCTTTACCTCAAATTTACAATTTGTGTGTATGACCAAGGAGATATTTGAGTTAAGAGCCATCTTATTTTATATTCACTGTCAAACTCGCAGCTCTCAGTTGGGCATCACTAGCCTTGCTTGTCTGGACTCTAGCTTTGAAAGAAAGCAGTTCATGCTCAGGTCTATACTGACTGAACTGTCCCAGTGAAGGAGCCACGGCCTGTACATACTGAGAGTGGGCAAGATTCACTTAAGGCCACAACAACTAGCCCTACTGTGACCTCAGGTGCTCTTGAACTGATGGATTACCAAACACACACAGCCACCACCATGTACATGTACATACACTTACCATAGGCTGTATGGTTGAAATCATTATCCACATTAATAAGGATATATTCTGATATCAATGAATATGACAATATGCTGGATATATGTACAATCTAATTATATATTTTATATGTTTTGTTATGGCCAACTCAAATATATTCAGTTTACAATGAAATAACAGTAAAAGTAAAGAAATTTTTTAATTTGAGAAGCTGGCATTTTTTCTTCATAAATGACTTATACGAATTATTGCGAATAATTTTCTGTTTATTGACAAACTGATTAATCAAAAGTGTTTCAACTCCAATGTTCTCAAAACACTTGTACAGTACATGTACAATGTAACAACCAAAAACTTCTTTCTCCATCCCCCCTGCCAGAAAGAAGTTATGCATTAGGGTTTGCTGGAAGACTTGACTCAGTCACTTAAGGGTTACACACATCTGGAAAACACACATATGTACATAGTGCACACACACAGACCGTATATAACCATCTGGCATCACTGTGCTTTGTTATAGTGAAGACAGTTTTCTGGAAACAGTCAGGTCACGGTGGTAAAACATTGCAGAAATAACACAGGGAGGGTATGTGAGTGTGTTGGGAGTGCATTATTAAATCTAGTAAACAACAAACCCATGTTTTCTTGTGTCTGGTGGGCTAACAGTTATTAAACTAAAATATTTCCCCAATGAGCTGGAAGTCAATGACAGAGCAGTCGGGTCAAAAGTGAGGTTGTGTAACAGCCAAAAGCAAACAAAAGACCTGTCATCACTGTCTAGATAGCAGCAGCATCACACAGTGTCATGTTTTGGGGGGGTTGATCTATTTAGTCTTTTGATTGCAGTTACAGTTCATAAATGCTTCACAAAAGCAAAATTATTTGACAATTAAAAAAAAAAAAAGGGAACCAATTTGAGGTAAATAGATATTTAACATTTTTGTTACAACTCTGTAGGTCTGGACAGGGTTGGGTGGCATCATCCAGAAAATTCAAGTGACACTAACAAAAGAAAATAATATCTACTTTTGTTTTATACATAGAAGATATTGTGGCCTAAACTGAGATATATATCGCAGTAATTGGAATCTGCTGACCCTAAAATAAAGGTTAGAAGACAAGACCTTTAAAATGTTAAAAGCACTGTGATTGAGCAAATAACAGTGTAAGAAAAGAGACAAATCAATATGTAGTACAAATCTGACTGGTATTTTCCACTGTAAAAAACTTAGTTAGCTGTTGTTTACAACTTTTTTGGTCTAGTTGTACATATACAGTGGTGTGAAAATCCCTCAAGGACATGCTGAGATTAAAAGACTGACACAACCAGCAGTCACAAAAATGTCATAGAAACAGTCCAGAAGCCAATCAGATGTGTACAGTCTACCCTTCATTTAGAGAACACTAATATGTTGTGACCAACGCCATGCTACTGGTTAACTGAGAGCACAAGGATTATCATTTTAATCATTTCTTATTTATACATGTGTAATTTGGTCTTCCTGTCATATGTTCAGAAGCACCATGAAGATAATCATTAATAATAATGAGAACCAGTGATACACTTCCTTTCGCCTTTTCTGGTTGGTTGGAAAACTGCATGCATCCCACGCATTTTCATGCTTGTCTGGACTAGCCCAGTGGGACTCACTGTGAGTCATCCATCCAGAAAATGACACAACTACCGGCTCAGAAACTGTCAAAGACAGAAAGCCTGTTTGAACATTCATCTTTCAGAAGTGAGCAACATTGCTGACTGGCTAACAAGTAATTCTATAGCCACTTCAGCCACACTCAAGAGAAAGAGACAGTTTGAATATATGATGTAACCCATCACACCCAGCAATTTAGGACTGGACTGGGCGAATCAAAGCATATGTGGATCAGAGTAGGGAGCACATTACAAGATGATACAATTGAAAGTTTTGCAGTAAAAAGGTAGTTTTTCTCAGTGATCAAGATATAAGATTGAAATTCCTTGGATGGGGAAAAAATGAAAAACTGTATTTATTCCAGTATTAACCAAATGTGTGCTTGCTTTTCAGTCCCCACTACAAAATACAGCAGGACAGTCTCAGGTTTCAGTTCTCTCCCTTTCACAATATACAGACTATCAATCATAAATAACATGCATCCATGGAGAGGTGTCAAATCTCCCTGGCTCTCGTTTGGTACTTTTACAGTCAATAAATCATGCAACCGGGATATTGTCACACTTGTGACAATGTACAGAGCTCTGCTTTAGCCTGTAACGTCCAGGTGTTTTCCAGCTTCACAACAGACACACACATAGAGAAAGAGAGAGGGAAAGATGGCAAGACTTGGGTTGCATCACTAGCCTTGCTTGTCTGGACTCTAGCTTTGAAAGAAAGCAGTTCATGCTCAGGTCTATACTGACTGAACTGTCCCAGTGAAGGAGCCACGGCCTGTACATACTGAGAGTGGGCAAGATTCACTTAAGGCCACAACAACTAGCCCTACTGTGACCTCAGGTGCTCTTGAACTGATGGATTACCAAACACACACAGCCACCACCATGTACATGTACATACACTTACCATAGGCTGTATGGTTGAAATCATTATCCACATTAATAAGGATATATTCTGCTTCACAACAGACACACAGAGAGAAAGAGAGAGGGAAAGACAGCCACACTCTTGTTTTTTTATTCCTGTTAATTATTCATTATGACTCAAGATTTCATTTTTCAAATAATGACATTCTAAACCTTGTGTGGGTGAGAAATTCAGGCCAGGTCTGGAGGTTTGGGTTTAAATGTCAAAGCTGTGAGATGGGGGCTGAACAGACTTTGGCCCTGTGTGAACTTGACACCGACTGGACGCCTGAACTTGGGTTGAATACACAGTCTGTGGCTGAATATCAGCAAAGTCTGGTTTAGTCCATCAAATAACATATCTCTTATGTAAATACTGTTGCTTCCTGGAAGATAACATTTGTTTAAACTTAAAAACAGGTCATGTTATTTTCATGCTGATCATCTTAGCGCAGACGATACAAAATACGTCCAGGTGGACCAATTAGGGAAAACGTGACCATAAAATAAACATACTGAATCAGGATGGTGTAACATTGTATGAAGATTATTCAAATTAATTCCTCGTTGATTTTATGGGGAACATACATGGGAAACAGAAACAACTGAACAAAATTAAACGTTAAAGAGGTTTGCCTCTTTTAAACGTATCTAAACGTAGCTAATTGGTGCCTAAACGGGATAAAAGACAGACACATTCAATAAAATCATTCGTTATCGAGTCAAATAACATTCAGGTTTTTCATTAGGGTCAACTGGTCCAAATTTATAGTAAAAACCGTAATTTAAAGCCACTTACTTTTTCACTGATTAACCCAGTCGCCAGCCCGACGAGGAAAAACAACCACAGACTCCTCATCTTAACTTCCAAAGTGAAACGGCAGTTGTGAGGAAAAAATATAAATAGAGAGGAAAAACTAAACTGTATACGCTGAGAGGCAAAGTAATGTCGTTCAGCTAATTCCTCGTCACGTTTTCACTGGTGTTATTTTACGGCTCCGATGTTAATTCTCGGCACTTCGGTGGACGGCTCCTGGACGCGTTGTGATGTGATGAGTTCCTCTGGAAAAGTTATTTGGACTACCAGTACAGCGTGGCTCGGCTTCGCAGTGACGTCAGCACGACATGACGTTCAATGAAGAAGGCACGAGGCTGGGGGCGTTTCTCAATGGACGCACGCACGGACGCGCGCGCGCGCGCACACACACACACACACACACACACACACACACACACACACACACACACACACACACACACACACACTTTTTTAAACACTGAATCCACTATCCTAATCTAACAATGGATGAGCTTTTTCTGGGATGGAATGTAACTAAGTAGACTTACTTGTACTTCCATTTTATGTTACTACAACTCAAAGCAAAGTATTGTTCTCCACTACTTTTATCTGACAGCTGTAGTTCCTGGTTACTTTCTAAATTCAAAATTTTACATATAGACATTTGATAAGGTTAGAAAATACAATACATACTTCTTGTCATGTTTTCAACTTCCGTGAGATGTTAGCAGTTTCACCAGAGACATTTCCCCTCGGAATTTAAATAACTGTTTGAGATCCTAAGAGGTAAAACTCTCCAATATGTCACAAAAAAATTAAAGACTAGGAGAAAGCTCAAAATATAATTACAAATTTGTGTATCAGGAGTTCCTCTCCCATGCATTAATTATGTCATGATGCTTCAGATTTATCTTGTGACCCTTTGGGAGGAGCCCAACCCCTAGGTTGGGAACCACTGGACTAAACAGGCTAACCGTACATATATAAGTATTTGAAACTAGCACCACCTTGAGCAGCTACAACAGTAAGATGCTGCTTACACATTGATCAATCAGTATTAATAATTACATCTGTCACAAGGCTGATTTCCTGCAGAATCAATACCTTTATTTTGAAAAGTTTAAGTAAATGTAGCTTATAATACTTTTACTTTTTCTAAGTATCAAGATAATGTTTAGTATGATCCGAATTACTGGATGTAAGAAGCCACAGTAACTTCTCCTGTTATGATATATTAAGTGCAGTATATTACAGCTCATAAGTTGACCAAATCATTAAGTTTCTACATACACATGGCAGTGTTTCATTACTCAGTAATTAATAAATACATAAAATCCAATGACCCATACTGGTTTCATTATATTTCGTGTGTACCTGAGATAAGGGGCTGACCAGTGTGTGCTGCTCCACTGCAGTGTGTAGAGGAGTATCAGACTACGAACTGCATTTTAAACTGTACATATGACTCCATCTAGTGCAGAAGAATGGTTATGACAACACAAAAGTACAACACAAAGAGCACCCAAGTCACACCTAGACACACTGCACTGATATATCAAAAACACAAAAACAAACTGTTTTGGTTGTACCAAGAGAATTTACAGTGAAGAAGGTTCTCTTTCTCTTGTAAATATTCAGTGACTTGTATCTTTTTCAGTGGATGTAAATCAGTAATTTTTGACACTTTAAGACTCTTAGCTGTCAAAGTTGCAAGGTGCATTGCTTGAAAGGGGTAATGGTTATTCAGTATTAGTGAAGCTGAATTAGATCAACTATGATTCAGTGTTATTAAAAAGAAAAAGAAACATCTCTGAGAAGAGTGAATATTTTTATAGGCATTAAATATAATACAGAGAAGAACAGTGAAAATGGGAAGGACTTGGCTGGACTTTACATAAATAATACACAGTACTATAAGGCATTGGTTTCTAACAGCTTTTGCTTGTGACCCATGAAAATGAAGCCAACTGTCCTAATGATTCCTCATCACCTGTTGCATATGTCTATCGGCTTTGACCAATTCAACCTAAGAGTAATTTTTAGAGGCCTGAAGTGGTAAAATTAGGAAAAACTAAGATTACAGAAAATTAGAAAAAATAAACAAATAATTTATCGAGATTAAATGTTTTTTTTCTGATTTTCTGTCCTGTTGATCACCTCATGCCCCTCAGATTTATCTTGTGACCCCTTAAGGGTATTCTGAGCCCCAGGTTGGAAGCCACCGCTGTAAGACCTGGGTTGTCAGTGTGTTTGCTGTGGTGACAGAGTCTCGCTAATCACTATAGTTTGCTTTGGGATAAAGTATCCCAGAATGACAAAGGTTTCCTCTGGTAGAAGGTTTATACATGTTTTAATTGAGATTCCATCTTTAACATTCAGAATACTAATAGTTTGCTGACTGCTGGCACTTCAGGTGAATCATTTTTTGTTTTCACATATATTTTTTAATCTGTGTGTTCCAATAGATACGGTTTTATTATTAGTATACTTTGTTGAATGTTGTTGTATCTGCTCTGTTGCATGATGAGCTGACCAAGGCAAAACTCCTGATATTTGTTGTAAGGGAAATAAAATGAACCCAACCCCACGTTCATGAAAATACATGTATAAAATACAAGTCATACTCTTGAAATCTCCATCTCCATCTTCAGAGCAGGAAGTGGTTCAAAAATAGTCCCTGCAAACCATCCAGATGATGTGGGACACTTACTGGGTGGGAGCCGATGTTAATATTATTTACACCTGAGCTTTTTCTGCTTTGACAGTTAAAATGTCTCCCATATAGACCCTTTTCACAGCAAAGTCCTTATTGTCTAACTGATGTTGTACTGTAACTACACAGTTTCACAAAGAGTGAAGAGCGTAGAATAAATAACTCTTCATAAACTTTGACTTAGACTTTACACATTCATATTGCTCACATTTATTTAAATAATAGGATTTTTTTCCTTTTAACAGACCTTTTTTCACCTATAATATGAGGGAACGTGCAAATGCATGTAAGGTGTTTATCATATTAGTTAGGTTGTTATTGGTTTCAGTTTCAGTTTCTCTCGCCTACATATACACCCATAAAAAACAGTGATGACAGAGCAAAACTCTGTGCCCACATGTTTTATCCACAGATATGATATAATTAGATATGAAGAAATCTAATCAATCATTAGAAACAGCCCCAATATAATGAGAGGAATATGTTAATGGGGACAAAGTAACACAGTGGAATCGGTCTCGATCTCTGCTGTAGGCATGGAAGAGCAAAACAGTGAGGTGTGCTAAAAAATGAACATTTCCAGCATTAGTAGAGATTCAGGAGGTTCAGGGAAATAAAACAATTGTCTTTAAAGCTTCAGAGTCTGTGTGAGGTCTGTGGCATTTTACAGAGCGGAGGTAGAACTTCATCTGACTCCCGTTTTCATGTCTGATGATTTCAGATTTCTCTTCCAAACTGGAGGGATCTGCATCACAACAGGAGAAATGCCACTCATTCATCTGGAAACTACTGAGTAAAATTATCATCAGTAAATTATATCAGTTTGAGGAATGGCCTCAGAACATGCATGTGCTGAGGAACACATATGACGTGCCATGTTCTACATGTTGTGTGTTTCTGCGTATCTTACTAGTGGGGGTATTGATGGCTCTAGATGTCGTCCAAGAAATGACAGGAGTCGTCTCCAGATCAGCCCGCTGCCCAAGAACATGAAGCCTGTTACCAGCCAGAAAACACGAGGGTCCTGGTAACAAAAAACGAACAGACAAACACAAAAAGATATATGTGTGTATAAATATACAAAAAAGGTACAGTGTGCATAGAAAGACACATGGTTCAACATGAACGGATACACCTAAGATACACACGAGGAAACATATTAAGATTCAAACTCAAAAATGTTTTTATTAAATAGATTAATCTTGTCTTCTGTTAAATGTCAAAATTAATGACAAAACTCCGTTAGATGTTTTCTAAATATAAAAGTTTAAGTTGCTCGTTTTGTCAGAATATCAGTCCAAAAGTCAAAGGCTTACAGAAATATAAAATCAAAACAAGCAAGAAAATCCTCATATTTGAGAGGCCATAAACAGTTAACACAACAGTCAAACTCCACGTGATATTTGCTGTCTCACCTCCTCAAAGCACGACGTCAAATTCATTCCAAAGGCCACCCCTATCAGGCCGAATAAGGAAAGGGAGAAGGAACCCATTGTCAGCTGCAGATTCAGACGCATCATCACGTTGCGATGGCTAAAATAAGAGACAATGCATATAGAGCCAGCAAGACATTTTGTTTCAAGAGGAATTAAAATATGTCTTTTATGAGTCAGCTTTATTATTTTCTCTGAATCCCATTTTAGAGTTAGAATGAGAAAAAATGTGTTGATTTTCACAACTACACACATTCTAAGTTACAATATTATGTAAGACATTTCAAACAAAATCCAGTAAATGACGAGTATTAGAAATACAGAATTTGGATCGTCCAAATATTTTACTTACACTAGAATACAAGTGGCAGTTTGAAGCAGCTCCACTTACAGGCCTAATAACCACAGTATTGCTAGTTATCCAAAAATATGCATCCACACAGTGTGTATACATACTGTGCACCCAGTGTGTGTGTGTGTACCTGTCCAGATTGATAAAGATGACACTCTCAGAGTCGTCTATCAGCCCCTTCAGCTCTCTGGTCTTGTTCCCCAGCTCTTCAGCCTGTATGGATCAGTTCACAATCACTGTATGAACACTCAGCCACAATCACCACACACCCTCACGCACTGTACATGACATTTAACATTGCATATCTGTGCGTTTGATATTAAAACAGACAAAACAGGGGGTGCAAGGGGACGGGTTAAACAGTGCAATAAAGGTGCAACAAATATAAATGATTACATGAAGACAAAAGAGATGTTACATCTGGTCAGGTCATCATGCACAGACCAATTTGAAAATCTCCTTCCAGCTATAATTTAATTCAATTTATAACTTTGTACATTTTTTCATTGATTGTTGAGAATGCACAAACTATCAGGAGTTGAATATTTTTTATATCTATTAGTATATCAGAAAAGTAGTACTACCTGCATATAGTAATTTTCCAGCAACAGTTCCATCTCCTCAGCATGGTCAATGCCCAAACTGCTCTCCTCACTAGAAAGACAGACAGACAATCATATATTCATAAAATTTTTAAATAAAAATTCTGTTTTAGAAAAGACCTGGTAGTTATTAAAATGTTCAACAATCAGTATAAGCATTTATATTTGGGAAATGCTCTATATACTGTACTTTTGAGAAAAGAAAAAGCAGTGTTTCAATGTAATTTTTTTTTCTTCAATCATAAAACTGAAAATACAACTGATTTATTCTAAAGAACAAAAGTGACAAATGTTGACCATTTTAATATCTCAAAATACATCAAAACATACATCAAGTTTGTAGTATCAGTCCTTGTCTTGAGCAGCCAGATAATAAATATCTTAAAATATAATATCCATAAATCAGCAGGCCTCATGCAAAGACATTTTTACATTGCCATTCTGTCTCTTACATTTTCTTATGAGGTTTCCTCCTACGTGTGTTTCGAGTCAGACTCACCAAACTCTGAGCTTGTCGTAAACTGCTCGTGTTAACCTGACGAATATCACGTGAAGGTGCACGCGGACGGAAGACTTGATCAAGAGCGAAATAGACGCCAACGATTAAGTTTCATTTACAAATAAAACCGCAAGAGCAAAATGAGGAATTCAAACTAATCATGCTGCAAGTCGAACTGTCGAAAATCCGCAGGCACTAAATAAAAAATAACGAATGTAAGAGTTTTGACTTGTTGCATTAGGGGACCGGAGACTATTAGAACATATTAATACAGCTGTCTTCACATCAGCCCCGTGCATATTACAGAAACTGAACAGTCGACTGGTTTGACGTGAAGTTAGATGCTAAACACACCATAAAACTTTAATGAGTGGGGGCCATGAACACAGAGGAGAGAATATAGATATAGTAGGTGATGTTACACTGTGCAGGGAGATCAGGTAAAGAACCCGTAAGTGCATAATAATTGCTAGTTAGGCATGTTAGGGGGTTAGAGGTGTTAGGAGGGGAGGTAGTCTCGGTTACTTAATCGGCGGTTTTATTAGTTATTTGTGTTTTTCTAATGTTGGGAGCGTATTTGAACTTCAAATCCTTCACCGTTAAGCCACTAAAATTCATAGGTCAAGCTAATATTTTTCTGCATGTCAGGAAAGAAATACACGAGTCATAGGGCGCTGTTAAACCCCTCCTAAATTTCAGTAATACTAAAGAAAACATTTTAATTTTGAGAGAATAATTGGATGAATTAGACGAGCTCTCTTAAATCACATGTGTATCCCATTAAAAACACCGCTCTTGCTATGAGGCCTATTGTGTAAGAGGCCGAGCCACCGCTCTGGGGAGTGATGTAATCTCCTTTCATCTGACCGCGTGGCCTAATGGATAAGGCGTCTGACTTCGGATCAGAAGATTGAGGGTTCGAGTCCCTTCGTGGTCGAATTTTTCATTTTCCTCCATGTGTGTCTATAGTTTCTCAATGTTTCTGAAGACATACTTTACATTGTTTTATCACAACGATACAGAAATACATTATTTAAAGGGGAGGGAAATACTACTCAAAGGGGAAACAGACTTAAACACCTTGGGGGGGATCAACAAAGTCTTATCCTTTCTTATCTTTTACTGCAGCCACTGACCAGGCCTATATGAAATCTTATATGAGCTTTCAAGATAACTGCTGTTTGGATTCATGCAAGTGTATATGAGTGCATGTGTAACATACAAAACTCTTGGGTCTGTCCACTTAGTCAGACAGAGTTCTTCAATCATCTCGTCCTCATCCAAAATCTTCAGCAAGGAGTCCTTAAAAACTTTAATGTCCGTTTCCAACTCTGATAAACTGTACAAGAGAGGTACAAGAGAGACAGACACAATATGTAACTGTCCATGTTGCTGAAACTGTAAACTCCATACAAGGATCCAAAGATGAAAAGCAATGATGGTGACTTCAAAATTAAATTGTAGAGTATTTTTGAGTGAAGAAACTGAATTGTTATGCTGAAAAATGATATGGCTAACAACATAACTGACCTAGTTCCTCTGATCCTTAATTTAGACAAACATTACAATCCTATGCTTCACCTAGTCTAACCATGTTGCATTCACAAGCTATTTGTAGTCAATGTGCATGGTTGTGTGCTTTACCTCTTGCTGTTCTGCAGCAGTATATGCAGTTTACTTCTATCAGCAGAAAGGATTTTAGGATCCACTAGGGATTCCAATACGTCCAATATAATTGGTTCAACTTCATTTAACCGGGTCTGTAGAGTGTTTACCTATTGACACAAACACATGAAGACACACATATGTACCAGCCTTCACTTCATCTCGGAAAAGAACCTCATGCATGTCCTCATTTTACAGAGGTTTTATCGGGGTGAGAACATGCTTAAACACACAGACACACAGCATTTCTCTAATCTGCCTCACCTTGTGCTGCAGTATAGCCTCCAGTGCTCTGAACTCAAAGGGCAGAGAGTGCGTCTGCGATGCTAGCTGAGGGGCGAGCTCCAGTACCAACCAGCGTTCCAATCCCAGACCACGAAAATCCAACACCAAAAGGGACTGTGGAGTCACAATGGCTTTCAGAGACTGTGGAGACACAGGGGGTGAAATAAAAGCTATGTTATGTTAGAAAGCACTGAAATATGTACTCCGATCCCCAATATTGGAAGCTTACACCAAATATGTCATTCAGTCATTCAGATTTTTAAGATATTTGAAAACGAAAATTGTTTTGAAAGTTTGAAACTACCAGAATTTCTTCAACAACTGCATGGCTTTTTAGTAATAGCTTATGAAATGTCATATGTTAGTGTGAATGTGTCTGGGCATCTATAGGTGTGTATGAAGATCGGAAAACTACAGGACCAATAGTTGACTCTGATCTCTAAAGCCACAGCTGGATACCCAACACAGCCACACCTATAAGGATCAGTGATCACATTCTGCATCCTGGGCCTCAAGCAGCATTCGCACACAGTCAATATTTGACCGTGCCATAGTCAGCAGAGGCAGACAGCCCTGGGCACAGAAAACTTTCAGTATTCAGGTAATGTACCGGCACTGCGCTATATTTGTGTTTTAGTTTATTAAGCACATAATGAATTACAGAACCAGAAGCATGCAACAGTTACATTACTGTAGGCTACGTGATGCATCAGTCACTTATCCCTTTGTTTGTTTACTTGTTTGTCTTTCTAACAGTCATGGTAGTTTTTTTTCTTTTAAACTTTAGACAGAAATACAGTTTCTATGGCTTCTGTTCTTGTCAGAAAGATGTTTGGGTACATGATGTATTAAAATGTTTATATTAAAATGTTTATATTAATTCCTTGATTCCAGGCCTGCATCTTCACTGTTTAGCAGTCTAATAATGTTAAAACATTTGCCTTATTATTATGCTCATGTATTCCTTTTCATTCAATTGTAACTGTGACCCATTCATCAGAGAAGATGATACAATTTAGAGAACACTTAGTTTACATCATCCATGCAGGAGGAAAATACGACACGGGATACTAGTAAAGAATAGAAAAGAAAAGAAACAGAAAAAAGATGGCTATATAATAAGTCAACTTACTAGACCTTTGCCTATTTATCATATATGATTGTATTTTATACTTACATCTTTTACATTATTAAAATTGGTAATTGATGACTAGATTGCTACTTTCACTAACATCATGCTCATGTTTTATTGTAACTGCAGTGTGGCTGTGAAGCTGCTCTGTCTTTGCCTGCTTCTGGCTCTGTTGTGTCCCAGCTGGGCCAAAGAACAAACATGTCTCACATCTGCCTCCAGCTGCGATGAGTGCATCCAGTCTGGCCCGAAGTGCACTTGGTGCACCATACCTCATTCACACATTTGCTGTCATAGCTTGAAGGGGCTGCAGAGAGCAGGCTGTCGTAAAAGTTATGTGTATAACCCTCAGGGTACGGTGCAGGTTGTCAAGAATAACAGTTGGTAAGTTTACTAGTTTAAAGATCCACTGTAAAACACTAGGCAAGGCTGTCAGGTAAAACATACTCGTCTTATCAGCTTAGATCACATGAAGAAAAACAAAAAACAAAAACACAGGGTCATTCAATAAGATTGAGATAAAGAAAAATGTGTCCGAAGAAGGAACAAAAAGCACAAGTGTTTTCTATAATGCTATAACATGATGACAAATGTTTTGTTAAAAAATAAATTAATTAATAAAATTTGTTCCTCCAGGTCAGTGTGACTGCATGAGAAACTATGAAGAAAGCAGCCTGGCCTGCAGTGGCCATGGAGCTCTGGTGTGTGGCCGGTGTGAGTGCTAAGACACTGCTAGTGGGACATTCATTCATTTTCTTCACCCAATGAAGACTTTTGTCACTCTGGCCCAAATGCTCCGATGTGCAGCGGCAGGGTGCAGAGTGAGAAGTGAGCAAACCCAAAAGATACAGCGGACAATACTGCAAGTGCAGCAACTTTGACTGTCCTTACTACCACGGCATGTATTTGCAGTGTAGTACTGTCTTCCCCTTTATCCCTTAATAGATTGATATTTACAATTTATATCCAACAGAATTTGTGGAGGCCTTGGAGGGTGCAAGTGTGGAGAGTGCATTTGTGTAAGACTGGATTGTTGAAACCTGCAGCTGCTCCTTGGAAACCACCTCCTGTACGGCAACAAACCAGCAGCTGTGTAATTTTAAAGGGATGTGTCAGTGTGTAAATGTGGGCCCCCCTATAAAGCCCCAGCCAGTAAACAGAGGGCCGTGGCACGAGGGAGCAGTTTGTGATGAAAGGTGTCCCAACAACATACAGTATTGTTTCCTGTCTTATGTGTAACTAACGCTTCAAATCAGCTTCAAGCATTAAGTTTTTGTTCACTTCATTTTTAGTTTTAATGTTTTGTTGAGAAAATAGGCAAATAAAATTATCTAAAACCTTGAAAACAATGAAATGATGCTATATCTTCACAAAACTTGTTGTTATTTTCATTATTTTACTGCACTAGGTCATCCACCTGGTGGCCATGAAAGAATGTTTCCTAATCAAAAGCCAAATGAAATATGTAGATTTGATTTGATGCATCATGAATTACAAAGTGTGCTTGTAAGACAATACGAGAGCATACCTCCATTCGTATGATAATGCAGTTGTTTCTCGCAGTGAGGCTGGTACTGTGCTGAAAGCGAAGGTCTCTGGCCTGAAGACTTAGCTCCTGGCAAAGCTCAGTTTTCTTCTTCTCTGTAAGAGAAAAAATAAATCACTCCAGTAAAAAAAGCAGAGACAGAGGTTTCATGTTTGACTTCATACAGGACAGGACTCCAAAAGCAGAGTTCATAACATTATATACTGCTTTCAGCATTTTCTTTATAAACAGCAAAAATAAAAAAACTACAACACCTCTTGATGAACAGAGCGAGGGAGCTAACACAAACCATTAGCGGATGTTCACACCACAGGTCACAGCAGAAGCAGCACAGTAACAGCAGTGGTGACAAACACACTTGTGTCCATCTGTGCATGGCTAAGATTAATATGTATACTGAAAATGATACCTGCAATCTGGTGAGGATGGTGACATCACAGGATCAAAGAGATAACCAATAATCAGTCTAAATGACAACCTTTATTTTTTTCATCAAATAAAAGATAGAAAGCAAGTCACTAAAAGATCAGTGAGATTACTTTTCCAAAACTTACCAAATGATGTCAAATTTCCCTCTTGGTCAAATTTCATCTGCCAAATAAATAAAAAATTAATAGATTACCTACCTCTAGTGATCATAGTAATTCAAACTACCAGTTTTGATTCATAGATGTTTGATAAGACATGTGCAAAATCTGGATGAAATCCAGTCTGCATCAGTTTCACCAAAAGCACATTGACATCTGGCTTAGAATTAATAACAGTAACTACTGTTATCACTGAATCACTGAAATGTTTTCAGCCAACTGCGCTTGGTAAATCTCTTACCACAACAAAAGCTGGAGGCACACTGGAAAGAGGGGCATCTGTCACTCTGTGGCGGATAGAGGACACTGTTCAGAAAAGACAAAGTTAAACCACATATGAAGGAAAATATTTCACACATAAACCTGAACAACTGCAACTATAGTTTTAAGCACTGCAAAAAGGTTCTGTTCATTTTTCTTTCTTTGGCTGCAGCAATAAAGAGAATTAGAATAATATTAATATACCAAGCTCTATATTTGATTGGCCCTAACACTGTCTTTTCAGTGGCTCAACACTCATGTACTAATTTCTGAAGTTAAATCACTATGTTAAAGGGCTAATTGGCTACAAGATCAGGGGGTTCCAAGTATACTCGATTTAGTAGAAATGTACACTTCTTAATGTTCTGTGGGCCATTATAGGGTGCCAAAAGTAGTGTGGCAAATTAACATTTACAGTAGAGGAGCTACAAAAACTGGCAAATTAATTGTATGTTGAAAAAATAATCCTACGGTGAACTAACTGAATTAAACTAGATTCTTCATCATTTTATGTAGCCTCTTCGCATTTTAATATACCTCTGGTAGGGTATAGGTTTGACACAATTTCATTATATGTACATAATATAAAGCAGTATACAATACAGTGTTACAGTGGGTAGAAACAGGCATGCAGATGTCTTAATTATCAATTCAACATGACTGACTCAATGATAAAGGTTGACATTATGGTCTGTGCTGTACTGTAACTGATCTTTCATGTTTCTAATGCCACTCTACAGTTGGACTCACCAACAGTTAAAATAAGTAGACTAGAGACTGAGCGATACTGGATTTCTGAGACACTGATATCGATATTTGAGAGTTCAAAAAATACATAACAATATATCATTGATATTTATTTTTTTCAGTAATACATGACAATATATGGTTGTTAGAGTTGTGACTGAGATATGAACATCGTACCTGTCGCTGCTCTCTGGTGGACAAACTATGTAATACTAGACTATGTAAAGTTACTCTTTCTAATTTGGCTTCATCATAGTGGCATTTCTGTACAGCAAGACTTTGTTACTTATCCACAGACACACACGCAGATGCCAGTATATCTATATCTATGATAAATGTATTCAAATATGTTAACTGTTAAAAGACTGTACAGTGTAAGATCAGCATGTCTTTAAAACATGACCTGTGATCAATAATTGCCTGTCCAACCCACCTGTGATTGTGAGATCACCTGTTGCAAGTCATTTTGTAACCAACCCTACTATCTCTCATGCTTACCAGGCCATGTTGCACCTCCTAGCAGAAGGTTCTCCTTTGTCACCACAGCAGACTGAGATTTTCTGGGCTGACACCTTGCATCGACAACACTATAACTCCTGCTGTACAAAGTCGGTTTTCTATTTCCAAGTGGCACAGTGTACTTCACGGGGCAGAGCATTGTAGGAGCCCGACAAAGGATGAGGGTTCGGGTCTCACCAAGTCTCGAGGAAAAAGCACTGACAGAACTGAATAGGCGCTTTGGATAAAAGTTCCCAGGCAGATAAATCCTAGTGCAGTCCATACAGCCAGCCAGCAGCACTCTGTGCAGCTTCATCTTCACACCACCACAACACACAGCCTTCACACAGACTGCAGTAGTGGCTTTGGAGATCTGATGTTCAGCTCAGACGCCCAGCTTGAATACAAGTGTTGCGTGAAAGGCGCTGAGTGTGTAACATCCTTCAATCATCTCATTGGTGGTCCCTCACTGCCCTCCAGCTGTTTGTGAGCCGAGAGTCCAGATCCACAGGTACAGCAAGAAGGAAAAGCCTTAACATGATGGTTAGAGTACAGAGCAAATATTGGTCAACGTCGCTTCTTGTAACGCCGGACAAGTGATATCTTAGCACGACTACTGTCAAACTTTCCTTACGATGTTTTCAAGAGTGCTGTGCAGCTCTGTCATGTTATGCTAGTTACCCTAGCTGTAAGTAGCAGGAGCAGTTTGTGCTCTCAGCAATTATCCACTTAAAAATCGTACTGACAGTAAACGAAGTAACACATGTCCGTTACCTGCCGTTAACTACAGACGGTCCTTAATCAACACGTATGGTTGTTCTAGTCCGAAGACGCAGTTCTCCGGGTTAGCATGACAGACGGGGGACTGGCAAGAGCACTGTACCTGACCATAATGCACCGCGGTTACCAGGGGCCGACTTCCAAAGATCGTCTATACACAAGTCAATCACTCCGACTGCGTTTAAAACAGAGCAGCGCAAAGTAGAGCAAACTATCATGTCCAGTAGATTTGTTGGTGAGCTCACTGGTTCTGCATTAACTCCTGCACAAGCATAAAACATTTCTTTATTGTTGTGTTTTTCCTAAATATTGACACCAGACACATTACCTGCAGCAACTGACCGATTGTTAATGGGTCAGTGATGAAGGTGTCCTAGATGGACTACCTCTAACTTCTCACAGTCGTAAGAGCTGTTTTAATCTTTGTGAATGAATGAAGCAAGGACTGACACACCACTTAGTTTTAGGAGTTTCTCTTGACTCAGCCAGTGAAGAGCTACTGTTAGTCTTAGGATACATACTGTAGCCAATACTGATACTAAGTTATGTACTGGTGGCATGTCAGTCTTTCAGACACACCAACACACAGCTCAATTATTATAATAATTATCAAACTTTTAATGATTAATATATGTGATTAATGTGAACATCAGGAGGAATCACACTTACTTGTAATCATTTGATTGTATTCATGCTGAAACCATCATGTACAACATGAACTTCTTCATGTTGTACAGATAGTGTGTGTTGGTACGGACCTTGTGTGTTTCAACATATAAACCCATAATGTTCCTGTATATTTAGAAAAACATGTCATCAAATGTTTGTCAGTTGATTAATGGGGAAGTAGCATAACACCAGTAGAATATGTGTCTAGTGTTGTGTGTTTTAAGTTACAAACCATCAGTAGAAACAGTAGATGAAAAACTTCCCTGTCCTGATTATTGAAACATTCCATTACATATATTATAACACCTGAATCTGATTCAGTATTCAAGAAGCTCCATGTGTCCACTGGGGGTAGGTGATCTCACAGAACACAGTATCATTTCAGATGTAATTATTTTATTGAATTAATCATCAAACCAGTCAAACAAAGAAAGTGCAGGCAAAAAGTGCATAAAAACGTGCCTATTAACAACTTAACAATGTGTGTGGATGATATGGACAAAAATCTTCGTTATTTTCACAGTATTTTTCATATCAACATGTAATAGTATGTTATGTATAATACTTGTAACTATAATACCAATACTAATATTTACCAAGTATCCAAAATCAAACAGTAAAAAAGTTGCACTTGTAGCAGTAAAGCTAACAAATTAAATTATAACTTTTACAATATTTATTTTACAAGTACATAAGGTGTCATACTGTGTCAGACTCCTGAACTACACAAGAGACATTCTAATATTGTTTTTAAAATATTAAGAATTATTAGCGTTTATCTTATAAATAATTTATGTACATAAGACAATAAGTATTAAACTATTCAGGACATAAACACTATACATACATCCACAGTAACATACTGTGGATGTACAAACTTAAATACTCTAAATCTTTCAGAATTCATAGTTTTCTCGTTCAGTCTGAACTGTGCGTCTCTTTCTTGACTGTCTTGAGGTGGTGAAAGCTTCCTGTGTGTGTGTGAGGAGCTTCCCAAACCCACCAGCACAGAGGAAGCACATAGTGACAACCTCCTCTGTGCAGGTTAGTTTGGGACGCTCCTCCTCGTCTTGACGGCTAACTGAAGAGGGTGGTGCTGGGGTGGAGGTCTTCAGACTGGGTTTGGTGCCTGGAAGGCTGCTGAGAGTGGTTCAGTGCTCTGCTGCAGTGCTGGCTCTTCCTGGGATGATTGGTTGGTCCACGTCCACTCTCAGCTGCTCCAGGAGAGCTGAAGACACAGAACAAGTCCTGCCCTGTCAAATAGTCAAACAAGTAATGAATCATTTTGGATACAGTAATTCAACCCTTGCTTTGCAGGTAGCTATTTTTTTAATGTGGCTGATAATAATGGAATTATATTATAAACAATGGAATAATATTCAAGAAGTCTCCCATAATAAATGTAATCCACATACAGTATGTAATGTTAACTTTAGCTTGTCATCACTTTCTGTAACTAGAGGTACTTTTGTTGTCTTAGTGAGGGGGTTACTTACATTGCTGAGTGAAAAATAGGCAACCACCCCTCTCCAGTTTGTCCTGTGGTCATCCATCCTTCTCGTCTGGTCCTGTCTGTCTTCTTCCACTTGTCGCTTCTTGTGTGGATGTTGATGCAGTGTGTATCCTCCTGAAGCCTGGAGAACAGTTGCTTCTGCTGGATGCAGAGGTGCTCCATCCTTCAATCCAATGATAAGAGTATTAAGAAATATCAGTGACACTACTAAATGATATAACAAATAATATTAAGACTGACAGGAGACATTTGTTAATGTTGCCATTAAGCATCGACTTACCTTTGTTTGGTAAAGCATCTGCACCTTCTAAAGAAAAAATGAAAGTATAACAGAGTGAGTGAGAGAAATAATCTCTGAGCTATGAAATTAAAATTTCCAGGACACTTTACTTAATGTTGTTAATACTTGTTTACTTACCTCTGGGTATCTAGAGCTTAGTAAAAAAGAACAGATGTTTCAACAGTTTCTATGCCTTTGTATATTAGGCCATAGTAGGTCATTTTCTTTGCAAGTCTGATGCTCATACTTACCTTTTCTCCCACATTATGTCATAAGAGACAGCTCATGTGGTAGAGAATTTCATACATTACCTGCAGGATTGTTGTTTTTTAATCCCTGACTCTTTCCACAACAACCCTATTAAACCCCAGACTAGCATACCTCAGCTAGACGGGATACTGTAAGACCAGGACATGGTCCTCTCTGTAGTCCCTCTTCAGGGAGGTGTTGAAGTATTTCATGTTGCAGTGCTCAGCACTGTTGTCTCACAGCAAGAGGGTTTTGTTCTTGCATGTTCTCCTTGGGTCTGCGTGTTTTTTTTTTTGCAGGGTCAGAGTCCAAAGGTGTCCAAAAACTCACAGATTAGTCCATAGTCATGAAGGGTTTTCCATCTCTGTGTGTCACCCTGTGAGTGATCTTCCTGTCCACATGTCCAAGTGTGCTTGGGCAAGGCACTGAATCCAAAATTGCTCCCAATGTTTGGGTTGGGATGTTTGTTTAGGTCTCTCATCCATTATTAATTAAAGTTATTATTATTAAGAAGTAATCGCCAACCCTGCCAGATGCAAAGGAAGGCTTCCTGTAGCTTTGCCAGCCCTCCAGATTACAAAGAGACAATCTAGTTAGATATGAACAACATGTACAAATAGGCCCTGGGGCAAGATGCTACCAGGGGCTTTGACAGCCTCGCCAGACAAAAAGGCTACCTGTGGCTTTACCAAGCCAGATGCAAAGGCCAGCCCTCAAGATTTCAAAGAGATGATCCAGCAACCAGATACAAGTGGGCCCTGGTGCAAAACACTACCTAGGGCACTACCTACCTTGATAGAAAGGTTACCTGGGGCATCCCCATCTCTGCCAAATAGAAAGTTTTTGCAGTTTTCCAAACCTGCAGTAGACAGGGTGGTCAGACTCCAATCAGAGTCACTGTCTTCAGCCCATGATGGGTTTCCAGGAGGATGGTGCCAGTGTCTCCTTCCTGTGAAAACTCCAAGGCCTGAGGTTGAGGGAAAAGGCTCTTCCAACCCATGGGAGACAGAGAGGAGACCTCCTTCAGGTTGTTCCCTTCACTGGTCGGGAAGCCACAGAAGCTTCGGAGGTCGAACAGGTACCTGTGGCTGCCAGTCCATGAGCTGCTGAGCGTCAGGGTTTTCCTCTTCATCTCTCCTTGGCCTCTTGGGACTTACCTGCAGTGCGTCGCACTCCTCCCTGATCCTCTTGATGAAGGAGCTCAGGCCTGAGATTGAGGGACCAGACTCTTCTAGCCTTGGAGAGACCGAGAGAGGACCTTCAGGTTCTTCCACTTGCTGCTCAGGAAACCACAGAAGCTTCGGGGGCTGGACAGGTACCTGGGGGTGCCACACAGTCAGCTGATGAGGGGCAGCAGCAGGACCACAAACGGGAGCAGCATCAGGAACATGAGCAGGAACACCAATAGGAGCAGAGAGAGGAGCGCCAGCAGGAACAGGAGGATACGCCTGTCGCCAATCCTGCCACACGTTTCCGGGTGGGAGCTGTTGTACCGGAGGGGGGTGAGGTCTGTCGTCATCATCATCTTCAAGGTCGTCTTCATCCTCAGTCATGGTACCATACCCGGAATCCATGCTGTCTTCAGACCAGTCCTCCTCATCCTCAAAGATCTGACCTTCCTCCAGCTCACTATCCTCCTCGCCTGATGACACGTAGCTTGGGAGTTCACCATCTTCGGCGTCATCCACAATCCTGAAAACTTCAGGGAGGTCATCTTCAGCAGGATGTCCAACGATGTAGGGCACACCATCTGAAATGAAAAAGTGAAAGAAGCTGAAATACCTGATTTCAAATGACAGTATTTCTCACATAAACATTTAGGACTAAATAAGCAGTAATCAAAGCTAAAGTTAGATAAAATATCATGTCACCATACGCTAACTACAACTGTTCTACATGAAGCCACAAACAGTCAAGATGTGATCCCATCTTAACATTAACATCCAATACTGTACAATTCTATTATTATTTTGAATAAAAGTAACAATGGTTTAGCCTTAGTTGAATCTAAGAGAAGTATAACATGACATTCAATATCAGAGCAAATGCTGGGAACACCATTCTTGTGAGCACAGGCATGAAATATGAAATAATTATGGGAAAATGGCAGGTTATGCATGTTATGAGCTCTGTTATGGCCTGAGCACAGACTAGACCGCAAAACTACAATAACAATAATAATTTCAATTATCTATTTATTTGTATCATAAGGTGTCCCTCAACAACTGATAATTCATTACTAGCTAAGACAGTGAAGTGTAGGAAAGGAGAAGCTCTCTTCGCACAGTGCACCGTGCTTTCGCCCTGTTTTCAATCTGGATTACGGTCAAGACCGGCAAAGCCATGCCCAAAAACTAAACTAGATCAAAATGCAAGAAACATAAAAATGGGACAACAAGGGAAATAAAAAAATGGGATGGGAGCTAAGTGACGGTGGAGAATGCAACTGCCAGAATCGAAGTTCACATGCAATCCAGTTACACAGAAAATCTTTTTCCTTCCTATCTCCTTGTTAATATAAACAATATCAACCGTGTTGATATTTTGTTTCAGAGAACCTGAAAATTAATTTATATAATGTGACAAACCTTGAACATTAAAGTTCAAAATAACTTGTTATCAACTCCGGATATAATAAGTCAAGCTTCAAGAATCAAAACAAACTCAGACAACAGCAGGCGCTGCTGTGTTTACACCTGTACGTCTTGTACGTCGTTGTCCTGACGTTCGGAGCTAAAAGTTCCATCGTTTCCATGGTGCACAAGAAAAGCAGATTTTTGGCATTTTATGAAATTTGGGCCAGTCGCCATCTTTTTTCAGTAATTTCGATGCTATATTTGGACAATTTGGTGCCCTCAAACCAAAACAACACTGTCTCTAAATCACTACACTAGTTGTTAATGAATTCCACACATTTCCCGGAATATTTAAGAAATTATCTCCATCAAACAATCATTTTACACGGAGAATCTGTCTGTTTTCACCAAATCTGTTTTTCCAATAGGCCTAATGACAAAAGTGTCAACTTTCCAACCCTAAATTAGTAAGTAACACTGATTTATACACCGACAGACCTTTTAATGATTTTAGGGAGATGAATCAGTGAATCAGTCATAGAAAAACGATTTCAATAATATAAAATAAACTTAAAAGTTGTCCTACCTGCATGGTCGTTGTCCACCTGATGGGCGACTCCTCTCAGCAGGTGTTCCTCCAGGACCAGTGGTCTGCTCTGGGCCATATTGAGTCCTCTTTTTTCCACAGTAGTTCAGTGATGTAGTAGTTTTCCTCTCCAACAAGATCCAGTAGTAGTTTTCCAGTGGTTTCTTTCCAGAAATTCACTTCTCCAAAAGTTCGCTTTCCCACAGCTTTGGTTTGCAACAGGTCAACTCGTGTTCAAGTCCAGGTGCAAAGGGAAAGATCTAATGGATGAGCAGCCTTTATATACCCTCGGTTCGGGCGTCATTACGCTTCTATTTGTGACGCACGCGCGCGTATACATCATGTGTTATATTTAATATTTTTCAAATTTTTTATTTCATTTTTGTACACTTGTATTTTTTATTTTTCAATGACTTGTTTGCAAGTATGTTTCCTACAATTATAAAAGAGCAGCAATGTCTTAATATTCAAACCATTAGTTTTTTTTTCTTTTGGACATTCTGAGTTAGCATATATTCAGGTTAGGCCTACATTAGAAAATATTAAATTCATTTTATTTTACTAATAATCCGAATGCCTTTTTTTCCACCTATACAAAGTTAAATATAGTATGTAATATTAATCTTATTAATCTAAAAAAAAGCTAAACATGTACAACCGGATATGTGTGTAGTATGTAATCACTGGAGTAAACCCCTTTTACTAAAAAAACAAACAAACAAACAAAAACCCAATAATGAACAGAATTTCATATCTGCATGTCCTCAATGGAAGCTGCCACCCTGCGGCTTCCATAGACAGAGGCCAAACATAAAGTCTACATTTTATTTTATTCTATTTTACTTATTCCATTAGCTATTTTCTGCAAGTTTTATTTCAATTGGCCTAGAGCAGTTATTTGAATGAAATTCCTTTGGAAATCAGCAACTGCGTATAAACGCAACACAACTATCCCAGAACATTGACTCTCTTTTCTCTGCAGAATTAGTGCCAGATTACATACATTTTTACCAAAATAAAAGTCCCCCCCCCCCTCCCCTTTTCCGGTGCAGATAACCGGGAAGATGCTGTGGTAGGGAGGAAGCCTGGGGATTTTATTGTGATGACGTCTATGAACATTTCCGTCCTCAAACTCGACCACGTTTCATGTTATTACTTTGTCGTTGAAATCCTGTATCAAAAGCTACCATGTTCCCATCGTGTTCCAAACCCACGGACAGCGGCGGAAAGAGGAGCTCCATTGCTAAGCTGCTGCTTGGTGTGTTCGTGGTGTACATGCTCCACACCGCCTGGCTGCTGTACGGCTTCATCAACACCAAACCCTGCGATGGAGGCAGAGGAGAACACTGCATCACCTCCTACCTGACAGCAAGACCCAGACTGCAGGTTAGCACAGGCCTTTTTTTTTTCTTATTTCCTAAACCTCAGGGGACACATCAAGATCCATTTCAAGACGCCTCTGCCTTTTCATCATGTTATTAGCCAGGCAGTACTGCTTAGCACCAAACCTTTGACAGATCAGGTGGGAACTTGGATGGCAGTGAATAAGATAATTGATTGTAGCTTGGCTTGAACTGTCACAAGGTCATATTTTGCCATTATACACTACAGTCTACAAGCTGTCACTATTTATATGTGTGTATACTGGAGTTTTTTTTTTAACCTATTCAGATGATGGTGATTTGTTTGATGGAGTAAATCCTCTCAGATTCTCTCTGCAGGATGAAGCTTTGTCCCCAGCTTTATAAACCTTAGCTGCTTAGATGCTGCACTGTAATAACAAAAATCTGTGATCCATTCTTCTCCTGAAGATGAATTGAATTTCAGCCCGTAAAATAAACATTACCTTGAACGAATACTTTGGAGATGATCCAAGTTTTTCTGTTGTTCACCGTGGTCTCACTGCTTTGGAAAAATCGACTGACTTTCACTCTCTTGTCTTTTACCCAGCTGAGTGTCTTCACCTGCCTCCTGCCAGACAACAGCCAGCTCAACCTCGCTGTAAAAATAGACCCATTTGACCCACACTCCACATTTGAAAGGTGGGTGTGACATATTAACATTACAACCATGTAATCACCATCCCACATTAGTTATACATAAAATAAATAATAGGAAATTGGAAGCTTTTCCTTTTACTGTCACAGTTGCAACACAGAAGACGGAGACCTTTGTTATATGTGTATCATTTAGCAAGAAGATGTAAAAATGTACAAAATACAAACATAGAAACACACAAATTTAAATCATGGAATGGAATAAGAACAAAACTTTCTCCTTCAGACTGTTTTTTACTTGTCTCTTTCTACTTTCCTCCCTAAATCTGTCTCTCTCTCCATAGGCAGGTGAATGTCTCTCTGCCAGAGGAGACTCGGGCTAATGGCACTCTGTATGCAGTCGTTTACATTCACAAGGCTGGTGTTTCACCCCTGGAGGACAGCAGAGAAGTTCACTATGCAGCTCAGCTCACCACCCACATCACTCCCACACACACGCAGGGGCAGAGAGACACGCAGAAGGTAAAATGCGATTCAGCTTCTGTCAAAGTGGTATCACATTTCAACCTGCCATATGAACTCTACACTACATTCAGTCAGACATGGAGCCTTGCTGCAATTGAAGATATTTTTGTGGCTCCATCAGAGATCCAGCCCCAGATCGGAGAATCCTGTATCCCACTGGAGACCTCACCTGTCAGTCACCATGATGTCCGAGGACTTCACCTTCAACAAGGCGGGGCTTCCCAGTGACGTGCGGCGCTACATGAGAGTGTAAGTGTCCTCAGGAAGCTTTGGAGGTCAAAGCCAGGTGATCAGGCAAAATGCTGCTGACTCCTGCTTTATCACTGCTGCTTGCCATGAGAGTCCAGTGCTGGACTCCTTAGGGTCAAAAGTATTTTATTGCCTGTTTGTAAGAGAATCAAGGAGATTCAGACATTATCTCAGAATCCGACTTAAATGTGTAACCAGGGGTCTTTTGTAATATGAAATTGTATATAAAATTAATAATAACAGGAGAAGCATTTGGAGATGCCAACCTTCTCAATATTCATTTGTTGTGAGTAAAACTTTCAGTCAAGGAGAAAGGAAGGAGCTATTTGTAACTTTTGCTATTGCTACATAGCCAACGTTAGCATTAACAGCTTTTTACTTAGCAGTTTAGGAGAAACATCAAACTTCATTCCTTTACTCGCCAAGAGCTGTCTCCAGCCATGGAAAACAACGACAATGTTAACTCCTGTCTTTATCACGTCTTTTCTTCTACTGAAGTTAGCACGCTAACCAGCTAGCCCGTGTGGTCACTTTCCAATAGCGACTCACTGTAGCCTCCAATCCAATCTGAAGACATAGCGCTGATTGCAGGGCGTTTTATAACCTCTTGTATTATAAAGACAACCATGGAGTGACTCTTGTCAAGTGACAATCAGGACCATCTGTTCCCAGCAAGACACCATGTTCTGCTGCAGAGAAAACTTATGAATAGCCCACTTTTAAAGCATTTGTTTTATCTGTATACCCTGTACCATATACCCTTTATACACCAATATGCAATATCTATTTGTGTCCTTCTCAGATGAATTTATTTGAATCAATTTTACTGTCCTCGGGAGGTAAAATGATCAAGTAATTTCACAAGAAAAAGAAAAGCTAACAAAGTCAATAAATTTTGTTTATTTACCTTGTGTTTACCTTGTGAAGACTTGCAGGGGTCCCAACCCCCAAGTTAGCAACCGCTGGCATACATCACTTTATTTTTCACAAATTACACACTTGAGAAAATATGCTGCAGCAACACCAGATTATTGCAACTCTGTAGAAATACACGTTTGAGTTGGAGGGCTGACTGTTTATTAGTCATTAGGAAAACTATGATGATATAAACTAAAGAAAACCCGTCTGATCTCTCAGTTACTACCTTAGAGGTGTCGCTTTGTAGGTCATTTAAATGCATGCACGTGTATATTTGTTTATGATATTTACACTCCTCGCAAATCTGTAAATAAGGAGTGTGCCCCGAGCCAACGTTTGTGTTTGAGTGAAACTTTATTCCCGACTCCCCCTGTAGGTCTCAGGAAGGCCGACAGATGATCTACCTTCCTCTGCTGCTGGTTAATGAACTCAGTGTCAGAGTCAGAGACCTTGTGGTAGGAAGCGATGTTTAACAGACACAGAGTAAACTATCTTCTATTGATTGCTGTGTTTTGGAATAACACTAACATGATTGTATATTTATCCATCCATCCATCCATCAACAGGAGATCGGCAGCAGCACTGTTCAGCTCCCTCTGACTGTGTCCTATGAGGGAATCTCTTTAAGGAGATTCAGGTTCTGGGTCCATCTACAGGATGTGGTTTATTCCCTACGACAGTTTGGTGAGCTAATACGACAACAGATATTTTGTATTATGATGATTTGGTGAACTATGGTTTTAAAAAATATTAATTAGGTTCATGGTTATTTAGTCTTCATCGTAATAGAACTTTATTACGTTTGAAGAGTCATTTTTTACAGTCTGTTACAGTTTTGTGACCTGGATAAAATGTAAATACTTGTAAAACTGCACATTTCTGTTCAATTTTCTTCATTTAAATACATGTATTTTATATGAATTATATATCATATGATATATACGTATGTATATATTATGATATTTTTAAATATAGGCGTGTTGCTTTTCATGTCACATAATTGAGAAAGTTAACTGAATCCTCTGATGCTGCTTCTTTGTGTTGTTAAGGTTTCACAGAGGAAAACATTGATGAAATTAAAGAAACTCTGATGGGATCCAACCTCTACCTGTTAGTGCTGACTGCACTCATCACGGCTCTGCAGGTAAGACCATACAACACCTCATAAAACACCATACTGTACATATTAGAAGCCACATGACGCATAGTCTCATATATTGTGAATTATTTCATAAATCACAGCACAGAGTTTCGCGAGGGAACATGGTAACTCAGGTGAAGTATTGTAAAATTACCGGTTGTTTCACTGTGTTTGTGTTCCTCTGCAGCTCATCTGTGAATTCTTGGCTCTTAAAAATGACATCAGCTCATGGAGGAAAAAGAAGAGCATGGCGGGAATGTCCAGGAAGTCAGGTAAGAAAATCATCATTTTTAAATAGGTTTGCAACACTAAAGGCTTTGCTACCCAGGCAGCATTTTGAGATGATGTGTGAGGGCTTACCAACAATAATGAGCAACACTGATTTATAGCTTTGCTGTAAAGGATCTATCACAGTAAGACGATGCCTGGATGATGTTGATAACCAGTTAGGCTCTTAATGCTCCTTCTGTCTCTCCCCCTTTCTGTTTGCAGTTCTGTGGCGTAGTCTCAGCACTTTGCTAATTTTCCTCCATCTGCTAGAGGAGACCAGTCTGCTGGTGCTGCTCCCCGTCGGACTGGGAGCATGTGTGGAGGTATTTTTTATCATGATCGGTCTCCTCCAACAATGAAGATCAAAACAGACAGTTTTAACCCACTAAAACTGTCGTCCCTGCAGGTGTGGAAGGTGTTTAAAGTGTTTAAGATCCAGTGGCAGTGGAAAAGCTCCAAGCTCCATGTGAGTTTAGTGCAGTCACCTATTTGTGTTTAAATGCAGGATTTGTGCAGAGTGACATAATTTAATTTAATTTGTATAGAAATATGTGTTGAGACAGCATTGTGTTGCTTCTTCTACTTTCTTTTAACGTTATTGATTAATTTAGCGGCTCAACTTTTCTTCTCCAGCTCTGATGCAGATAATCAATCCATTTATTTCTAACCCTAAGACTGCCTCCTCTCTTACTGTGTAGGTAAATAAGATGGATGAAGAAGAGAGGAAGACAGTGGACTATGATACACAGGTATGAGTATGTTTCTCTCTTGTCTGATTTTATGTCTCTGTCTTTAATGTCAGTGTTTTGTCTGTGGTTTTCACTCCAGGCGTCCAGATACTTGTCCTACTTGGTCTATCCTTTGTGTATCAGCGGAGCTATTTTCTCACTGGCCTACTTACGCCAAAAGAGGTGAGCTGATCACCATTATTCAACTCTCTGCTTTTCCACATCATTTCAATACTGTCTTATTGCAGTGCCACCAAATGTCCCATGTCTGCAGTCCGTCTGGACATTTCAGTACAAACTCGGTTTCTCTCCACCAACTGTTTTTGGTTTTATTTGTCACTGCATACTCTGACTACTACATGTTTATTTAAAACTAGTAAATATACTCAGTATCCTCTTCTGATTATTAAATTAACATTAAATTGTATTATGATGACAGTTACTATTCCTGGTTGATCAACAGCCTGGTGACTGGTGAGTCGACTTATATCCATCACCATGACATCGTTTGTACCAGTGGAAACAGCCTCATGTATATGATTCATTAGTTAATTTGTTAACATCATTGAATTCTTGTCAGTTTTTCTAAAATCAAGCTGATACTTTTACTTTTATATTCATGCTACTAATGTGCCTTATTGACAGTCTTACTCTCCTCTCAGGGGTGTACGCCTTTGGCTTCCTTTCTATGGCCCCACAGCTCTTCATTAATTACAAGGTCTGTTCTGCAACTCCACCAGAGACATCAACACCCAGCCTTTATAAGAGTAGTAGTTACCAAATTATCCGATGATCGTGCTGAGTGAACTGTATCCTCTCTTGTCTTGTTTTTCTTCTGGCTCTGTCTTGTTTTTCCTCCACCCCTTGTTCTGGATCAGTTGAAGTCTGTGAGCCACCTGCAGGGGACAGTGTTGATGTACAGAGTGAGTACAACCACTTTTCTGGCGCCTTTGTATCCGTCATATACTCATCGGCACGCAGTACTTTTTACTTTACAGTTAAATTGTCCCGGTTTGCAAAGTTTTAATTCCCCTGTATTCTACAGTGAATTTGACTTCATTTGTTTTCTGTCAGATAAAAGAACCATTTTAATTTAATCCTCCTTCCTCACCTCCAACCACCAGGGAGTGAACACACTGATCTCAGATCTGTGCTCCTGTGCCTCCTTTTTCTCCTCCTCTGGATCGTTCTCCTCCTCTCATCAACTCTCCTGCTTCAGAGATGAGCTCCTTTTCCTCCTCTACCTCTACCAGCGAAGGTAGACTGTGTAAACACTCACTCGCTGCAATCAGTGGTATTTTGTGTGATTTTACCAGGGAAACCTCTCTTACCAGTAAATAAATGGCTTAAATACCTGTCAATTATGTGCGTGTGCTTAAAGTTGTCAAGATATAACAACAATACCATCCTGCTTTCACCCTCATATCTTCACCAGGTGTTACGCACCCAAGGCCAGAAGACGAGACTCTGGGACCCACAGCAAGAAAATAAAGACTCAGTGAGGAGAGGACAAATGAATTGTTTTCGGAAACGAATGTACAAAAACATAAAAACTAATCTTTGACAAACAGAGGCACTAATCAGCCTTGAAGATGTGAAACAGAGACGAGGGCAGGACACTCGGCCACGTCTGATCTGATCCGACCTGTCCTGCTGTACACTCAACGGTGCTGCTGCTTTCTGCTTGGCATTGATGAATCCCCTTTACAGCGGCAGTGAATTACACTAATTCATTCACCTACAGATCCCTCCCTGCTGCACGTTACCCTGGATTGTCTTTCTGGATTTCAGCATTTGCTTGATTCTGCTCCTCATGCACACATTTCCTGGTACATTGTAAAAGATTGAACTTTCAACTGCAAGTATCGTTTGATCACCATTAATCCACACCCATCTTCTCTTACTTGTCTTGAACTTTATGACTGACTCAACTGTTTTTTGTAAAAGCCTGAATTATGAATCTCCCTTTAAAATTCACTTTAAGAAGCTGCAAAGTAAAAATATACAAAAAAAATAAACCAAAAAAACTTGTATTTTAAATATTCTTTGTATAGATTTATAAACATTCAGTATATTCTGTATGTTTGTTCCAGCGTCTCACTGAAGCTTGGACAGCCTCTAATAATGGCATAAAATGTCCAATGAAAAAAAAGCATTTCACTCACGCTACATGAAGCTGTACTCTTACTCATGCTCTCTATACAGACTGAAATATTCAAAGTCAAGATAACATCATTTTATGGTTGCACCATTACATCAAATAAAAATTATTCTGCACAACGAGCTCAGCGTTACATACAGTATTTAGGCCCTTTGTAAACTTTGTTGTCCTGACTGAAATTTAAAATAATACTCTGTGGTTTGAACGTTGTATCGTGACACGTTTGTAATGATGGACCTGCAGGGTGGCAGATAAGCCTCATGGTGCCAGACAGCAATTAGAAGATCAGACCAGCAAAGTGAAGCACTTGAATATCTATTGTATTTTTTATCTCTGGTAGTTGATGTTGCACATTAAGTCCCTCGTCACATCCTGAAGCCGTATTAACGTCAAGGTGCTGAGGTTGTAGTTGAAATCCAACACACCAGAGTGTACACACTACCAGATGTATAGATCTAATGTAAGTCTCATGAACCCAAAATTCTTGATGTTATTATTCTGAGTTATTCCCACTGTCATTGTACTGTAAGTTATTTTAAAAAAGACTGTTAACGTACTGTGAGAGACCACAAGTTACTGCACTTACTACAAATTCTGCCTGTGTTTATGAAATCCCCACAATGCACTTTGACTTAAAAGATGCAATATAGTTGCTTAATTGAAGAAACCGTCTTTTCCCTTTCACTCAGCACACAAATGCATCACATAGTATGAGAACCATTTATCTACAGGCTATCTATAGGCAGCAATGCCGCTGCAAATGCACTACCCAGATTTTGTTTACTTTTTTTATTATTGCGCTTGTGCTACACTTATCTCAATTCTGCTAAATTCTACTTCTTTGCTGAATGAACTTGAATTTACAAAAATCTAATCATTTATTTTTCATTATTTTATTTGTCATTGCTTTGACAATGTACCCTGCTTGTAAATGTTTTTTTTAATAATATTGAAAAAATAAAAATGTAACCGGCTTTACGGTTCATGTAAATCTGAGCTAAACAATGTATGGATTGTGGAGTGAGTATGTATCAACATGTGCAATCAAGAGACTTCAGCACAGACAGCAGGCTGGTATTCATGGCATTTGCTTGATTGGTTTCTGTGGAGGAAGTTTCTTGCATTGCTTACTTTGTGTGTGTGTGAGTTTGTTTTTGTTGTCTTTATAAATATAATAAATAAAATTCCCTCACTGCGTTCCTTTAAGATTTAGCTTTGGCCTCAGGGGATGAAAGTTAATTGACGCTGTGCGCTTTAAAAACGTGCCTTGTACGGGAATGTGTGCTAGGTGTGTACTGGGTGTGTGGTGGTGCATTCCTCTGTTGACACTGGATACATGTGATATGACAGATATGAAGATGAAGTGATCACTGTCAGACTTTTTTCTTTTAAAATAAATTTAGTCATAATAGTCATGCAGTGTTTTTAAGAGTCAGAGGACGGTCGTGGGAATTTATTTTAAAGTAATTACACCTTCACTGACTATATCAGACACCTCAGCTTATGATTTGTGTCATTGGCTAATGGGCTGCAAGGGTCAATTTTAATGTCTATGCTTTGTTGAATCCTGTTAGTAGTTCTCCTGCTTCACCTATTCAGAGGCTGTTGTGAGATAGAAATGGGAGTTGCCTCTTGACTAAAGAAAATAAAGCCAACTACTCCTGCTGCACAGGTTGAGCTGACACAGTCATGACATAATATTTTGTGCCTCAGCCTGCACAGACACAGACTGTGTTTCAGGTGACAGATGCTTTAACTCAAAAAGCCACATTGTGACTGTGACTGACAGTAGATAAATAACGGGAAAGTATCTGTGAAACCAAAGCAAGATTGAGTAATGTGGAATGAGATGCTTTCAGTTTTGTGCCAAGATGGTGGACGATGTGGGTGGAACTGCTGTGATCAAGTGCTTCTGTAAAAACAAACAATAGAAACCACACACACACACACACACACACACACACACACACACACAGAGCAGGGCACACCGGGTTTGACTGCGGACAGCGGCGGTTCAGTCGACAGACACTCAGTAGACATTAACACCTGTCATGAAGATGCTCTTCAGCCTCGTGCTCCTCTCCCTCCTCTTCTCTCCAGGTATGGAAGTGAACCTCACACTTTAGACTTTAGCTCAACACTGAAGGTCAAAGGGTCAGATGCTTTTAGTAGGACTTGAGTAGGCTTAGCTTCAGAGGCAGTAATGTGTCTGTAAATCTTATAGGAAGTGTGTTATTCTGTGGTTTGCTAAAAAAAAACTCATCAGTCTAGTGAAACTTGAGAGATAAAAATCATTTACAATCACTGCTCCAGACAAAGTCTGCTCTGCTTGTGATTAAATATACGCCTCAGAATCATGTATATTAATTTGATAATGGTTTAGTAAAACTCGAAATAATTAAAAGTTAATTAATCTGGTGGTCAGTTTCAGGCCTGTTGCTGAAACTGAGAACTGAACAAATTTACAACCTTTTTATATCACATGCTGTTTGTTGTTCAATGCACAGAATGAAACAGATTCAACAACAGCAACAGATTATGATAGATTTATCCAAAATAATTAAATAATGAACAAAAAAAAAAAACAAGGGGTTTTTCTCATCAGTGTATCAGTGCATATTTTGTGCTGTGATAAAGTACTGCTTTCTTTATCTTGACTAATAATTAACTTGTGTCATTGGTTTGGGCCTATTTTAAGTCCTCCAGTGACCTTACCATTTGTTTGAGGCAGGTTAATACACTAATACTGGCAATGTGCTACTAACATTGAAGTCTATTTTATGCACTTCAGAAATATGAATAATATGTTTTGATTCAAACCTTGTCTGTGTAAATTTTGCCTTTGGGTTGTTTTGTTCTTGGATCACTCTCATCAGAACAAATGTAGGAGATTGTTATTGTAAATTCTGCAGTTATTTGTGGGATTCATCCCAGTATGGTGCATATATTGTATATACATATTAGTGTGTTTACTGTGATGCATCAGCCTGATGATGTAAGACAGCAGAACAATAAACTGAATGGGAGGAACAGTATGCAACATAATCTGTTTAATTAAACAAGCAAGCCTGACAGGTTTTGACAATACCGTCTTTGGGAGTAGCTGTCTTTTTATTTTAAGAGATTTCTTTTTTTATGTAAATTTATGGTGTGTTACAAAAGTTTGTCTCCCTCTGTAGTCGGACTGAAATATGTAAATATCTTTTGGGTTTTGATGACGTTAACACAGGAGCAGACGATCAGGAGCCTGATTTTGAACCTGAATTCTTACATTGTTAGAAAAGGAACACGATTCCCAGTCCCCAGTTCTTGTGATTTTTGATGATAATTTTCTTGAGCAGACGTTGACAACATTTGCATCTATAAGGAGTAGCACCTACTTCAGTACAGCTGTCACCCAAACATACGAGCTTACTGTACCTTAGAATACGTTTCTCACACTCTCACCACATGAACTACCCATAAAATGTCAAAGGTATTACTGTTAATAAAGACTGAATGCAACAAAATGTCATGAGCTAAAATGATAGAAATGAGTGGATAAATGAAGATGTACTCCTCTTTGTGACCCATCAGTCACAATATTGTTTTGCTAGGCCTTTTGATATGACCCATTTGTTTTCAAAGGGACTTCTATCAATGGATTTTATGTATGTTATGGACTCTTTAAAAAAAATCTTCTTTAATTCATGCCCTGGCTCTTCTTTTATTTTTTAATCCATCTCTGTTTTTTTAATCTCCATGTCTGTTTCTGCCTTGCTCCTCACATCTGTAGTTTTGTCACTGGAGTGCTATGTGTGCAGTTCCTCTGCTACAAATGAAGAATGCAACAGGAACACTCAGGAATGTCAGACGCCGCTGGACACATGCATGACGGTTGTGGACACATTAGGTAACAGTGACGACACAGATTCTGATCTCTATACGAGACCATACAGACCGGCAGTTTTTCAGGATACAGTTGTGATATAAAAATGTCTTATTGAGTCTAAATGTTTCTCTAAAGTTCGTTTAGACAGTAAGTAACAGGTCTGATTGTTTTACTGGAGAGTCTTTATCTTTTATTATTAATGTAATATTAATTTAAGCTTTGGTCCTTTATGTCCAATAAGCCCAGTTCTCCATTCAGCTAAAACTGTGCAGCCTCCAGCAATGTGCTTAAATAGCATTTCACTGAAAAAGAACTGACTCCACCATCCTGCTGCTGTGTGTCTGTGTGTGTATGTGTGTGTGTGTGTGTGTGTTGTTCAGGCTCTGTAACAGCCATAGTGAAACAGTGTGCCAGCAGGGCCACATGCGAAGGAGCTGCTTCGTCTGCCTCCGTTGACTCGGACGGAAATGGAAACAAAGTCAACTGCTGCAACACCTTCGACTTGTGTAACTTCAGTGGAGCCGAGTCCATTCACGTACACATGACACTTCTGTTTCTAACTGTAGGTGCTTTACTGCTGCTGTCCTGCTGAGGCCAGTTACAGCTATACAGTCCCTCATATGTAATATATCGTATCATGTAAAAACTGTGTAGCTTTCTAATTCAATTAATAATTCTATTCTTATTAAACCTGCTGTATATACACGTATGACATTTAAAATGTTGACAATAACCTAAATGAAAAACTAAATGTTAACCTAAAAAAATCTGCACTCAATATTGTTTTTATTACCTGTGAGACTCACTAAGTTCAGGCTTTTCATCATTGTTTTAGCACTTAGCTTTGAAACTTTAGGGACTTGAATACTGAGCTGAATACTTCTGTACTAAGCTTGAATATTCTTGATCTTTCCAAACTACAGCCTAAAATCCCTTTAAAGGATATAAATGTGTTGTAATATAAACAGCAGTATGGCTTGCCTATACATGCCTTTATATTTGTCACTATCTTCAATATCCTGTGTTTAGTGGTCTCTGTTCATCTCATAAACCCAACAGCTGATGACACTACAATCCTGGGAGCAATAAGTATTATGAAAGTCAAATTTTGGGCTCAAAGAAAAAATAAATAAATGAATAAATTATTTTTCAGAAAAATCTGTAAGAATTTGAACATATACATATATAAACATATACAAATAATAATAAAAATAAACAAATAAACATATGAAAATGTTTTTTTTTTTAAGTAAATCATAGATAAGAATGTGGACAGGCTGATTTCCATTTCATCATTATTTTATTTCATTGTTTTTTTCCTCCTATTTGACAAGATGGCTGATTTAGCCCAGAAGACAAAATAAAAACCAGTGTTTACTAGTACGAGTTCTGTACAATTCACCAGTGATACACACCAGTATAGCTTACAATATACCAACATGAGCAAATTTACGCAACAACAAGGAGATAAAATAGATTGTTTTTTGTTTGTTTGTTTTTTTTGTTTTATGTTTTTTATCCCTATAACACCCAGGTATTTGACAGTTTCATTGCTGGCTAAACATGGAAATCAAATCTGGGTAAAATAGGGTTAAAAAATTGCTGTTTGCTGTGCAAATATGCTCTTCTCCATACCAGTATATCATGCTATACTAGTACAGTCACCAGTATATTTCATATAGCAGTATGTCATTCTCCGTGTGGGGTCAGTATTAACAAACACATGTGTGATCTGCTGAAGTTTCAGTTCAGTGTTTTGTGCCTGCAAGACAAGTTCCAGTCATGTGGCTCCACATTTGCGTGTGTGTGTGTGTGTGTGTGTGTGTGTGTGTGTGTGTGTGTGTGTGGGGGTGTGGGTGTTTGTTTCCCTGGAGACTGTTGTTAGGAGGGACATTTGTAAAGTGTTACACCCGACAAAAACGGAGTCTCAAAGCACAAAGGTTCCAGTTGTGAGGGTTACCTATCTCTCTGGGAAATTCACTTTGTGACACCGGTGGCTAAGGGGCTGCTAGAGGCGTGACACCATCTTAGATGAGGAACATCTGAACTATACTGGGACTGTAGGTGAGGAGAAAAACAGAAGAGGAGACGCTGTCCTCACAGAAATAGTTAAAGTCAAACTCAGTGACCAGTTTGAGACATGATGTCCTGTAGATGAATAGGAAGTATCCAGTCACTCAGACTGAATCATCAAAATCCACCATCTGCTTTTTTTCATTTCTGCTCATCAGAGTCAGTGCTGGGATTGAATATCTGCTTGTATTCCAAGTTATAAACAGGTTTCAGTATCGAGGAAGAAGACTGTGACTGCTGAACACAACACAAAAAACATGGAGCCAGCCGATAAAAAAGAGTAGGCTAAACTGAGTGCGATTAGGGAGTTTCCTATCTGCCGTGTTTACCCAGACAGAGTTGGATTCTTCACATTTGGAGTCTTTAAAACCTGCTCAGATAGGAGCTGAGGAAGACTGCGGGGGGGGAGAGGAGCAGTGACAATGAAAAGTGAGTGAAATAGGGAGGAAAGAGGAGGATAGTGTCTTCTCTCTTCAGGCAGTAGACCGGCGCTGCGCTGTCTTTAAGTTTTAATCCTTTCTTCCCGTCTCTCCCTCCGTCTCCTCCTCTGCAATTTCTGAGTCTATAAATAAAAGCTGGTGAGACGGAGGGAAGATGGGGAAGGGATGAAGGACAGAAAAGGGAGGAGCGATGGAGGGTGGGAGGCTGCTTCTCCGCACCAAACTGAGACTGTCTTTACTTTGAGTTTTCTTGTTGTAGCATCCACCCAAAGAACTGCACACGCCCAAAGCTCAACAGAAAACATCTGGTTTGATCTGCCCATTGACAAGCACCCATAGTGATGTGGAGGTATTTCAACTGAGAAAGAAGCTCACATCCAGGGGTCAAAACACATGATGTCAACAAACGCACTGACATGGCTGCTGGCTGATGTCCAAGTCCATTCCCACTGTGAAGTTTCATGCAGATATGTTGCAGATCAAATGCAGTTTGATCAGGTTCTGATGGCTTTGCTTAAAAGTTAGATTCCACAAAGACTAATCTATCTGATATCAACAAATCCAGATCCAACCGCTCACATGATGGTGTTTTTGAGCCTCTGAAACCTCTGACCTTAGGAATCCGGCTCATCCGGGCCCACGGTTTAAAAATCACCAGTATATTCCTTTCCTCCTCTCATCATTATAATCCAGTCCAAAGAGAGTGAAGCTGCCAAGTCCCTGATTCAGGAAGAGTTTTGCTCTGTTCTTGTATTAAGAAAGTCACAGTGGTGGAGAGTTTAATCCCAGATGAATTTACTACCTCGGCTTACGCAGGATTCAACATCTAATGAACAGAGCCACTGTTTCCTCCATCTGCTCTCACATATCAGGAGTCACGACTGACGTCACTAACCCAGGAGTCTTTTATTCTTCTCTGCCAACAGAAGCCGCCACGGTGCCGTTTTTCAAATAGCGGACCTGCTCCTGTTGGTCGGCTCAGCTGGCTAGTGTGGGCGGGACTGGGCCATCATCTTGAGCCGGGACTGATCGATGACATCCAGCAGGTTCTTGGCATCAACTGCCAGAGCGTGAGCCGCCGTCAACATCTGTTTCTTATAGTCCTGCTGGAGACTGGGATAGAGCAAAAATATAAACAAATACATTAATTATACAATAGATTTTTACTAATGGGTGGATGAGTAGTGCAATATTAAAGACACAATGTGTAGGAATCTGGCGCCTCCTAGTGGTGGCATCAAAAAATCACTTTGGCAGAGATGAACGTGCTAAAAACATCAAGCGGCTTTTTTTGTTTCTTGATTTTTTTGTATCTCATTTTGAAGACCAAATTCACAAACAACAACAACAAAAACAAAACACTATTAAAGCTGACTTAACTGGTGTCCTTCAATGGAATAATAACATGTCTTGTGATTACCTGCATCCAATAAATAGACATAAAAAGACTGAAATATAAGATGAAAGGAGGCTATCCATCGCACGGATGTTACATGATTTTGTAAAATATAAGGTACTAAAACAAAACTAATCTTTGCATATTGTGATGTGGCTGGTGTGTACCTACCTGGTCATCACATACTGCTGGGCTAACTTCATCTTCCCGATCAGCTCTGCCAAGTCGGAGTTCAACAGCTTTTGTGCCATTTCGATCTGTTAAAGAAAACCAGAGCATTAAGCATCAAGCTGACGGGATAAAACAAACCAGCACAAGTCAGACTCAAAGAAGTTTACCAGCATAAACTGTTAATGTGAATTTTATAAGATTAGGACGGATTATAAATATATGTACAACATTGTTGAGTATATTTCTGTGTTAGAAAGAGTCAATTTTTTATACCTCTCTGTGTGTACTGGCTGGAAGTTGTGGTAATGTCTCATCCACTGTGGCAAGTAACGTCCTCAATGCCAGACCCACATCCTGGAACAAGCACACAAAAAAATATTATATATATATAAATATTATTTTTTTTAGAACAGGACAAAATTATAGGTAATATAAAGAAAATATGACCATTAATTCACATGGAAATACATTTAAGCTTATAAAAACATGTGAAAGGCTCCTGTGAAGACATAAAAAAATACAATGAAATAATATCTAACATGTACGTAAGCCAAGAGGACCAACAAGGAGAATTCAATTACTAAATCCCCACAATTCAAAGCAACATCTAGTGAGGTTAAAAGGCCAGATCTGCAGAGTCTGGTTAACAGATGATTCACAAATGATTCATCTGGAAGCAGGAGTATCAGAATTCAGTTGTCTGAAGAGCTGAACAACGTCAGTAAATTAAAACATGGTTTGAGAGTAGCCAAGGAAAGACAACATAAAACTGTATTAACAGAACTGCTTTGATCTTTGTAAAACTTTCAAGTTTTAAACCCAAGAGGCACAGTGACGATTCAGTGGAACCTGCTAAGGAGAATACACTTTAAATGCTTCTGTTACCTTGACCATGGGAACATATTCCTCAGGAGGAGCTGGCTGAATCTTGCTTGACATCTCGATCACAGCTTTGACCAATCCTGTCACGTTCTCGTACACCTTGTCGTTAGAGCGGTCCAGATTGGCGGTGGGGGGTGGGCTTATCTCTTGGGGCTGCAGCTTGAGCCATGAGAGAAAAGAAACATCAGTGACAGGGTTAGTGAATGAAGAACTAAAGAGCTGCGTGGGGTGACTGATGGTGAGATCAACAATACACAGAAAAACAAGCTGAGATAATGCAGATGAAATGATGAGCTTCCTGAGGTTTATTACCAGAGCTGCTGGTACAAATCCTGCATGATTACAGAGATGTAAATCGTGCACTGTCTAACCTAACTTTTACATATTTGAAATAGGTGGAGAGGAAAAGCCACAGCTGCAGAGCACTGTGGCCTTAAAAATAACAAACTATATCACAGAAGTAAATGAGTAGATTAATGAGCAGGTAATTGAAGGGATGAATGACTGAGTGAATGAATATGTACGTAGGTTATGTGGATCTACGACTTTGACTTTAAATAACTAAATAGTCTGTCTAGACACAGACGTTATTAAAGTAATTCTCCATTCTGGCCACTAGATGGTAGTGTCACACAATTTAATTATGAAAATCCAAAAACTGACAAGGCAGGGGTCGCATCTTAAGACAGATTCATCATAAATTGATTGGGTTAAATATTGTTAATATAAGAAAACAAGCAAAACCATTTGGATATGGATGTTAGTTCGGAGAGGAAAAAGACAATAGAAACAAGAAACCTGGCTACACAACAACTGAAGGAATGACATACATTTGTTTTATATATTATCAGAATTTGATTTGTTGGACTGATGGACCGAATGAGTCGATGTGTGATCAACTAGGAGACAAGACGCACAGTAAACACACACAGACAGTGTGCTGCTTACCCGCCAGGGCTACGGTCAACATTAAGGCAGAGTGCAGGAGGAAGAGGAGGAAGAGGAGGGAGAGGGAGGGGAGAGAGAGGGAGCAGTCAAGGGAAAAGAAGATAAAGGAAAATATTAATGCTAAGCATAAAAAACATGCAATGTGTGCCTCTGTGTGAAAATGTTGCATTATTTCTTTATATCTGTGTGGTTTTATCATGTCTGCGTATAGTTGTGTGCAAGTATTTTTGCTTTGACTTTGAGTCCTAAAAGTCATATATGCTTCATTTTTGATTTAGTGTATCTATATGTTTCCATATCTTTTTGTCACTATCTACACATGTGCATGCGTGTGTGTGTGTGTGTGTGTGTGTGTGTGTGTGTACCTTGACTCCATCGTTGTAACTGTCTCCAGTATTTAGACAGGCCAGACTGCCCACTTGGCTCTGAGCCCCAGGTCGAGGGGGTTTCTTTGGGGGAGCCGCATGCTCTGCAGGAAACAACATATAGAAGGTGAAAATAATGTTTCCTCGCAGCTTCATTGTCTCATACACGTTCTGGACAGATTGGAGTACGATCCCACAGCAGCTCTCACTTTACAGTCTGTACTCTTAGTGGTAGTTCACATCATAAAATCAACATCAGTCTAGGGCTGTAACTACAGATTATTTTCATTATCGTTTTTTCTTTCTTTTCTTTTTTTTTTGATTAATCGGTTCTCAATCTTCAAATGTCTTGTTTTGTCTGACCAACAGTTCAAAAAAAGGAATAAATTAATAAATAAAGAGAATATTTTACATTTTTCGCTTGATTTATCTATAATCAATGATCAAAACTTAGGGAAAAAATTGGTTTTGAGTACAGGGAAAAATGTAGTTCCTCATACAAAGAAGGAAATTATCCTGCAGAGTCTCCCCACTGTAAAACTATTTACAGCTGAATGTTTTTCTATTCCCTCTGCACTAGCTGCCTGCAGGGCAGATATATTAACACAACATATTGAGTCCATATAAACAGTGGTTGATTTGCTCACTTGCAGGCCAACAGGCTGCCGAGTTCACAATCTGATCTGTCGTATTGTGGCAACAGACTGTAAACTCTGCAGACAAGACACTGACACACTATCTGCTGTGCATCAGACAGAAAGGCTGGAGATACAGAGTCTGTAAACAGAGTGAATAAGAGCTGGACACACACATGTAAGGCTACATGTGTGAATTATGTATGTTAGGAGATTAAGACAGAAAGAGAGGAAAGAACAAAACAATAGCAGTTGTTTACTTATAGAAGGTTAGATGCATGGCTATTACCTGCTTTGCCAACGGGCTGGTATATGTGCTGGTTTCCTGTCTGCACAAACAAACACAACAACAAAACACTGGGTTAGTGGCAGCACAGTCACACAGTCACAAACATAATCAGAAGCTTGAAAGGAAATGAGGACCTCACAGGCAAAAACCAACGGCTGGCTCTGAAAAATGTAGGGAATCCAATTTCATTTTTATGTCACATAAAACCAATCCTCAATTTGTTCTTGTTCAAGTTCCAGTTGAGGAGCCGTTTCTGTTTTCAGTGGTGTGCAGTGGAGCGCTGTGTTGCAACACATGAAGAGTGTTTCCTTTGTTGTGCAAACCTTTTAAAACCAGAAAAAAAATCCCACAGCATGTTTTTATGATTTGATGGTTGTGGCTCTATAGGGGCACCAGGCATGTTACATATTGACTTTGTTGCATTATTACAGCATCTTTGTTGTTTTCTCTGTGTGAGAAAACAGTACAGAGGGCTTCGAAAGCCCTGGTGCCATCAGAGTGTCATGGTCTGACAACCACCAACACCCAAAAATACTCTACTACAGCATTACACACACACACACACACACACACACACACACACACACACACGGGAGATTTTCCCACCACAAACCACAGCCATTCAAAGGGAGGAGGACAAGCAGCGAGATGAATTACAGAGACAGAAATATCTGTCTTGCCCATGGCAACTTCAGACCGCTACAACAACCTCTGCTGGCATCAGGGCCGTAACAGACATCAACATACAACTCAGAGTTCGGCTCCTCAGACTCTGGCTACACAGAAGTTCAGATCAACAACATCATTCAGAGTCGGAACGAAGATTAATCACTCAAAAGCTTCAAGAAAAACACGAAGACTTCAGCTTCAAGTCCACACAAAAAATATTACAAGAGGGGAAATGTGATGAAATTACCTTTCAATACAACCTGTGTAAAAAGATGATCTCAGCACCAGTAGGTTTGAAATGAAAAAGTCCATCTGTCAATGTTCAAATCATTTCAGTCACCTCACAGTGCTGATTTACAAAATGATGCGGTTAGCCCTCTGAAGTGATCAGAAATCCACATTCATGTGAATATGGCTGCATCTGATGATTTTATTATTATTATTTGGCATTTTGCTAAAAAAATTACTTAATCAAAAATCAAAATAGTTGCTTCTTCCAACTGACTTTTAAATGATCATTCAATCAATTATTTCAGCTCTACACATGACATATTGACTTTTAGGGCAAATCATCATCAAACTTTAAGGCTGCCTGTTGAAAAAAACATGTTGAAAAGCCAAAGCCCTTGACTTTCTATGAGACCAGATCCACCATATTTTCCTCTCTCTCTCTCTCTGTGTGTGTGTGTGTGTGTGTGTTTGTGTGTGTGTGTGTGTGTGTGTGTGATTCCTGGTGCAGAGTTTCTGTGGGCAGCACTGGGACAGACAGATGAGTAAAAACATGGCTACTTTGTCTTCTATAAATAAGCGGTGATGTTGTGGGAATCCACTGACCCCTCATTGATGACCCCACCCCCAACAGGTCACTTCCTGTCCCTGGATCAATCCCCTCAGCTCTATTCAAAACAAACACATACTTCAGCCAACTGCAGTGAGTCCAACCAGAACGTGGACTTCCGTCAACATTTGTCTTTATCAGACATCCTCCTCGCTTAAAAACACAAACAGCCAAGAAAAACAACTTCCCTCTATTTCTAAGATGTGTATGTTGAGGTAGGGGACATGGGATGAATGTCATGATTTTGACAGTGAAAACAGCTTGTGGGTGAAACACAGTTCATTCAGAAAAGAAAAAAGAAAAAAAGAAAACACCCTCCAGGTCATATTAACTCCCTGTCGCCAAAAAAAACTTTCTTACTCAACCTGTGTAGCATGAATAACACCAACTAACTAGAAAGTAACTTACCGGTGGTTGAAGTCCACCTTCTTCTCTGTCCAGACTCCCTCTAGAACTTCGAGTGTCTGGTTTCTAAACACATGCAAATAAAAAAAATAAAAAAAAATCACAAATCTCCACATAGCAACAGTGTGTAAGTTCAGGGCTGCTTTCATTGCAAATTGCTATCAATAAACAAAACAAAAGTTCTATATTTACAGTTTTTGAAAATGACTGTGACTGTTCAATGAATTAAGTCACATTGCTTTTCTGTATATAACTATACAAGCAGTACTGGATTTTGATTCCCGGGATTTCTCTGAGGCAAATACGCCTTAATGGCATGCTGTTAGATCAGTATCTCATGCTGTTGTCAGACTGATGCATTATATGGTGCGAACTCAGTCACTTTACTGATTCATTAAAAATCTTTAACCATCAGGCTATTTTAAGGATACATGACAATAAGTAACCCTGTCATCATCAACATCATGAGTTTACACAGTGATCTGAATGAGGTGAAAGTGAGCAGACTCTCCAATTCTCCAAATCAAAGTTTAATCTGAAGTCTTAATGATTAAGTGAATGAGGAAATGAATGAGTGGGTCGCAGCAGTGAAGTTAAAAAAAGTCTTAAAATATGCATCCAAACACACTTCCCCTGCATGAAACCTCCAATAAAAACAAGAACACACTGTACAAAGCTGCAGGATCCAAATGTCCAGGAATTTCACTCAACACACAAACATTTTCCAGCTTAAGAACAACTTTTCAGATTGACACTTAGCCCCCCAAAAATAAAACTACACACACACACACATACACACACACACACACACACACACACAATCCATCCTCGCCTACCAGTTTTCCAAGACAGGACTTGAAGACCAGCATTGCCACTGAATTCATCAAAGTTGCCTGATGAATGGTTTGTGTCCTGGTTGTTTCAGGTGTTGTGTCTGTGTTGTTATCTTCTGATCTTATTATATCTCTCTGTAGCGTTGTTTGCCTGTGTATATCTGAGTGTTTTCGTCCGTGTGCTAGCCTGCACCCTCGTCTGTGTCAGCAGTTTCATCAAGACAAGAATTCAGATTCAACTGCGGCTTCCTGCCTCCAGCGCACTTATATCTGACGCACGGAGAAAGGGACGGAGAGGAGAAAAGGGGGGGAGGAGGGATAGAGCATGTGTCAGTGTGTGAGCTCGTCTACCCTTCTTTCCCAAAACCTTCCTTTCTCCTCCCTTTCTCTCGCCCCTCCCTGAAGTGACAGTGTTACAAAAACCAGCCAGCCTATAACACACACTTTACACACACACACACACACACACACATATATGTATATGCCTCCCAAGCTTTTCAGTAATCTTGTCTGTTGTCAGTTAGTGGTTGTGGGTCAAAGACAGACTGTTGACTGGGCTGTCAGATTCTGTAAACCTATCATTAGCCTGGAATTCACACAGGCCACACCTGCCTACAAACTTTCTCTCACACACACACACACACACACACACACACACACACACACACACACACACACACACACACACACACACACACACACAATAAAATTCTTGAGCAAAAACCCCAGACATCCTTCAATCAGTGTTCACGGAAATATGCATCCTACAAGAAACGTTTCCTCCCTTTTGGCCCCATCATCCATGTCGAGGGTCCCTCCATCAAAACATTTCACATTTTTCACGCTTTATCTAAGACACAGCAACAAACTCTGCATTCATTGATCTCTATGTGAGTTTGAGAAGAAGCTGTAGTTGCTAGCAGGTTGTGATAACGAACATTGAGAAACTAACAACCAGGTTCCACTGCTAACATAAACAGGGGAGATGGTAATTAATATTCTGAATTGAAAGTAGGTGATCGTCGGTCAGTGATTATAGAGTATGGCACACTTTTCTTCAGCACAACATGGTCTATGGTAGTGTGAATGGAAATATATGCAGGTACTGGAAGTGTAGAAAAGTCACAGAGGATTGTCAGTTGTCAGTGTTGTAACTAACAGCACAACCAACTGTTGAGTTGTTGAGGCTCTAGTAGGAACTTAATGCCCTAATTTATGAGGAATTTAAATGTGGTAATGTAGCGAGAAACTATGTGAGCTTATGAGGATTAGATACTGTGCATAACAGTACTTAAGTGTAGGTGCCTGAGGCAATTGATCAAATGAAGAAAAAAAAAAAACCAAAAGCTAATTTCAACTTTAATGGATATAGTAGTAACATTTTCCATCCCATGGTAAGCCTCCAAATATTGTGGTTCTTAAGTGATCCCAGAAAATCCTCCTTTTACTTTCACTTATCCTAGAAAATCAGCAGCACCACTATGTCAGTGGCGCTTAGAAAAGGGTGAAGATTCAATGTCTTGCTCAAGGACAATGCAGCAGGTTTAAACACACGTTCAAAACTTTTAGTTAACCAATTATATTATCACTGCGACTGCAGCTGAGAACTTTCACTACTATAGGTACAAATGTAATTTTTATCAGGACTGAAGTATCATTTTATTTGGAAATTTAAGTGATCACAGCTTTCAGTCTTATTTTAGCTTTTATATCTAATTGAATTGACATCAAAAGGACAATTAAAGGACCCTAATGAACATATGAATATGTTTGTCTTTGATAAGGAGTTTCAGAGAGTCCATTAACACATATACAAAAACACAACAACATGCATCTTGGAACTTAAAAAAAAAAAACCCTCAACAACACAACCAACAAGTCAATGATGGCAACTAAGCAAGAAAGCTGTGCATTGCAGGTAACGACATCACACTGTACCATGCACAACAACACGCCAGCAGAGACTCGAGAGTCTTATGATGTAGCTGTTTCTCTATGAACCTCCCTGCAGTGACACTTTCCCGGTTGTGCAGATATATATTTGTAGTTAATGTAGCTCTTACATTTGAAGTTAAATGTTCTCTCACATTCTTAGTATTGTGTACGTATTAACTGTGTGTGTATGTATTTTCCACTGTGTGTGCCGTGTGTGTTACCAGCAGCCTTTCCTCCTGTTCCAGCCACCTCTGATCCTCCTCCATCTGCTGTTGTTGTATCATCAGCTGTTCCTCCATTAACAGGCACTGCTGGCCTACACACTGCTGCATGTCTACTGCCCTGTCCTACACACACACACACACAAACACACAAACAAACATGCAACAAAAGACAAGGCGTAGCAACAGACATGCACACCACCACAGGGACACACACACAAAGTCACAGATGACGAGAGACATGCACATACACACAAACATAAACACAAACACAGGACATGGAGACAGGCAGACACATACACCAGACTGATGAGAGGCTGAACTGAGGTGATAGACACACACACACACTAAAAATAATGGGTGTCAATGGGCCACTGATTTGTACTATTTTAATATTTGGATAATTAATTAAATTTGTTTGAGTTATGCAAGTGTTCAATCACAATACCTCCTCGCAGAATGATCAGTCTCTTTTACAGAAAGTAAAAAGGATCTTAATATTTAACCACTCAGAGCTGGACTTGCAGATTAAAGTCTTGAAAATTAAAAACATAACAACATACATATAAAACATATATAAAAAGAGAGCTTTTTGAAAAGCTATTCACTATTTTGATCAGCTGTCAACATGACATGAGTATGAACGGCTGTGAGTTAGACTGGGTAAGGATCAGCTTGCTATGTGTTTTACTTGACAATCCTGTCATGACATATTTGTGTGTATGCGTGTGTGTGTGTGTGTGTGTGTGTGTGTGTGTGTGTGTGTGTGTGTGTGTGTGTGTGTGTGTGTGTGTGTATGCGTGTGTGTGTGTGTGTGTGTACGGGTATGAAATTGGTCTCCTACCTCCATCGCAGAGCCCCATAGTGCCATGTCCTGTCCATGAGGCTGGGGAAGGTGCTGCATGTGCGAGTGTGTGTGGACGTGGTGGCGGGGGTGTGTGTGGGCGTGGTGTGTGTCCAGCATTGCTGCCTGTGGGGGGTACAGGGCGCTGGGCACAGAGGGGAGGGTGTGAGGGCCGGGGTACCCTGCCATCTGACACAGGGAGGGAGGACAGAGACAAATGTTAGTCTTTCATCAGTCATCTTTGAGTTCTTCTAGTCTTGATTACTCTGAACACTTTGTATGAAATTATATCACAATTTAAATTCTGCCATTATATACAAAATGCTACAGGAGCAGAAGAGTCTACATACCTGGTAGTGTCCCGGATGCTGGGGACTGGGGTAAAATCCATCACTTGAGCGAGGACTGGGATAGCCTGGTCTACTCGGCTATAGACAGAGACAGAAAGAAAAGAGAAAAGAGAGAGAGAGAGAGAGAGAGAAAGAAGGAGAGAAGGATAGACAGATGGATGAAGCAAAAGAGAGGGAGAGATTGAGGAATAGAAAGACAGAGAGGGAAAAACAAAAGATTAAATATTGTTCATTTTTTTCTCCAAACTGAACGTTAGAAGACGAGACACCGGGTCATTCAGACAATCAACACACAAACCTCCGGGAGCTGTTTGTGTGGCTGGGTTAGCTGTCAATCAAAAAAGGGACCACCCACTGGGCTGCAAGTCCAGCAAGCTGTTAGTTGAACTGGCATGAACTACTGTCCCTGTGTTACAAACATCAACATCCATGGATGACCGGTATACACTATGTTAAATTCCTGGACTAGCGATCACTGGGAAATCTGGTTAGATGTGATGCAGGTGTGTAAACAGTGTGTTATGGTTGCATGTTCACCAAAGACCCCTATTTCAAGAACAAATTCTTTTCTAATTTGGATGAATGGATGTACTGTTGCTGATGAGGCTGAATGACAGAAGTGTAAAATATTTCTAAACAGCATAAGAAATGGGATTTTTCCAACTGTGAGGCATTTGTAATGCAAGCTGCTGCTGCTGCTGCTGAATGCTGTTGGCCAAAGAACAGGGTTTAGTAGACTGATACTGGAGTATATATATATCCTATTCTTTTCTATTCCTTTGGTTAGCACTTGTAGCTAAAAACAGAAGTCCTTGGTGAACCCACAGCCTTGTTTCCTCTGTTGGTTTCTGGTGAATTTTTGAGATGAAGTCGTTAAAAGCTGATGAACAGTTTCCCCTCTAAGAATGACTGGAGACATTTTTCTGAATGATTTGAAGTCTAACACAGAGCTGGTGTCTAGCACAATATTACTGTAACTTCTACCTTCCACAGTCTCTCATAGTAGCTTTCTCTGGACCACACCTCCGACAGCAAGACAGACACAAAGACACACAGGGAGGGTGGGAGACAGACAGCAAAGAAAGACAGGAAAGGTTGACAGGGAGGGAGACAAGGAAAGGAAAAAAAGTAGGAAGGGAAGGACAAAGAGAAGCAGACAAAACAAAGAAACTGAAGACGAGACAAAAGGGAGCTTCAAACTTTCAGACACAGAGTCATACCAACAGACAGAAACATACAGCATGTTTGTGGACATGCACACTCATGGAAGGACACAAGTTTCCTACTCAAGAAGAAAATTATATCTTTAAAGTCTCAATCTGCCCCAGATTCACAGCCCTGTCTCAGTCAGTCCATGTGAAGGGAGGTTTCCCTGGGAATACCCAGTTTAAAAATAGAAAGATAAACACAGGGACAACAGACAGAAAGACTGGAGGTTAATCAGACAGGACTGTCACACCAGTAGAAAACAGAAATCTGTCTGTCTCTATCTGGAGACGTGTGGATGAATATCTGAATGTAAGGATTAACGACCAAAATCGTAGAACTGCAGTGCCAGGAGATTCAGGTCCAGCTCGTCACTTACAGGAAAAACAAGTAACAGCAGCAGAAGTTTACACCTGCAGATGTGCCAATGCACACCATCTACTGGCAAGGACAATAAGCTGATACAGTGTTGGGACTTGTGGTACCCTGTTTGCTACAAACCAGTTCCCTGTCTGATAGAAATGTATGGCTTTGTGTGTGTTAACCAGAAATCCTCAAGCCACAGCTATGAGGGCAGAACACACCACTGTATTTTAAATGTGTCACTACCTTCAGCATTTCAACTGACTGCATAAATTAAAAATGCAGCGATTTCAGGGCAGCCAACACAGTGATTGAGATTCTTTTCTAAAATGAACCTGCTGCTGTGAGGCACTTACCCTCACATTCCCTATATGTTACCAGCATGTATCATAACTCCATGAAACATTTTAGGAATGTTGTGTAGCACAGTGTAATTAAGATTTTTTTTTTTCGCTTCATGTATCACTTTGAGGCACAATTCATCGACTCCCACACAGACACATCTATCACCATAATAAGGGTCACAGTGCTGTGCAAACATACAGCAACATGGTTCTGTAACAGCGACGTCTCAGTGATAACAGGAATGGATCTTGGCTGTTGCAGGGATTTAACTTGTGACCTGTCCTCCTGCTGCCTTATACAACTAAACTGTATTTTTGCTTTCAATCACTCATCTCTGATTGTAACAGTATTTCTTGCTTTTCTTTTTCTTATTTACTCTTGAGCTAGGGTGCTGTTACAGCTCCGAGAGAAGGCTGAACGTTCACCCTAAAACGGAGTCACCTACAAAAACAAGCTCATGTGTGGCACCACTGGCCAGCACCCAACAGCTAGGTCAAGGTGACAGAGAGCTTGCTCTGTATAAACAGGCTTAAGTAGAGAGAGACCTTTTAGCTAGGTCTTCATGTATTTATAGCAACTGTCTCAAACACAGGCTTAACACTTATGAGCTTCAGTTGTATATGCAGTAAATCCATGTGGCAGAATGCAGATCCATAGCATTATAGTGAATTGTATTGTATGTTTCAGTAGTTGAAAGTTTCCTCTTGGACACATATGAGACCTGCAGCTGGAGAGAGGAAAAGTTGCTGCGTTACAGCATTAGTTCTGGACTTTAGGTTCCACCTAGTGTAAAAAATGGTTTGAACATGCTTACTGAGCTCATTCCTCGTCATTTAAATTCCAGTGAAATTTAAAAGCTGACCACAAGATTTTTTTTTGTGAATTCTGCGACTGTTTGCTTTTTCTGGCTTATCCATGAAATACTGTATCTAAGCTCCATGTTTGTGAGGCGAGTCGGACACTTAGTCCAGTGGAATTAGGATTTTACACAGGCATCCGGAGCAGGCTTGAAATAGGGCGCAATAATCCGAGGACACGTCAACACAATGCCTGACACAGACAAACACAAACGTATGTAACTACATTCAATCATGACGGAGGACATTTAAACAGCGTGTCCCTCAGGTCCTAAAGCATGCTACCAGTCTAGGCACAAACATGCTGATTGCACTGTCACTGGCATCAAAATCACTGCACTCGGTTATAATCGATGATTCAAAGTTTAGAGTGAGTTTAGTCATAGATGATGACTATGAAAGCCATAAATCAAAAAATGTTGCAACATTTTTTTTGACAGTGGACTTCTTTTCCGTTTCCTTGTGTTCAGCCAAAACAAATTTGACTAATGTGTTCTTATTTCAGTATGTTTTTCTTTTTCAAGCAGCTAATTAAACCAAACTGTACTTATTTTTAACTTTGGCTGTCATGTGGTGGATAGAGAGAGAAAAGAAACCTGGGAATGAACCAGTGTCCTGAACCCAGTAACCGGCCAACTGTTAAATAAGCACCAATGTCAAAGAAAATCAAATGTTTAAGGTCCTGAAAACATATACATATCACAATGAAACAGATAATACCTAAGGATGTGTTTTTCCAATCTTTATCTTTGATTCTTGCTTATTTAGTTATGAATATTTAATATTATACAGAAAGATTTAGATGTGAAACCAAGTTATCAGGGGCTGTAAGAAAAGATCTCTGCGAGTGATGTTTCTGTCAAATTCTGCCAAATTACTGGATGGCATTTTTTATCTTAGCACCACGAGTGGCCAAATGCAGACAACATGTGGACAGAATTAAAATATTCAAAGTGGAAATCTTCTTATTTCAAAAGACAAAACTCAGCTTTGGTGATTTCAATCACAATCATATAAGAAATGTATCTACCTCCAGGAGCCTTAATAGATCAAATTTCGATATGATGTTTTTTTGTACCTGGACCTGCAAATCTTTGAATCAGGATTATTTTTAAATCCCTCTGGACATTTATCAAAGGCTCCACAACCAAGACTGTTGCAACCTTCTTTGATACAGACAAACAGGTTTGTTTTAATGATTAAAAACAGCTTTAGAGCAGTGTAGCAGTACACCACCTGCCTTCAAGGGTCTGGACATGGGTCTTTGAGAGCAGGGGATGGGAAATGGCGTGTGAGTAGTTACAGGGAAGCTTGGTATTTGACTGGGTGGATGAGGGTTACTGGAGGGCAGAGTATAGGGAGTGAGAGGAGTAGGACAGACCAGCGGGGGCCTCCCACATGACTGCACCGCACGGTGTTGGGTCTGGGGGTCAGGGTCAGGTTGGAGTGGGGTACTGGGATTAGTTTGGCAGCCAGGATGAAAGCTGGGCAACAGTGGGATTTTAAGATTAGAATTTGACTCCTGCTGGATGTTTTGGAGGGTGAGGGGACAAACGTTTGACATCCTGCTGGGCAGAGAGTTAAGGTTAGGACTGGATTGGGAAAGGAGAGGAGAGCGGTGCCTGGGGCGGCAGTGGGAGTCGTTTGACGTTGGCTGCGATGAACAGAGCAGGCGGCTGTTAGTAGGGGAATTTATCTTGTGGGGGCAGCTGCCACTGGACGTGCTGTCTGAATCTGTGTGAGGTGGAGAACAGAGGTTAGTTTGAAACTGTAGGGACTCGGGATTCAACCTAGTGTGGTGTGGAGAGAATGAACGATTGTAGTAAGTGGCGTTTTGAAGAGGAAGTGATTGAGGCTGAGCATTGGGAGAAAAGGAAAAGCGATGGGGAAATTGCAGAGGTGATGAGCAGAGTGGAGGAGTGGGTAGGTGAGAGGAGGTGCAGGGAGATGAAGGATGAGGGTTTCCGAGGCAAAGGGAAAGCTGGGAGGCAAAGTGCTGGTTTTCATGGCAATGGTGGTGAGAAGAAGGAGTGGAAAGGCAATCTTGACTGAAGGTGGTCTGCAGGGAGGGACGACGGCTGGGCTGCAAACAGAAAGACAAAGGTAGAGGGGGGACAAATGGAAATAAAAAAGGTATCATAGAAGACACAGACATGTAGTGGACAGGTGAGAAAGACGGGGATGAGATGGAGTACAGACCAAAATATGCACGACTGTAACCAAAGCCACACAGAGATTGAGCCTCGAAAGAGCAATGTGCAATGAGCAATGTTTCTGAACCGTCAGCAAAGCTTTCAATTCCCTTAACAACATTTTTTTTTTTGACATTTTTGTTGTCAAATTAAACAAATGCAACATTCATTTACATTGGAAACCAAGTTTAATTTCAAGCATGGGCAACTACATTACTGAAGTTATAAAAGAAAAAAAACAAACCATCTCAATCTCATTAACTACTGTTGAAGACATATGGCTTTAACTGTGACCAAAAGAAGCAGGTAACAGATGCTAACAGCAGGGGCATCGGGGCAGTGAGTGAGGGTGAAGCAGCCAGCAGCTGGGGCAACAAGCTGTGAGCTGTGGGATGGTACTAGTGGAGGAGGGGGTGGGGTGGAGTTTATGGTCTTACAAAGAGAACAATCTAAGAACTAATGTCATATTTGTAAAAGGTAATTATTCAAGAAATCAACCTTGTTCACACATTTGAAGGGAGCTAGTTAGAAAAATACATCTTGTTCCAGTTTTGGATAATTTTCCACAGCATGTGCTGAGAGTTTGTGGTCAGGGGCTTGAATATGCATATTACAAAAAGCATCAATATATATCGTTCGTTCGAATCTACTGAACTGAAATACTAACCTCAACCCGCCCACCTCAGGGTGATTATACGGTGACATACAGTATAAGACAAAAAAATGCCTGCACAGCGGCTTTTCACAAACAAACAATAATACATTTATAATATCTAAAAGCTGCCAAATGTGTGAAAATGTGACATAAAAGTCACATGATCAGTGGTATTATGACCAAAACATTCACTTTCCTGTCACATTTAATTCACCTGAAGAGTCTCTTCTTTTTTGTGTGAGGGAATTTTTCCCATGCTATGGGACTTAGCTACACCCATCTGACACTCCTCCATGAAAAGCCTGGATTCAAGAGCTCAAACCCTTTTAGATTTGTTTTTCTTAACTTGATTATCATTGCGAGAAAAAACCCCTCTTGACAACTGACCTCAGCAAGATCCTGCAGAATTAGCTGAGCGTCTAAATATTTATGGTGGCCACTTATAATCATGTGTAATGCAGCAAAGTCAACAAAAAAATATATCAGCAACTCCACATGAAACCAAATTAGATAGGCTGGGACTATGTGTGGTTACCGCACTCAGACACAAACAGACTCGGAGACACAGACCCATTTGATGTATGTCTTACCTTTGGCGGGGCTTCATCAGACCCTCCTGAGTCCCAAGAAACAGTGACCTGCCTCCTCATCTCCATCCTGCTCCTCTCCTTCTGCTGGAGCTTCTCCTCCTCTAAGATAGTGCTGGAAACAAGGAAAAAGACCATGTAACACAAAAATGCTGCTTGTGTCTTTGTTTGTTTCTGCTGAACTATCACCTCTTAAAATCCAGCGGAAGAGGCAAAAAGAAAGCTTATAGGTGATAAATAGATAGGGCTGTCTCTGTTGCAATCTCTAGAAGAAATAAAAAAAACAAAAAAAACCCAAAACACATTAATCACTTATAACAGGTGCCGCTAATATCCATTTCTAAACGTGAAGAACGTCAGAGGAGACTACAAGATAATGCCACTTCCATCTTGCCCACCATTTTCTGTCAGGTCTCATCTTGACAGGTACTTCATGAAATATTCAGACACAACAACCACATGACCTGGAAAATATGAGGTACCAACACTTCCTCAACAGAGACTGGTTTTTAAGAAGCAAACTGTCAGCTTACGTGTTTTTCTACCTCTCGCTGTAAAGATGAAAACTCCCAGACAAGCCCATAAGCACACACACATCGTTCTATGTGTCAAAGTGTCACTACCACACAAACTCGTGCATACAGAGTGCTCCTCACACACTGTTTGTACAGAGCGTCAAAACACAAACTACTAGAGTCAGAAGAAAAACAAATTCCATTTGGTTATGAAATGTCTTATTGCTCAGTCTCTTACTACCACTACAGTTCATCCCTGAACGCTCGTAACTCCCAACACTGCTCCGTGTGCCAATACTGACAGCTACACTAATAAAAACTATTTGGCGTCAGATGCTTGAATAACTCAATTTTGATTCTCGCCATCTACTCAACGTCAGTGCTGGAATGGTCAGCTGTTATGTTGCAACGTATAATTTAATTTCAATATTTACGTCTTAAAAAGAGTTTGTAAATGTTTCAACTTTTACCCTTCATTGTGTAGTCACAGTAACTACTGATACCATCTCTTTGCTGTGCCAGACAAAACTGAAACTAGAACTAAATCAGTAAATCTTTGAGTAACGTCGCTTAAGAAATGAACAAATGAACAAACTGAATCACTTGGAAACTCAGTAATGTCCCACGCCCCAAACCAAGCTTTTTATAAAGGACTAATGTAGCCAAAGATACCACACTGAATTTACCCCTAAAATTACTTACACTGACCCGTTCCTGGGAAAACTGCTGCTAAACCAAACGCAGATTCCCAGAGAGAGGAGCTGCTGCTGAAGAGCTGATGGTCCCACAAAAGTGAATGGTTCAACAATCCAACACACGCGCACACACACACACACACACACACACACACACACACACACACACACACAAACACACTCTTTCTGCCCTCCTTCCCTCAACAAGGGTATGAGAGCTATTTCTAGTAACATCATTACCCTCCTGTTCTGTTGTCTCCTGCTGTGTGTGTGTCTGTGTGTGTCTGTGTGTGTATGTGTGTGTATCCTTGCACCTGTCTAAATCCGTCTACTGACAGGTTTAGTCACACACATTTGTACAAGAATCATCACTAAAATATTTAACAAGCAAAGCATTTACTAACAGATCCATCAATGAATCTGCAAACCCCGCCTCACAGTTTAACAGTAAATGACGTCATATATCCGTACGATGATAACTGATGATAACTTCAGCACCTGGCAACATCAACACTAACTGTCTCCTCCCCCACCTACACAACGCCACCACCTGGAATAACAAGGCCTGGTTTATTTACTCAGGCTGGGCCGACTGCACAATCTTGGACTTTTCAGCAACGCCCTGCCTCATTTTCACGTAGCTCTCACCTGTTAGCTGCCCAGTAATGACTGCTACTGATGACCACTGAGCAGCACACTGAGCTGTAAACAGCTGCTAATAAAGAACATAAAGACGACGTGCAACAATGTTAACATGAGATGTTATACTCCGAAGACAACGGCTCAGCTGATTGGACTGAGGGTAATCAATAGTCCGTTCCCTGATTTCATCATGGGGGACAACAAAAAAGAAAAATCGTTTTAATTCATTCATTTTAATTATTCATTAGCTGATGTAAATTTAATTATGAATAATTGCATGCATGTCATATAGCAGTCTCTACAATGTGTTTAAATGATGGAACTGAAATACAGACTTCACATTTTATGTTTAAATCAGGCTGAAACTAATGGCAGCAAGCATCCACCCTACTGAAGTGCTCTTGAGCAAGACAATAAAATCCTTTTGTTCTTGTTAAAGGATAAATGTGTTACTATGCCACTGCTGCAGCAAGGACACTTTTTACAAACCAGTACGGACATGAGGGATAACTACAGAAACCATTTCAATGTACATATGTGTATGTGAATGTTATTTTAAGACAGACTTGATAAAATAATAACCCATCCTTTAAGTAGGACATGCGAAAAGACACATTTCTTCTTGAGGATCAGAAGAAGAGAGGCAAACAATCAGCTATGAATTATGTTTAAGAGACATACAAAATGGCTGCTCAAAAACAGCTTTTGACTTAACCCACAGATACTACAGCATCCACTGAAGGCAGCACACTTGTACACATAAACACAGGCTGATAACACTACATTTAGAAAAGCGTAATGAGACAGAAGAGCCCATACTTTACCTATCGAAAAGGCCTATCCGACAGCACTGGAGTATTTCAAGTGAAGCCCTTTTAGGAGAATATCGTAGCCTCTAAAGTGATGATGGGCCAGCAGCACTCAGCACTGATACGCTACTGAAGGTCAACATGAATAACTCCAAAGGATCCCAGCAACACGCAGCAGATAAAAACCTACTGTTCCCTGCAGCTGAACAAAACCCCACTAGACCTCACTAGCTACAGTGCATCACCACACATAGACTTCACTATTAGGATAATAAGGCCTGAAAATTAGGAGCCTTGATCCGCTAGCTTTGACCATGGGAGCACCGAGCTACAGTGGTGCTTGCTTGCCTTTTTCCTTGCTTCTTTCATTCTCTCTCTATTCATTTTCTCTCTCTCTCTCTCTCTCTCTCTCTCTCTCTCTCTCTCTCTCTCTCTGTTGGAAAGCTGTAGCTCCTGGCAGCTGCCCACTGTGTAAACACACACACACACACACATACACACACACACACATTGGTCTGCAGTCTAGGAAAACTGTAGTAGTAGCTGAGAGCTGCATATTTGGCAGGAGAGACCTATAATTGATATTATGATATAAAAGCCAGCCAGACTGAAAGTAAACCAAACTGCATAACCTTATATGGCATGAGTTTCTCCTATTAATAGTCAGTGACCACAGTGAACATGGTCAATATTGACTTGGTTTCCAGGACACTGGATGAGGCACATTAAGGGTCCTCACTATTTCTTCATGCCAAGGCATCATAGTCAATTAGAGTAAATGTTCTTAATTTTGTCAGCTTAGCACCCAAATGCAGATCACATGTACTTTTCCACACTGGGTTTTCAGCCCATTAAAACATACAACCGCAAACATACTGTACATGTGTCAAGTGAGCGGGACCTCCGTGATGTTCAAGGCCTGTAACTCATTCGGAACCAAAAAAAGAAAGTGAGCTCAGGAGGACACAATGAAAAGGTGAAAGAGTTCAGGAGGAGAGGATGAAAAAAAAGAGAGCAGAAAAGGTAGAGTTTGGAAAGACTGTAAGAGGAGTAGAATTAGGGGGTGAGAGAGGAAAGCTGACATGGAGAAAAATTGGAAGAGGAATCATGGAGGAATTTAAGGTGTGAGTCATGCTGGTTTTAAGCAAACTCATAAAACCACAGGAGTTAAATATGCACTCTTATTTTCCTGTTTCTGTGTATGTTAGACAGAGAGAGAGGGAGAGGGAGAGAGAGAGAGAGGGAGAGAGAGAGAGAGAGAGAGAGAGAGAGAGAGAGAGAACAACACAGAGTGAGAATGTGCATGTTGAAGGAAACAATGATGGCATCTTGCTGTGCTCCTGAAACTTGCGTTGCTTTACTTAGGTCTATGAGTACAAAAATGTGTTTCAAGCTGCAACATTACCAATGTGAGGTACAACGTAAAAAAAGACACAAGTTACACACATTATACCAAGTTTTTTTCTTTTGAGGTAAATGCACAAACTAAAAATAAACATCGGCTCAGAATTAAATCAAACCTACTTGCATGTACATGTTACACAGAGGAAGGTGTTAGTATTTAAGGGGGAGATATCTTCAGAATAATATGTTGCTAAGATGGAGTAGTGATTCATTTTTGATCAGTGCTGTAAAAGCATCCTTGTTCTGGAGAATCTGGCCACAGGGCCATTTTGTTTAAATTCATATAGGGCGATCCTTCCTTGGTCCAATGGTACCACCACTACTAGTATGATCTATCTTTCCATGAGAGGCGATGCTGAAACATAACTTCCCAAAACCTACAGGTCCGTTCATGTCTGAGTGATTAAGAATTGTTATGTCACAGTGTCTGGGAAAAGCTCTACTCATACGGTACCGCTCCTGTATACCGGAAAATGTCAGTGAGCCTTGATGTAAAAGAAATAGTGTGAACTCTTGTTCAACCCTGTCTTCAGGCTTTTTAAAATATTATTTAATCTACTTAAGTTTTGCTGGTTAGCAGGGTTTAAGTGAATACTATCTCTCTGTCCCAACAGGAATCCTGATACTGTTACACAAAGCAGAAGAAAAGATCTTATCAGGCATGAACATATCTTAAAGAGCTTAACTTAACTTGTTGGTCTACCTGCATTTGTGCAAGTGTGTTGGGGAAAATTATGATCTGAGTGCTGGTTATGTCACTTTGGCTGTTGGCATCCTGTGATTAACATTAATTATAATCACATAGTGTAACCTTACACTGGCAGACATAAACCATAAAACATGTCAGGTTCTTTCTTTACTTGCTTTTCCTCTGCTGCCACCTGACTGATGCCTGACACCACACCCCACTGTTCTTGGAATTAAAATGAGAAGATTTTGTGTAGTTTTTTCTCGGTCTTGTGAGCACAACTCTTTGTCTCTTTGATTAAACTTTTCATAAACGGTTAACTGTCTTGCCCAGTTAGTAATATGACATTACATGACTAATGAATAGGTTCTCCCCTTCCTGTTCAAAGGGAAATATCACAATGACGCATTACTCTACTAAGCAAGTTTTCAAATTACTAGCAGTGTTGTCTAGCTCTGCCTTATCTGATCACAACATGCCCAGGATATTGTCTCTTGGTAGATAAGGTCTCCCTACTTGGAAATCTGTCTCCAGGCAAAGCTGGTAACAAAGAAGTGATGTATCATTTAACAAGGAGGCAAGGCATGACCAAGATGTCTAATCTATCTCTGTCATCACTGCATCTCTGTTACTATGCCAACTGTAATGTCCTCAGCCAAAACAGGAGGTAAAATGCAGTCTGTTAAGTATTTAAAGTTTTGATAGGCTCCGTATTCCTGCACATTAGATTTTAGTAAAATCAATACTTAGGTTAAGAAGTGTTAACTCTCTGGTTTAATTTGAGAGACAAAAACGGTGTTTGTTTTACAAACTGTATTTCCCAAGAGGAAATAGTCCTACACTGTTCACCAAATATGGCAGTCAACATCATCGATAACCCTTATAGCAGAAACTCTTAGTCATTATTTCGTTGTTCCAGGCTGCTGGAGTAAAGCCAAAACAATGAAAAAGATATTACTGTCCAAATATTTATGGACCATACTGTATACAACACTGCTGCAGAGAGGGTATGGGCACAATTTCATACTTGACATACAGTAACTGTTGTCATAGTCACAAGTCTACAGCATGTTTGGGATATGAACATTAGGATATATATATTGTTAGCCACAGAATTGTTTTGGAGTGACATTAATAAAATGTCCAGAGCAGGTATACTCTCACCATACAGGAAATTATTTCACCACTGCCTCCATGTCTCTTACTAAAAATGAAACATTCATGTAGTATTTTAAACTAGATTAAATCTGAGCAGACAAGAAGCAATGAAATGATCCACTCTGCCATCTCAATGAAAATAAGAATACATGACCTTAGCTGAAATAAAAAAAAAAAAAAAAAATCACTGTCCCTTTTCTTATCCAGCTGTATTTGACAGTCTATGGAAATTTAATCTGCTGCTCTGACCATCCATCTTTAATGGGTCACTCTGGTCTGATGTTAAACCAGCTGTCAAAGACAAAGGCAGTATGTTTCTTAATTTTAAAGGTATAATATCTGCTGTAGCTCTTTTTCGGCTCTATTTATCATGTCACATTGATACAGACAGACAGTGACACCTGCTGTTGGGAAGGTGTAACAAAACTGTTCACCTGCAAAACATCATTTAGTGTGGAATAGTCCTTTATCTAAACTACTAACCTGAAAACAGCAAGAAAAACACGGAGAGAGATTCAAAGTGATCCAAATCTCACGTCTACACCTATAAAAGACAGACTGAGAAAAATTTGACGGATCAAACTACATAATGCATTTTGTGTTAATTTAATTTGTGCATTGGAGCTATAGCCGACTATGAAGAACAAAAAATGTCTTGGCTCAAATGGACACAACCACATCAAGAGATCTCAACCCTGGAAACATAAATTGTACTTCTTCAGCTGAGTTAAAGCATATATAAGATTATTATCTGACCTTCTCTGTCCCAGGAATCATTCAAATGTTCAAAAGACAAGACAAAGACACACACACATACTAGAACCACATGATTTAGTACCTCAGTTGTGTTTTGAGTTCATTGAATCGCGGCCTCTTGCTGGGATCATAAGACCAACACTTTGTCATCAAGCTGTAGAGAGTAGGAGGGCACTGAGGGGGCATCGCCAGCCGCTCGCCGTTCTCTATCCTCCCAATGACGTCGTTGTTCTTCACACCCTGGAAAGGCTTGATGCCGAACATAAGGATCTCCCACATACAGACGCCTATGGAAAGACAGAAAAACAGCATAAACTCTGTCACTATGCGACAACCACCTATTGGCTTTTACCATGCTGCAAAAACAAGAGACTGAGAGGTAAAAGAGAAACAGGCTTGAAGTAAAAACCTATTTCTACAGCATGAAACATCAGGACACAACTTACACAGAAATGAAAGAAGGAAGAAAACAACATGGACTTAAACTCACCAAACATCCAGACATCACTGGCTGTGGTAAATCGTCTGAAGTTGATGGATTCTGGAGCCATCCATTTAATAGGTAGTTTACCTTTCGATGCTGAAACACAGGGATCAGGAGAACTGAGTTACACGGATCAGTTCAGCTCATACGAGCTCATGAGAACAATAGTGCCTCTTTTTCCACATGTTGTGATAGAAAAACTTAAGATGAGGTGGGGGAGTGGGTTTTATTACCAACTTGTGTGCATGGAGGTATGACTGTTACCTTTGTAATAAGAGCTATCCTCCATGTATCGCGACAGACCAAAGTCCCCCAGTTTCACACAGTCGACTGTCGACACCAACACGTTCCGCGCTGCAATGTCCCTAAAGACGACAAAACCAGAGTAAGAAATCTTACACACTATGACATTTATTCTTTTAATCTACTTGACTGGACATTTGTCACATGAGGTAATAATTCATATTTCTCATGTAACCACCAAAAAAAAAAAAGCATGATAAGATGGTTAATATTCCTAATTCAGCCAGATCAGTTCGCATTTTTATGAGACTTGGCCTTCATATACTAGAAGTTTGTGAAAATATTTTCCTGTATCAGGACATGCCTTCGATTTTACCAACACCTGGCTCTGACTATCTGCCATTAAATAAAATACTTTCACATCCAACTGCCCGTTGTTATTGCAAACAATGACAGAGGAAACAGGAATAATTATTTTATTAATTAATTTTATTTTATCATTTCATTAAGCAACCACTCTGTGAAAGATCTATATAATGTTATGGTGCTCTGGCCAGTTAGCAACACACACCTCAAAAAAACCTCAAACTAATACTTGTTAATGGAACATTAATTTTAAAATGTAAGAATATTCTTGTATACTGTGGTTTCAGGATACCCTCCTTCATACCTGTGTACAAAGCGTTTGCTCTCCAGATAGGCCAGTGCTGTGCTGAGCTGGTAGGAGTATAGGATGAGAGTGGCCAGGTCTAGACTGTACTTCCTCACCTGGAGAAACGACCGTAACTATGGAGAACAGGGAGAAAACACAGACAGAGGGATGTTAGAGGAAGCAGGCAACAGCCATTAAAAACACACAAAGAGACAGAGAGAGAGAAAGCAGGAGAAGCAGAAGTAGTAAATGGAGATTTAAAATGAGTGAGATGGAGAGAAACAGAGGGAGAAACTATGATAGAGTGGAAGGAGAGAGAGGTACACAGTGTGAAAACTAGAGACCGTCTTGTTTTGGCATCACACCAGCTGTGACGGCCGTTCCGACCGATGAGTACTCTGTAGTTTTTCTTACATTATTACATGAGCACTCAATACTCATGGGTCGGACCACACATCTAGGAACTTGGCCTTCATTTTGATCTCAGCTACACACCTGTAAAGTTTGATGACTGCATCTTGCATGGTTGTGATGCTGTCGTGTTGACAAAATCTGTCCACAGACAGACATATGAACACCTGCCACAGTTCTCAGAACTGTTCCCGCTATAGTAGGTGTCCCCAGGAAAACATGTTCACATGATGACACACACACACACACACACACACACACACACACACACACACACACACACACACACACACACCCTAACAGCCCTGCTGTTACAGCTGGTAATAATAATAGCCACAGTTCCATGAAACAAGCTGTGCCATGGTTAGAAAGAACAGGAACTATCTAAGGAGAAATTAGTGGAGATATTATCCTTCTTATTTAACTTGAGCAGTGTACTGCCTGCTGCTGCCCACAGTGGCTTCACAGAGAGTATTCAAACTCCTTCACTTTTTGCACACTTTGTGTTGTGAATTTAATTGTAAATGGATAAAATTGCCATTTTAGCCCATCAGTCTACACTCAGTATTCTATAATGACAAAGTGAAAACGTGTTTTAGAAACTTTTGAAAATTAATTAAATAATCAAAACCCTTAATTCAGTGCTTTGTAGAAGCCCCTTTGGCAGCAGTTGGCAGCTTTGAGTCTTCTTGGGTAAGTCTCTACCAGCTTTGCATGCCTGGATTTGGGCAGTTTATCCCATTCTTCCATAAGCCTGTATGATTGAGTTCAAGTAGATGGTGCAGACCCAGAAGTCACTCTGAAGGAAAGCATTAGTGACTCTAATTTGATTTGGACAGCCTCCTGTCCAGTGTAGGTCAATGAGCAGCACAGTGACATGTGCCTGATCGAAGACCAGACGGGCTGCTGCATTCTGCACCATCTGTAAGGGTTTCACTGTAGTCCTGGTGAGAGATAACCATGGCATGGACAGAGAACTTGGTTGTGGTAAGAGGTGAAGAGGTGATTTTAATATTCTGGAGACATCTCAAGGATAACTTAAGCAGACAGGATGCACCTTACCACAGTTTGGAGCAAAAGGCAAAAACTTCTAAAAGCATGTTTTCATTTTGTCAATATAGGTTATTGGCGTTGATTGATGGGCAAACATGGCAATTTACAACACAATAAAGTGTGGTTTTGAGTATTCTCTGAAGCCACTGTTCATATGAGAAGTGCTGCACTCAGTTGAGATTTGCCTTAAAAATAAATGTGCTTATTAAGAAAACTAATGTCACCAAACAATGCAAACAGAAATAGAACATGATTATTTATAAATATGTTTTCTCAAACCAATTTAAATGTAATTTATTACTTAATACGGAACTCTATGAAAATGTTCAATTTTTATTGAAAAATCCCAATTCAGATTTTCCCCTGGATTTTTGAAACCAAAAATGAGCCAGAGACATTTACATAATTTTAAAATCACACAGTTAAAGTGTATATGGTATTTTTATAATTTGATTTACATACAGATGTCTGAATTAATAATATTTAAAATCCAGTTTTTACCCCATAAAAAACTATTGAATAAAAAAAATAACAGTACACCCTTATACAAATCATATCAGTCTCCTACCTCTCCGAGTGTGCAGAGCTCCATGATGATCCAGACTGGATTTTCTGTGATAACTCCCATCAGCTTCACAATGTGAGGATGGTCAAACTGACGCATGGTCACTGCAGGGAAAGAAGAGGGGAGCAAGATCAGTCCACAAACAGCTTGTGGGTTTTTTCTTTATTATAGGGGCCATTCTTCTGCAAACTGATGAGAATGAGTAATTATTGTCAGGTGGCGTGACAAATGCACACACACACCACACACACACACACACACACACACACACACACACACACAAGGAACTCACAAGCTTCTTGGAGAAACTTTTCCCTGACGCTGTCTGATGTTGAGTTCTTACAAGTCTTCACTGCCACAGACAGAGCTGGGTTCTCCTGCAAGAAACATAAACACCACCACTATTGCAATAGAAGCATCTACATTCAGCATATTCACTGTCTAATAAAGTAATTTATATTCAAGGTAACCAACAAATTTACGTACAGCTTTCTATATAGGCTTATTAAAATATACTTTAGCATATGGTTGATTTCACCTATTGAAATTAAATTATCAGAGTTTTAAGTTTACCATGGTTATTGAATGGAAAGTCCATCGCATCATTTATTCTGAGACAACTATGCTGTATACGTGCAGTTATAGTTCATGTTTGGTTTACTCTTTTTGGTGAGTGTGACAGAGAATAAAGACAAAAGGGGTCAGTAGCAGTTTTTGCCTTTACACAGCAACGATCTCCTGATGTTGATGTTCTCCCCTTTAAACATGGAAGTGTTCAGTTTTCCTCACATACAATATCAGACCCTGTCGCACACTTGCCAAAGAGGGCCAGTGGTGGTAAGTAAGAAAAATAGTTTTACAGTGTGCGAGTGTGAGAAAAAGAGAATGAGAGGCTACGTACCGGGCTGATGTAGACTCCTTGGTGGACGTCGCCAAACTGACCCTCACCTATGCAGCGTCCCAGCTCAATGCGATCCCGCTGAATCTCATAGTCCCGGGCTAGATACATAATAAACACGGACATGAATGCACACAGATACAGACGCACAAATGAGGACAAACAGAGCAGACCTTCAGATCAAACACACATCAATGCCCACACATACACTTTTTAGTCAAGCCTTACATTTACCAAGCTTGTCAGAGTGCTTCACAAGTTTTAAAACAAGTTTTCCAGAAAATGTATTTGATTGTGACACAGTTACTGTTTTTAAGGAGATGCACCTTTGGAAACATTTCAGATCTGAGCACACAGTGTAGCAAAAACTTAATTTCAAGTGTGCAACATTTTGTGTTGCCATCTTTTCTAGAGACAACAAATAATTTATCCTAAATTTCTGGATGAATAAAGTTGAATCCACCTTCCTTCTCTGACAAGCTTGGAGTCATAGCAACAAGCATAGCTCAATGTCAACAGCATGCAACAACAGCATCAGCAAACCACAGCCAGACATGCCATGTAACACAGACAGACAACAGCCAGTAATACTCAATGTATAACATGAATTTCTATGTTAATTCAAATCTAATATGGATAAAGTCAGGTTTGTTGTATAATAGTGAAACATAACCGGCAGGGATTCAAAGCTCACAGGCTGATAAAAGACCGGTTTAACAATATCTTGGTCCAAAAGGAATTTGTACGTGTTACTATGGCGAGTCAAATTTTCATTTGTACTTTCGCCATTTTTTATATTTAGAACAGGAATTTAAAACAGGAATAAAAAGGTCTGTGAAATGTTGGCTGTTGAGAGGCTGGTGGTTTGCTCTGCCCGAAAAGTATGACACTGTTGACCTGACTTTGTCCATGTAATCAGCACATGGATATAACATACATGAAGCTATACATGTCAGTTTACATTTGACAAATCTCACACTTCTCTTTTGTGATGATCACTGTAGTAAAATGTCCGGTACATGTGCGAGTTTTAGAGACAATGATGTCAGGCAACGAGATGCCTGGGGCTAAATGTGGAAATGGGCTACAGCAGACAGTAACAAAAATGTACAGTAGGCCATAATTAATGACTTTGTGCTGTGCCTCTAAATGTCGCTCATGTAACCTGTTATTTAAAAACTCAAGCGTTATAGTTAAACAATGGAGTGGGACTACGCTGTTTGTAAGTGGTTTACGTTTAAAATGATACAGTGTATATATATATATATATATATATATATATGTGTGTCTATTTAAACCGTTTGGTCTCACTGCACTTCCTCTTCTAAGCCAAAGTTATACATAGGAACATGCACTGAGTCAATGTGCCTGGTTAAATGTTATCTAAAAAAATGTTTTTGAATTCTTGCCATGTTCTTATTACCCTGAGCAGTAACTGGGTTTCAACGGCTGTAGGTTGCTTGTGTCATTATAGATTTTTTTTTTTTTGAAAAATGTATCTGGAAACAGTTTGTACCACCTTGTTTTTCCCCTTAAACATTTAATATACACAACAAGATCGATGTCCAACAACTGGAACTCAGTTCTGAAGTTACCACCAGTTTAGCCGAAAACTGACAGCACATCAAACATCAACAGAGGGGGGTCAAATCAACAGGGTACAGAAATAAATTCCGAATTTTTATTTTACAGTCGCAGGCAAAAGTAAAAAGAAAAGGATCACAACAACCACCAAATCAAAGAGCCATCACAATACAACCAAACTAATGGTACGTTCCAATCTTTACCTTGATCTAGTCCATAGTATTCTGGGAAAATGGGTTAGTGATAGGAGACAGAAATAACTAGCTGTGAGTACAGAGAGCCAAACTTTATTGGTTATGAAATATTGTTACTTTAAAAATTGCCATGATTGTGGTTGTGACTGTGATGTAGTGATGCTAAGTTAGGGGTGCTGTTTGCCAGTTTAGATAAAGTGTCCCTGAACATATAAAATAACTCTATATACTCTAACTCTATAATATTTAAAGCCTTTTGGTCTGTTTGGTCTGAAGACGGTTAATTTTTGTTGTGTAGAGCAAACGAAGCAACAAAGACACACACACACACACACCACTGGTGGCCACTTGCTAGTGTAAACAGTTCATAAAAGGAGTGTTTTAAAATGCAAACACAACTTCAACACTAAATTCACCCATCTTATTGCTTGGCAACCGGCTAGTTCACCAAACCAAAACAGACACTCAGGAAAACTGCTCAGACTAGACATGAGTAGATGAATGTGACCTTTGCTGTCTTAAGTACCGTCTGTCAGTGTATTGATCTGACTGGATCATTTCTTACCAAATCATTTACACATCTGTCATGTTTAACAGACTAGTAAATAGCATGTAATAATTTTTGTTTTTGCTCATTTACAGCGTGAACTGTCTGTCTGCTGTTAGCACTCACTTGTTCTCTCTGTATGTGTTTGTGTGTTTATGCCTGTGACTCCACAGGAATAAAGCGAAAGCTATAATTTATGAATGGTCAAAAAGCAAAACCATGTTGGAATTTGGTTGCATGGACCAACATGTGCTTATGATACCCAGGTAGCATTGTGGGGCAGTTTAAATGGGTGTAGTTCTTTTTTTTTTCTTTCAATATCCCAACAGCCCCGCTATGTTATTCACCTTTACTTTGTCCCAGCTGTATTTACCATCCTTGGTGAAGGTGATATCACCCATCTTCACTGCCTCTAAATGTTGCCTATGGGGCATCATTCACTTAGCGTTATTGTCCAAAACCTGGTGAACAGGCAATACTCAGCAGCAACAGCAGCACAGCAGGCCCTCAGATTTACTCAAATCTCCTTTTTAAAGGTGATAATGCAGAGTGAAGTTTATCAGAAACAGCTGAAAGATATTCTAAGGCCAGAGAAGGCTCTGCACTGATGCCTAAAAACAACACAACAACACACTGTCGAACTGAACACTCATGATATAGCAGTGATGCGTGGGACGAGGAGTCTTTTGAAAACTGGTCACTGTAACGTATACATTGTGGCAAGATGACGTGTCAATGCAGCCTTACGAACGAATCTTGTGACAACTCACAAAGACAAATATAGCTTGCTGGCCTAATAATACACAAATAGTAGTATGTGGTTAACGTGGCTTCCCCATTTCTATATTATTGCAACATGTGACCACGGAAAATGTAGATTCATTCAAACATCAGCCATCCTGTTATCCACCCATCTAAAAAGAGTTCAATTCAAAGCTGAAGTCTGAGAGGATTTATAATAACACCTGATATATCATTAAATCCACCCGCACAGTGGAGAGTGGTGAAATGTTAAGAAACTGTCCTTTCCTTGCTCTGCAATTCAATAATGTTGATCTGGATTTCTGTGTTCCACCTGTGCAGTTCAATTAAATAATATAATGGTGTCGAGCATGGTACTTGGTAAGTGAATGATATTTTCACTTCGTATCTAAAAACAGGAGGTGAAACATTTTCACATGCAGCAATAAATGCTCCATTTGACTTTGTGAACGAGTGAACTTCTTCAGCTTTAAATTGATGTCAGAAGGAAAACAGTGATAAAATGTTTTTGCAAAGGGGAACCGGGTTTCTCATGTGACTTTAATGTAGTGTAACAAGATCATCTATTGTCTGGTTTTGAGACAGAATTAAAAAAGCCCCACACAAAAATATTGAAGATAAAATCAAGACAAATTTGATCAGTCAAATACTTTCAAGTAGTGGAATTGACTTGTAATACAGAACATGTGTCCTCACACTGATCTAAACCCAACTTAACTTCAAGTGCCAAAATAGAGACACATGGATCATGTCTCCTTCAATCCTCGCTCTATCAACCAGCCAGCCTTCACACCTAAACACACACTAACAAATTGTCACACACGCACACAGTATGCTATACGATCACAAACTAAGGACTGAACACCTGTCACTTTGTTTCTCCACTTGTCACATAAGCAGCCTACAATGTTTGTGTGCATGTGTGTGCCAACTTACTTGAAGGCATTGTGTAGGTGTCCTCCTCATCTATGATCTCAGCATAGTCGTCAGTTTCTGCAGAGCCAGAGCGAGGTGAGGAGGGAAGAAAAGTTACAAAGAAACATTAAGTCTCGGTTTGTGACACAAAAAAAGAGGCTAATCTAAAACTCCACTTTGACATGACAAGCAGAGACCCCTGGGCAGCGTTCACATTACGACATGGAGGCTATCTTCCTTGACGCCATAAAAAGCAAATGTTCTGTTATCAATACAAAAAGATTTGTATTACCAAGCTTTATATCTGCAATGATATCCCTTGTCTCTACATCCACCACCACAAGCATCGCAACTCATTAAGTTCAGTGAACACAACGTCACAGTCAAAAAAAAAGAAGAAGTGAAAGTGCCAACAGTAACAGAAACACATCCTCAGACAGAAGTACCTTTCCAAAAGACTGTCACCATACCTGACTCCAAACACATGCACAACAATTAAAATGTTAATGTACCACTGAACAGCTTCACACAGGCAATGAGACAGCACAGCAGAATAGAGAGGGAAAGAGAGAGAGAGAGACACAGACGCAAGGAAAGGGGAGGGATGGAAAGTTCATTCTTTCCACAGAAACAAGTTGAAGCAAAACAGGTTGAGTCATGGATAAGGCAGAAACGGACACAGGAAGATACAAGGGGAGATACTTTACACACATACAGTACACTAAATGTGGACACAGAGCAGGAATTCCATTGTGTTACTCATTTAGGAGGGTTAATAGAAAGAATGTTGTTTACCATCGCCACTAGTGTGACCTGCAGAAGCCACATGCAGCAAGAGGGAGAAATGGGAGAGATGCATTAGTTTTACTGTAATAAGCCAGAAAAATAAAGCCAAAGATATTATCTAATGACTTCAAGGTCATTTTCATTTAATTCTGTGTAACTGTGAGTTTGTCAGAGGTCAGCAGACAGTCAGGGCAGAGGCAGTGTGACAGTGACTAAAGCTCTCCGTGGGGACATCTGGCGAGACAAGGACTCTTCACTGGACACACAGATGAGGCTTTATATGGGAAACAGGGTATGCACACATATCTATGAACCCTTTATCTAACTCTTAGCAGTTACTGTCATTCATGACATTTAGCGCAGCAGACAGAGAGGCAAACTGACAGGGGATAAAGAGACCAACAGGCAAGGAGACAGCCAGACAGGGGTTCATACCTGAGACACAAACAGCTCTGGTCCGTACTCCGTCCATCCGTTTTTCCATCCGCTTCTCATGATTTGAAACTCTGCACCAGATATGAGAAAATGATTTTTGTGATTTGGTTCACATCTAAGCCAATGTATTCTGAATGAGCTGCCAGTTGCAGCTATGAAGATATGCGTGGAACCAGAGTAATGAAGGATCCTCCCACATCCTGTTATGTGTGCTGCCTTTTTTGTTTTTAATATAATGAACATAATATTCACTATACGGGCAACTGTATAAACTTGTATCATAAAAGCTACCAAGCTGCAGGTTGGCAGCTTTTAGCTTCAAGATTCCCATTCAATAACAAAACAAATTCTGAAGTGTAAAACAAATCGAGTGAAGGCACTCAATAAAAAACACAAAAGATAACAAACAAGGTTGCCCTGGATAAAGGGAGGAACTGGATGAAGTTTTCTTATGCATCACTAGAACTTTGACTGCACCCCTTTAACCCAGTCACCCCAATTTTGGTGCACCAGCCCGAAAATAATGTACCCCAAATAAAAAGATCACTGTTCTTCATGATCATAACCCTGGTCTTCTGTAAGAGGTAAGCTTTACAACCAAAAAGTCAGAATGAGTATAAGACAAGCTCAACCGATGTCACAGAGGCACAAACATGAGAGAGATTTAAGTCCTTTTTACTGCGCCTATTTTTGGCATAAAAAGGCAATATTAGGTAGTAGTAGTAGTACATTATGTGTGGAAAACTTCAAAGCCATGGCAACAAGAATGAACCAATTCTGTGTCAACATCTGCTGCAGTGATATAGGTCCTGTCTATGCAAAGTAAAATGCTTTGCATAGACAGAATCAGGAGACTTAGAGCTTTCAGAAATGTATAATTTGTCAAGGTTGTGTGAACATCAACTCCAGTACAAACCAAAACACACATTAAGTAGTGCTGCAAAGGCCAAAGTGTCCCATGGGTGGGACAGTGTATTTTAAAATGTTTTAATCTCTGACAGGAAAATGACACCTTGTTTTTACTTGATAGAGGGCACAGTTAGTGTAAAAAGACTCAGCTGACTTACTTGGGTATAGAAGGCAGAGCTCTGTCCCCCTCTGCAAAGACAGAATGAACACGAGTTACAGAATAGGACAGACTGGCTTCATGTTCGAGCAACAACATCACTGTAACCATTTCTATACTGCCATAGTTATTTTTAGAAAAGGCTAACCAAACACCGACAGGTGATTCAAAGTGACAAGTATAAAGCCTCACCAATCACAATCAGACTTGACTACTGTTTGAAAGATGGCTGACTGCAATTTCAGCCCTGTGTACCATTTATAGTATAAGGTAAAACATGTTGGGAATTGTTTTCTTTGCTTCAAGTTTACATTAAAATTAGACAAAAAAAATACATACACACATATACCCAATAAAACAACTAAATTGTACCAGTAAAGTAAAGCAAGAGATCCTATCATATCAAGATTAATTTGGGCACATAGGAGCATAAAATACATCTATGAATGGATCCATGTTCTACCTTTGTGGACTCTGACGATGAAGGAGTGAGTAGCCGAGGAGACGAGCCGACAGTATCCGTCAATCAAGTCAGCCATGTTTTCTGCTGTAGTCAGCGATGCCGTAGTGACTGTGAGAGGCTACACACACACACAGACACACACACAGACACACACACACAGACACACACACACAGACACACACACACAGACACACACACAGACACACACACACACACACACACACACACACACACACACACAGACACACACACACACGGATTAGTGTAAGAGTGGGACAGAGAGTTGCTTCACAGTGACACAATGAGAGCTTTATTAGTGATAATGTCTTCTACCAGTGCACATACACACACACTTTTACACACACAAAAACCCACACAGATACTATAGCACTGATGCACACATGCTTTTCCACGAGTGCTAAGCCTGCTGCGAACACACACCTCCTCTTGACAGACACACTCATGCTGGCACTCAAGTGCAAATGGCAACACACGCCTTCACCCTCCCATGTACCGCTCCCCTCTTTCCCTACATGTCTTCATGTTGTTCCTTCAGTTTCTGTGGTTCTACCAATACAATGTTTACCAAGCAGAGGCTACATCATATTTGTTACACACTGTTGTTTCAAAACTGGATTAAAAGCAGACAGTGCTGCAAATATGATGGGTCTGACACCATTACAATCCAACAAAAATACAATATACACATAGTTTTGGCTCATTGTCATTTTGAAATACACGTGTTTTGGATTATATTGTGTTGTAGCTTAAAATGCCTCAACTCCATGTGAATCAATGGTTTAACAGTTCTTTGCCTTTTGTGATTTAATTCAAATACAACTGAATGTATTACTCTAAACTTAATATCAAAAGTCCTGGCAATGAGTAATGTTTCACAAAGAACCACCCTAGAATGAAAATGGGTTTGTGTTTTTACCTCTGGAGCTCCTGCTACGTTGAGCTGCAGCATGCCTTTCCTGTCCTTCTCTTCCAAAGCAGAGTACTGGATGGACTGAACTTGGTTAAAGTTAGCTAAGTGCGTAGGCTGCAGGGACAAAGACAGATACACAGAAATATCAAAAATCACATGTAACACATTGTTGTCAATGTTGGTGCCGTTCATTCAGCTCAGTGGAAATGATCTGTTCAAAAAAAAAACTATAGATAATTCATGCTACAATGCAGAGGGTTGAGGTGTTTTTTTTTTCAAATTTAATCAGTTAGTCACATGTTTCCATTTTTAGATAAAACAATGCCAACCACAGTAATCAAAGTCTTTTAACACTACAAAGATAATATCATCAAGAGTGAATTTGAATGTGTTTATAAAGGCCATACATGACACGACAAGCTCTGACTCATTTTCACTCAAAGATGAATTTATTAAATGAATCACTGACATTTTGACAGTCTGTCTTAATTAAGGTGGAATGTAATAACTCAATTTAAGCACTGGAGTTATGGTAATGCAGCTGTTTTCTGTATTTTGAGTGGTCACCATAGCGAGCACCTCCTTAGTGCAGCTGTGCGGTTTTCATAAAGTCACTTGGTGATCACACATCTGGCTTTTAGCCCATAGTGTTTGTTTTGTTTCTAAAACTACCAGAAAAACTGGCATTTCAAGACCCCTCTCCACTTGAACAGCTGAGGAGACCAGAGAAAACCTGTGTGTCAAAGAGGCCAGATGAACCAGCAGAGGGCAGTATGGGTGGTTGCCACTGTGCCCTTGCAGTGATCTTTAATAAAAGCACACAGTATACAGTAGGGAAAGGATTCAGCATTTTTTTTTTTTTTTTGAAAGAAAGCAAATTTTGAAATGGTTACATATTTACAGACTGAGAAAAGATAGATCTTCCACGATGAGTTTCTGTACCACTCTTACACTAATCTGTGTGTGTGTGTGTGTGTGTGTGTGTGTGTGGGTGTGTGGGGGTGTGGGTGTGTGTGCATATTCACCGTCGAGCCCTTATCTGTGAGGTAGCTGATTCCTTCCTCTGGTCCGATAGCTAACTCTACTGATATTACCCAACTAGACTGGAGAGAGAGAGGGAGGGAGAGACAGTGGAAGAAACACAGCATTAAAGTAGATGTCATATTTCATCATATCATCTGCTTTATTAACTGAACACAGTGCTGGCAAAAATGTAATATTGATAGTATAATATATACATCTAAATATTCTCATCTATTTTCTATTTTCTATCTATTGCATCAAATGTCCTCTAGGACAGAGGGTTGTTTGCACACAGCAGATGACAGTGATAATACATTGCTGTAGAGAATAGTATAATACAAACAATACAGTGACACTTGAGCATGAATGTGGAACAAATGCAAAAACTGCATTTGCAAACCTCTCCTTGTATCGTTGTGTCAAGCCGTTTAAATTAAAAATGAAACTCCACTCTGCATCTTTTCTACCCTGTGCATGCTAAACTGGCTCTAACCTCCCACCCTCAAGACTTTGAATATATTTTACAGTACTGAAATTGCATGAATGAGCTTCTTTCTATTCATCTTTACATACTACATTATCTCTATGAATTAAGTGTCGCCCTACCCCTAAAGCACATTTGAAGCACTCCTTGTCGAAGCGGTAGATGGGGGAGAGTATCTCAAAGAACTTGTGGATGCTCTGCTCATCGTTGAGGTTAGCAAACTGCTTAAAGGTCTGCTGGATCTGCTTACGAAGAGTCTTTGCCTGACAGAGAGTGGGGAGAAGGAAGAAAGCATTAAGTCTTTCTGGAAGAAGGTTGGTTCAGAGCCAAAAGATGCACAACAGACAACTGACAGGGTGAGTGACAACAGGAGGTTTAACTTAATTCCAGACAATCAGATAATCAGACATTCAGCCAGAGATCCATTCAGTCATCAAGTTGGTCTTCCTGCCAGTCGCTCAGTCAAATAGCTATTGGCTCATCTAGCCGACTAAGCAGGACTAGGATTCCCAGAGAAATTTCTGCCACTGTCACTTCTTTTATCAGGCAACTTAAACCGTAAAATGGAAGGCCCTGACCAGATAGAGAGATAAAAAGCACTGACCCTGTTTCTTCATTAAAAGTGGTTTAACCTCACCTTGAGAGAGTCCAGCAGGCTTTTGGGGAAGAACCTTCTCAAACCAACATCTTTCCTAAAAAGACAGACAGCATCACAACATTTATGTTTGAGTAGCTGAAGTTTACTTTCACACAATTTGTTAAAAATACATTAAATTTAAATTAGAAGTAATAAGATTTACAGTGTGGACCAAATTATATCAATCTTACTCTAGTAGTTCGTAGTTGGATTTCTTATCCAGGGCGTTGCCTGGCATCTCTCTGAAGAACCTCCTGAATAATTCACAGAGAGAAGGAGATGTACGTTGTACAAACAGGATTAAACGATAATAAGATTCATTTTTGTCATTATTGTGGCATCGGAACAAATGTGTGTGTGTGTGTGTGTGTGTGTGTGTGTGTGTGTGTGTGTTTTTCTTACCTAATTTCCAAACAGCCCAGTTTCAAAGCAACATCTTGATCCACCTGATCAGCTATATGTTGCATGTAATCACTCTTTACCTGGAGAAACACATTGTAGAAGCCCAACATTTTATAACAATACTGTACAGATAAAATTTACTGAAACTTAAATGCATTAAATGTAAAATGTGTTGTCTTGTGTAGTGTTCCCATGTAAGAGCGGAGTGAAGGATATCAGTTAGGTATCTGTCTCAAGGTATGCCTGCCTTGATAGACGTAAAAGTGATGGAGGAAGTGACAGAGCAGATGATATACAGAAGAGACAGGTTCAAGAAAATAATACATATCATGATAAACAAAATGTTTTTGTTTTTTTTATTCAGTGGTGTTTCTCAAGGAGGAACATTTTCTATCTCCTCTTTTCCTCATGTTGTCTCACCTGGTGATAGAGGTAGTTGAGAGAGGGTTTGTCTTCAGAGAAATGGCTGAGGTAACCTTTAGGAAGGTACCGCATCCGCAACTCATACCTGAGAATGACAGAGACAATTTGGATGAATAACCACACAGTACTCTCTTACACGCACACACACATCTACACATACACAAGCACGCATAATGAAATAACCTGCAGTATCCAAATTCAATGCCCATCTGAGGCATAAAAACAGAAGGAGTGTGCTTACTCATACATACAGCTGACGCATACACAGACCTCAGTGCATATTAAAGCCCACACTCTGGCACAGTTTGAGGTGTAGAAGAAATGAAAGACACAACAGTCTCAGCTGTCAAAAACCCATCTTTTTTTTTTTTTTTTGTTAAAAACCTAGGATGTGTTGGTCTGAACAACCTGGGGCATTATTTATGCAAGTGACCAGTGTTGTTTACTGAACAACAAATTGGCATTCATTTCAACACTTTCCTTCAGGTTGGATACAGCTTTCTCAAAAATGTCAAATTGATTTGTGCCTCTAACTGGCCAATATGCAAACGACTTAGCTTGGTCGGAAAACTGACATGGTTAAACAAGTTGATACACACAATATCCTGCCGACTCTTACGCAGAACTGTGGCATTTCACAGTGTCGGTGGAGCACAGTAAATGTTGAAGAAAATGTTTGTAGTGGTCCTACCGATCTAATGGCATTTACAGTAATAGTTCCTGATCAGATAAGTCACACACCTAATTCAGACATAATGTATAAATATATTGTATATCATCAAAAGGATGTTATTTTTGTGCGATGACACAGCTGCAGCAAACACAGATGTGCCTTATTGAGCAAAATGTCTCTTGCGCCATCGTCACAGAGAGGTTAAAGTATGTGTCAGCGACAAAAGAGGATCCATGGATCTGGCACATTCTGTGTCTTGCTCAAAGTCACTTCAGTGGGATGGCTGGCTGCCAACACAGGGGCTTAAAGTTGAAAGATTCCCTTTCTACTCACTATGTTACTGTCTGGTGGCACATTGAGACGTGGTTTCATATTTTGCTGACAGTGAACTAACTGAACGTGATAACCTTGTAATGCCATAAAGCATAATGAGATTCCTGCTGTTACACTTGCCAGTTAGCTGTGTCACAGGAAGTATCCAGATGGGCCATCATTGTTTATAGTCGCATATTATTTTATGACTGACATATTGCAGTGACTACAGCTGAGAGAAATGGGTCAGGAGAGTAGTGCGCTGAGCTGCTGTGATGCTACAGGCCTGTAGTTAGATAACAAAGGAAATCAAGGTTGAGGACACAATGAATAAAACATCCCCGTTCTATAATGAATGAACCAAAAAGAGTGTGAGAAGAGAGAAAATGATGCATGTTTGAGAGAAAAGAGAGAGCTGGATAAGAAGAAAAAGAAGACACAGATGCGAGAGATAAGAGAAAAAGGGATGGGGAGAAAGATGAAAGCGAAAAGGAGTGACTGCGAGTGCACGAGACAGAATGAGAAAGCACGCGAGGGAGTGAGAGAGGAGTGAGATAGAGTCAGTCCATCCCCTGGGCTACTGCTGCTGTTCTAACAATAGCTTGGCAGAGGCAGAAGCTCCTGTGGGCTTGCAGCTCCACCGCCCTCCGAGGCAGAGCTGCAACAACTGGCAGAGCTGCTCTGCTGCATGTTAGTGGTGTGAACAACTGGTTCATTTTGAATTCATTTCAATTTTAATGACTTTGGGTGTAACACATTAAATGCAGGACAATGGACTGAATTGTAAGAAGAGCTGTTAACAATATCAACTAGGTATGGCTAAGTGCCGGCACAGTTTGACTGTATATTGAAAACGGACAGAGATGCTTTCAAATCACGAGCAGCACAAAGAACCAATGAATATTCTTTCCTACAGAAAAGCAGATTAGGCAACTGCATCAAATAAATGTCTTGAGTAAGGCTGAACAATCATAATTTAAAGAACTGCTCACTGGATGCAGGCTCATGTGCTTGTGCAATGACGTCACCTTGACCAGATGAATTTAGGTAAATGCCATAAACCCTTAAATCATTTTTGCTATTAACTCCTCGTATTTTCCAGATATGGATGAAACATATCATATAAGGACTTTTAAATCTCAAGAAAATCAAGACAGGGGCCACGGTAAAAGGGGGGAACTCAATATTAAATACTTGCTTGTAATGTGTTTTACTGCTTGTATACAGTGTGTTTCAGGTCTTGGACTTTGCTTTATTGAACGTATAAAATGATTTCATTGGGACCATATGTTATGTAGCTGTAACTTGTAAGATGGGCTTAGTAAAATACTGTTGGTTGGCAGGTTTGTAGCTTAAACAAGTGTAGCTTCTGTACAGTGGAATAGGCCATTTGTAAAGATGACATGTTCATTGTAATGATCTGCTTTGTGTCCTCCTCTGAGGAGGAAGGAACCCTCCTGATAACCTAGAAGTATGAACCCACAGCTACCTAATATCATAATCAACCACAAGTGGGACTGCAACATCCAGACCTGCTCACTGATTTGAGCACGCTGTCTATGCACACACATAAACACTCCTCGTGAGACAAGGGAAGAAATAGGGCGTGGGAGCAGACAGCGAGTGTAAAACACTGAATGCAGTTCTACCTCCACTCCTCCTGGGGGTGCTGTTTCTCATATTTCTCTCTGACGTGAGACACACCCAAATCAGGGTGTAACCAATGGAGAGCATCAGAGTGCAGATGGGTGAGACGGAGGCCCAGAGATGACACACAGCGCAGTTTATGGATCTCTGCTATCTTCTGGATAACACCCTGTTAAATCAACGGTAAATAAAAGAGAAAGTGAGAGGCAAGGACATAATGAAGATAAAGGCATAGAAAAGTAAGGAATGTTTGTGTGTCTTACCCTGACATCTGTAGCATCTCCATGCCTGATATTACTAGCCCAGGTACATGGTTCACTATTTGTCTCAAAGTAATGGAAGATCTTGAGAACTCGGTCCATGGAGCCTGGGGGCCGCTCAAGGCCTCCAGCAGAGCTGCCGGTACCAACACCAGGACCACCAGGCATCCCGGACCGGGATTTAACCCCACAACCACCCGCTGCGGAGTGATTAAGGTTGGGCTCCAAGTAGGAAGACGACGCCATGCCTGACTCAAATGCTCCTGCTGGGGCTAACTTGCCGTCATATTCTGAAAAAGAGAGCGGGATAAACAGAAGACAGGTCAAAACGTGAATCCTTGGTTTACTCGTATTTTGCGAGAGGAGCCTTACACAGAAAAGATGGGGGGACAGACATGTTTAAAAAAAAAAAAAAAGGTGATTAAGGTTTGTAAAAAAACTTTCGTCTGACTACTGAAACACCCACTCAAACACCAGCCTGTCAATCATGCTGCACTTTACATATTTTTCATGACACAAAACAGGTTACATTAATAATTGTAAAGATGTAAAAGAGAACTCATGCACAACAAATCCAGGTGGAAAAGAGATAATAAGACTGTGACAACACAGCAACACTCAGACAACAAATAACTGTCATACGAGAGCGGGGAAACATGCACACTTGCATATACTGCATGATAATGACTGAGCTTGTGTGTGAGCATGAGGAGGGGTCAGTCAGTCATTCAGTCGGTAAATAAGTCAATATAAACCAGCAAAATACTGATGCAAGGTCTTTTTAGATGGACTTAATGGATTCACAGTGCAACATAAATCAGGTGAGTTTCAATAAATAAATCCTCAAACAGTGGTAAACACTGAGGTCAGACTGGCAGGCCAACTGCTTTATCACCCAGGAAGTCAGCGTGGTCAAGCAATAGGTTTAACAGCAAGCCACTCACACAGACTCCAGTCACCCAGCCTGATCATTCAGTCCTACCTGCAGTGCAGAGGCCAACAGGTACAAGCCATACTTTAGTCTTTCTGAAGCACATTTACCCCTCCCTGCCTGTGCGGCTGCTCGGCTGCAATCTGGTGGTTCCTAAAATCTGGCAAGACACACTAAGGTCTGCTGTGGGAAGACTGCTAAATTGTTCTGGACACACTGAAGTTGACTGGGAGTGGCTCTGGCTCATGTTACAGAAGCCTTTCCAAATAAGGATGCCCTGATCTGACTTTTTCTCTCTTGATACAGATTCCAATTTCTCAACTCTCTGTTTCTCAAATCTAAAATAATTTTTATGTCACATTTACATGAGAAAGGCATTGCTGTGGTGCTGTGACAAATGTAACCGATTTCATAGTGACACTGACAAATATACAGTATTTAATGTTAATCTGTAAAGTCTGGCCGATACCCAGCTGGTCAATATCTGCCCTGATACCGATCAGGCAGATTGGAGGATCTCTAAAAATGCTGCAGAACTTAAAAAAATGCAAACCAGAACTAAGAAAATCACAGGCAAAAACCATCTTGCGACAAATTCTTCCCCTTTTCTTTGCCTCCTTTTCACCTATTTATGCTTTTTTTCAAAGTTGTTTATCTACAGCTCACTTCTGCTGTAGTTTCATCTTCATACATCTTTTCCTTGTGCAAGACACACACTCTGCAGCTTCCTGTGTCACACTGTGACTTCCTGGATATCCCAGCAGGCTTTGTTGAGTCATCATCACCTCAGTGACTGGTTTCAGCTGACTGTGAATTCTGGCTGTTTATGTGGTGACAAAAGTAAAATGAATCTGAGAATAATTTAATGGCTCATTTCCAGTATGGTGGATGTTATCTACAACAAATAACTTTCCAAAATACCTGTCCTATAAACCATGACCTATAAAATTGTGATCTGCATCATCGTCTACCAGGTTATTCAACACTCTAAGATCTCTTTATTTTTACTGGATGATTTATTGTATCCACCAAATATAGAGACAATAAACACGACTGACAGTTACTGTCACCCCAGGTTGTTTCAATACTTTACTGCAGCAAGCAAAAAAAAAATCATCTTTTTTTAACATCACATCACTACATTCAGCATTTTTCTGTATTATGCTCAGGTCACGGCCAGAACACTTCATACTGAGGAAAAAAAGGAAGAAAGAAACAGGCAGAAACATGGAGACTGATCCAGGGAAAGTTGGCTCAGCATTTTTAACAGCTTGACCTACAGTTGCCTCTTCAAAGACAGCAAGTAAAATACATGCCATGTGCGTGTGTGTGCGCGTGTTTGTGTGTATGTGTGTGTGCGCACAAGGACTGCAACAGAAGTGTAAAGCAGGACATTATGCATCTAATAACTTGACTCAGCATTCTCCTGTAAGAATTTGCTATATCAGTACTGTGTGTGTATAAAACTATGGGTATGTGCATAAGTCCGATACACATTATTACATCCACAGACGCCCGCAGAGACATTGTGCTAGTTTTCTCATTTAGTCTTTACTGTCATGCTTGTTTCCTCATCACATCCATATTATCACACTTTTCTTACTGTTATTAACCTTTTTGTTACTATTGTTTCATTGTTTTATGAATCAGTCGCATGTTATTGTTTTTCTCCGTAATCTCCAATTGAGATGCATGTATACTTTGCAGAATACGTAGAATTAACTAATGATTTGTTTTTATCTTTTGTGTGAAAGTGAGCTCATACTGAAGATTTGATGATTAGAAGTTAGTGTGTAATGGTCACAGGCACGGCCATAGACCCAACAGACCCTCATTCAAGGCTTTAATACAACAGACTAGTGCAGATCAAATTACAAATGTCCCTCTTAGAGAATTACTATCATCATCCAATTAAAATGATACTACAGTACTTTGGCTATGACATTACTGGATTATAAGGTGGCTTGTCACAATCCCTAAATAGTGTGCTGCTACTATAAGTCCATTAACAATACCACTACATCATCTTACTTTCACAATAACGACTGACTCTCTATCTGATGAAACCTATCACCATAATGAACACCTTAAAAATTGAAACAGAACGAATGAGCCTGGCTGTGTGTATTTGCTGGGAGTGCTTCAAGTTCCAAGGCTTTCTGACCTTCATCTTGCATTACAATGTGCATTTCTTTTAGGTTTTGAACAATCTTAGTGAAGATCAGTGCTGCATTTAAAGGGAAGGAGGTTTGAACTATGAATGACTTCAGTACTGTTGTTTGCACTGTCTTTGCTGTAAAAGCGCAATAATCTATTGGATAACATTGTTCCTAAAATGCCCAAGCTTCTGGCCCAATATGAGTTTTTTATTTCTAATGACTATGCTAAAAAAAACATACATGGATTCATTTTCTGATTAATCTAGTATCTTAATACAATATGGTGCACAGCAGATTAGTTTATTTGGATGAAGTATTCCAATAATAATCACTTATATATAACATTATGCCCAAAACTATCTACATCTGATCTCAAAAACCCAAACCCTGACCATTTTGTGTTGTTGTTTCAGCATCACATCCTACTGCCCTTGGTGCTTCTACTGCCAGGTTTTGTGTTTGGTGGATATTTTGTTGTTTCTTGTAGAAAGTGTAACTGAAAAACATCAACCACACATACTAAAAATTATGTTGCCTAAAAAACTAACTCACTGCAATTCTTTTAAGGAGTACACCAGTGTTTGCTGTACAATTTGGGGTTAATGATAAAGTCATCAAAATATGTTCTGTGGAAAACCCTGTCCAGAATGTACACATGTTGTGATACAATTGCCCCGGTTGTTTTAACAGCGCTAGCTCCAGCTTTCATGCCTCCTCTCAGAGGGGCACGTTAAAAAATGTATTGGGGACATTACTTTGACTGCAACTCATTTTTAAAATAGAAGCAGTTTCGCCAGAGGAGCTACCACAGTCACAAACCACAGGCAGCCATCTGCTACTGCTCACTCACTCAGTAATCAGATTAGATATTAAGCACTCAAATATTGTAACACAACACTGCATACACTGACACAAAACACACTAGTGCAGCAAAATCACAAACACATAACTTTAACCTAAATACTACATACAGCTTAATGAAATCCTATTAGAGAAGGCGGCATACCTACAGTACATTTAAGTGCACTCATACAGCTACTTTATGCTGTAAATACTGTTATACCACACATACCTAGGGCATGCAGTAAAAGCGTGTTTAGCTGTTCCTCAGTAGCATTTTTCAAGAGTTTGTGTTTGTGTACATATGGCCCAAAATCACAAAAGCTGCCAACTAGTATGCTATGGAATCTATATTATGTAACTGTAGGTTAGATTAATATCTTATTGGACGTACGTTGTTTTGCTTAATTGTATCTGACATTGACTGGAAAGTCTGTTGGGTTTGGCTAAAAACATTAAAAAAAGCATAAAGGACATAAAGCTATATTCCTAAACACAACTTCTTGAGCAGATCAAAGATTTCAGGCAGTTTTTTAGTTCTTTGATAACATCCAGCAGGGAAAGCTCCCACACCTGGGTCTGTGAAGTTGGCTGCTAAACAGCACTGCATTCTTCTGCATTATGCCACATTATATTCCTTATCCTTTACCCAACTGTATGCATTGCAAAATCACATTTAGGGCACTATAATATATGAATCTAAAGGCACATTAATTACTGTTTTAAATATAGGTCCACTACACAACACCAGACAAATGAAACCATTTCTCATTGCACCAATTTCTACTCGACATAACTGCAGTAAATCCCCACTTTCATGCCCTCAGCCTCACAAGGAGAGGAATCAAATCAACTAGGCCATGCAGGCAGCCAGGAGGAGAGCAGGCGGCTGCCAGGCCCACCACCCCCTCTCTCTCAGTGGGGCTCCACTGACTGACACTCAGCTTGTTAAACCACAGAAGGCTGGAGTTGAGCTCTGTCCCGTAGCAGTAGCAGAAGGACGGTTTATCTCCTCGTCTAACTGGTATCTGGGTTACTGGGGTTAGCACAATCCTGGGGGAGCCTAGGCCTCTCTGTGTTTTTCACCATCTCTTTCTCTTGTTCCTCACTTTTTTTTTTTATCCCTCCCTTCACATCTTTCTTTCCAAAGCCTGCATCTTGTCCCCTCTTTCTCTCTCTCACATCCCAAATCTCCTACTTTCTCTCCTTTCTGCATCTCTCTCTTCATCTACAACTCTTTCCTTCTCCCCCTCTTAATCTCCTCCTGTCGCTCATCTCACATGCTCACAGACCTTTTAGTTCCTGCCTTCACATCTCCATTTGATCCTTCTGTCC